CGGTGAAGAGAAAAGATACTCTTTGATATAGCCTTGGCTTATGTTGCACTAAAAAAACATTTTAGACATTCTCGTCCTCTTAGCATTAGGTAATAAGTTAAATTTTATTTAATGAGAACATCTAACTGTATAATGTAATTATATTGTCTACAATTTATTTTCATATAATTAAGGAAACATGTAAATCTATAATAATAATAATACTTCTAATCTTAGTAATTAAACTATGTTACTTTTTCAATCTATCATTAATAATAAGATTTAAAATATATGCCCAACATTTAATCTATATATGTTCACCTTTCAATGAATGCATATTTTAATTCTCTATTCTAATTTTCAAATATACAATAACAATATTACTAAAATTTGCATTGTCAAGAGCTTTTTAAATAAGAGCATTTTAAAAAGTTATTAAATGTTAATGTTTTTAAATATTAGTATTAATTATTATAATAATCTTGTACAGTGTAAGAAATTATATTTATATATATAAGTGTCAAACACAAGAAAATAATAATTAATTCATTAATAATATCAAAACATCTAAATTAGTGAATACATTGATTTATGATTTATATTTTAATCGTTGTAGAACAGAATTAAATATGTGATAATTATAATTATATATATATATATATTAACTAATTTATTTAAATACATTTGTCTATTATATAACATTAAAATTTAATTTAATACTATTTTTATTATATTGAAGAAGTAACTATATATTGAATGTCAATTAAGAATTGAGAAATTTAAAATATGCATGCATATATTTTAATATTTTAAAGGCACTAGTTAATATTTTTTTTTCTGCTCTTATTTATAAAATCTTTTTAATTATTCACAGATTAAGAAAAAATATTTTAAACAGTTGATGTATTGCTTTATATAAAATTAATTATAAATTTATTATTATTAAAATTCAAATTAAGTTCTATTATTATATTTAACATCAGAGGTAGCATATATGTTTGCTTTGTTACAAACAAAAGAAAAACATCAACGCAGGGTAACGTTGATGAGACTTTGATTAATGCTTCATTGGTTTGCTTTGTTTGCGTTTCAAGACACAGTGATGGAATCTTTCATTAATGAGACAATCTAAACAAAAGGGCAGCACCTAAGTGGGTCAAACATTCAATTAATACGTAATATTGCAAACTAATATGGCTGAGAAAATTAAAAGTCAGCAAATCTATCTTCAGTCAAACAACTAGCAAAGTAAATCCATCAAGTGGCTCTATTTTTATGTTGCATTTGAATTTTTTTTTAAATGATTATTTTTTGAAATATATAATTAGTACAAAATGAATGCAGCTATCCCAATTTCTATTAAATTCTCATTTACTTCACATGACAATGGATTATTTGATGTTATTCTGATTGTGAAAAAAATAAAATATTCAAATGATTTTTCAATTCAAAATGTTAGTGATTTACTCTCAAACATAGTTGTTTATTTATTTGGAGAAATATAGGTAGGTTTCTCTTACTAAATGGCAAATGAAACCTAATATATAAGGACTGCAATTCGAATCATTCAGTGAGATTCACATGTATTCATACTTATAAATATGAGTTTATATGATTAAAAAATATTTTTAAGAGTTATTTTATTTTATTAAGTCATATAGTTTCTTTAAAGGTTTAATTTAACCTTTATTTTTATTTATTTTAAATACTATTTCTTAAATTTAATTTAATTTAACTTTTGAATCTACATAAACTGCATTAAATTAAAGATATATATATTTGAATATAATGTATATAAATGTTAAATTATTTTATATATTTTTTTAGAAAATAAAATAAAATATAATTAAAATAAATGAGTTTGATAATTTTTTATTAAATAAGTTATATATATGTGAATGAATCTAATTTTCAATATATTTTTATCGAATAATAAATGGATTAATATAATTTATTTTTAACTCACCAGTTAAAATTATTCTAATATTGCTTTTTGTTATCCCTAATATTCTGTAAAAAAAAAGTGCACAATGTAGACTTTGTATTCAAGTTAAACCACCAATGAACCCTCACAAGTTTATAATTATGACAAACAGGAAAAGGCAAACATGTAATCACAGAATAAAATAACAGTTACACAAGTGTAAGAATGCAGTGCAAGTTTAGGTTTTAAGTTGCAGGAGTTGATAGAATCTGCACAAGAACAAGATGATGGTAGATTGACGAGACCGCAAGCTTCCACTAAGACCATGCGCACCATGGACAGTTCAGTTGTGCGTTACATATATATATAATCAGATGATTTTGTCATATGCTTGGTCACGTGCCAATGAAGCCTTAACGTGTGGGATTATATCTCTCTCTTTTATTTTCTGAAGCACATACAGTATAATATATATCGGGCATTCATCGAAATGAGATATTAGGTGCAGATAAATTGATGGATCCAATGGAATTTTACATTTCTTATGTGAAAATGAGCTCGAATGTGCATAAAATTCAGCAGATTTAATTTCGATTTATATTTTAAGTGATGTTATTGATGGATTATACTGATCACATATGACACACCAAGTTCAACAAGATGAAAATTTAAATTTACATAAAATTTCTGGTTGAAATGTTCTTTTATATTCTCACCATTTGATGGTTCCCATACACATATTTAAGTTTCCTGGATTTTTTTTAAAAAAAATTCCACTTTAATTTCCCGTTTAAACCTTATTGGTTATACATATAAGATATCTTTTATTTGTAAGTCGTGTATAATTTTTTAAAAAATGAGTCAAACAGATTGTGGTATGAGCGAGGGCACCATATGTAACTTAAATTTTGTATATAATATCATGGATTAAAAAGACCCGGGCATCTTATAATCCCACCATATATGCATCTATTATCAATTTTAAAATGTCATTCTTTTTGACTTAATTGGTAACAATACAATTTAGTTTTCATGTATGAATGACTTTATTTTACGTTATTAATATGTGCTATCAATTTTATATTACCATTCGGTGCACCGGTGGTATGTATTAGATGAAGCTGATTATTGATCATCTGTTTCAACAGGAATCGTTGTTTCCTTTACACACGAACATAATAAAACTAGTCTATATAGATTTTGTTCATAGTAACCATGCATGCATGATTTGCCAAAAAAGATGGTAATCATGTGACTTAAGACTTTGAAACAACAGCATCAACACATAATTTGAATCAATGTTATTCCACATTCCACAATCATCAAAAGAAGCAATAAAAAGAAAAGCTTGACAAAAGAGAAAGGTAATAGAAAATAAAAATCAAGAAACAAAACAAAGCAATATGAAACCATGACTCTCTTGTGCAAGTATACGACCTAAGGTGGCAAAAATAATTAACATTTTAGGAAACTAGTTGTTTAATGTAGATAGTGGGGTGGCAGCAAGAAGCTTTTAACAAAAGAAAAAACAACATCCCAGATTTTGAGGCCACATCACGTGAGGATGGGAATCCAAAATTTTCTATTAATTGTGTCACCCAACTGAACTCTGATATAGATAGAATTTTTAATGTAACAAATTTGAATGTAGAGTTGGTAGTCATAGTTTAACTAAACAAGGGTAGCCAATACATATGCATATAAATGATTGTCCAAGTAGGCCATACCCATAACACAACAATTAGATTTAAAAGCATAAAGAGCCAAAAGAAGAGAAGGGAAAAAAAAAGGTTAAACGGCGCTGCTCCCTCTGTGTATGCGGCCCCTATTTTAAGGGTCGTGACATTGGGAAGCTCCCCATCGGAATCTGTGCAAACTTTTGGTTCTACATTGTGTGACCTCAGTGCCTCAATCAAAAACTCACTATACCTAACACACATTGCACAACCCTTCTCAGCTTCTTAAAGTGGATGTCAAAATATATACGTCGGAGAGAAAACGTTAAGTCAATCCTCTTAAAATGCAGTATTATTGAATAAGTTTTGAAAGATTTAAGCCATTAAATTAATATTAACTATTTTATAAATTAAATTCAATTAAGTGTTGAATAATATAGCAATTATAAATACTAATAATATAATATTTAATTATCATAATAATATTACTTATTCAACCTATAATGAGAATAGCCTGAATTAAACTATTCACTTGGTGTTTGATGAGAGTTTTTACTTTCATTTAATGGGAATATATTATATATAATTATAAACAATATATATAATGTGTCTTATAGAAAATTATATAAGATGTGCGCATCAAATAGTTAATTTTATTAGTTAAAATTTAATTATTTCATCGCTGGATATTGACAAAACCATAGCGTATTAATGTCATATGTACTACCCTAAAAGTTATATATGTGTATGTAGTGATGAGAGAATCATATAAAATGGTCAAGCAGAATCAAGTTACCTAAAGATTAAATAACTTTTGTGTGTAAAACTCAATCTTCATCTACTGTTCATTTTTTTGAATAAAAATAACTCACATGTATTTGATGAACTATGATCACCTTGTTTTTAAAATTCAATGAAATATAATTTGAGGGCTTAATTTATGGAGAGATAATTTTAAGTTTAACAATTAAATAGATAAAGTTTAATGTTTATAAAAAGTTATTAAGTTAACTAAGTTATTAAAAACATATTAAATATACTCAGTATACATAGACACATATATTTGCTAAAATATCACCTTTTTTTAAATTAAATAATTTTTGTAGAAGTAATATATGTAATGATGATTTTTAATCCAATAATTAAACACTTGTTTTAGAAAATATTAAGTAAAATAGATTATTAAACGAAATATTTAAGTATAATTTAGAAAAGAACACACATGCATGAATATGCGCGCGCGCACACTTGTCTTTTTCTATGGCAAACACCTGGGTAGTTATAAGAACAAACACTAATATGTTTCATTTAAATTTAATTCTTATTATTTTTATTACAAGAGTTTCAATCATACGAGTTTAATTATGACAAGGTATTTATCAAAACACTTCCACACGAGTTCTGAATCATCAATATTTTTTCTAATATTTTGTGATATTTATATGTAGTCCTTTTGGTGCCAACACTCTTGGAAACTTTAAAAGTTCGTTTCCCTTAACTTCTTCCCACCTGAAAAAAATAAAATAAAAATAAAGTACGTTTAGCTAAGAGGGTGTTAAGTTTTAGAAAGAAGACCCAACACTAGAAGAGTGTTTGGAGGAGAATGAGAAAAGAGATGTTCCATTAGATGATGTTAAACCTTTTACGGGAAACTTATAAGCAAATGGCAAAAGGGGAAAAATTATCTGTATTAAATACTCTACCTGTATTTAGTCACAAAGTAATGAAGGAAAAGGCTGATCTTAAGTATGCCCCATTCCTTTCCAGGACACACCCTACCTCCTGCTCCAAACAACATGTTGTGATTATGAGACTCCAAGCCATTCTCCTGCATTTCATCATATTTTATTTTCAATATCAAGTGTCGTCATTATACACATAAGAATAAGGTTTGTCATTATTAAGCAACTAACCAGCCATCTCCATGGATTAAAAGTAAAGGGTTCTTGATAAAGGAAGGGATCCAAGTTAGTCTCCCTTGTGTAAGAGTAAACTCTCCATCCCTTGGGAATGATAAAGCCTAACTAGTTGAAACAAAGTCAATGACAATTGAAAATTGAAGTGAAAAAGTAATTTAAGTTCTTTCAATCTAATCAATTTGATTGGACTTTGAATCATACCATTCAATTCAATATCAGTAGTAGTCCTTCTCAGCACCCCACTAACAACACTAGCCAATCTCATGGTTTCAAATATAACCTGTAAACAACCACACACGAAAAAGAAAGGGAGTCTTTTTTATGTTTTTCTACCTCAAAATTTAGTGTATGCAATGAATTGAAAATTTCTAGGATCACCATTTTATTCTAAAATTAGAACCCATATAGTTAAATGTCTACCGCACGAGTAAAGCTCATATTCTTGTAGTCATCCCAGGTGATAAGTTCTTCTGGCATTTTCCTTTGTTGAATTGCAAAATGCTCATCCTGCAGAATATTTTGATCAGTTAATATAGATATTTAAAATTTGGATAATTTATACTTTATTTCTTTATAATTTTAAGTTCTCTTAATTTATCTATTTATATTTTATTCCGTCAATAAACTTCTTTATGGGAGATAAAGTAATACATAAAAGTTATACTACAAGAGAATTAAAAAACACGAAAAAGAAATATAAAAAAGTTTGTTGACGTTAAAAAAATATGGAATAAATTGAGAAAACATAAAATTATATAAAATAAAGTGTAATTTAGCCTTAAAACTTAAACCATGACTTTTAATAATAATTTTGTTTTGTATTGGCCTTCAATAGTAAAGAGCATAATCAAATAGAAAGCTATCAGTGAGGCAAACGCACCCTTACTCCCTGAAGAACTCTTGGGTAATCGGTGAGGTATTTGATAGCCATCATTGTAGTGATTGATACTGTTTCATAACCCGAATACAAGATTGTGATTATTTGATCAATTATTTCTTCATCATTTAGTTTGTGTTTGACATCTTCATTTCTTATAAGCCGATCAAGAATGTCATCATGAGTAGATTGAGAAGCTCTTCTTTTGGCTATGAGCTTTTCTAGTATCGCAACCACTTTTTCCCTAGCCTGTAATCGACAAAAGTTTAGCTTTGATCCAAATGGCTCCCGTTTGAATTTAGAGTGCAATGCAAAAATGTAAAAATGAGTATTCTACAGCATACCTTAAGTCCTCGATAATATTTGGTTCCAGGAATTTTAATTGGCAAGGATATTGTTCCTTCTTTAATGTTATCGAATATTGATTTGAAGGACTCAAGAAAAGATGTTGATTCATTTTCTACAACCGCTTTCATCGAAACAAAGAATGACATCTGAAAGGAAATAAAAAAGAAAAGGTACTTGGGAGTAGTGTTCATGCTTTATGTAAAGTTCTTAATGTTCGTTTGATAGATCAACACTATTCAACATAGAAAGAAATCAATCTTTAGGGGAAAAAACACCAACTTTGAATTAATAATATCAATTATATGGAGAAAAATTCTTTAAAATGAATTTATTTAGAAAGTAAGAGGTTATTTATCCTTAAATCTTAATGTATGGATTAATGTCATCATGCACTTTAAATAAAATTAATAATAAATAATTTCTTGGTTTCTCACTATATATAAATAAATACACTTTAAAAAAACTTTATTTAATAGTTAAGGATGAAAACAGGTCAGACCGTCTGACAGAAGTCTACAGTTTGGCCTGATTTAAGCTTGATCTAACCTAACATTTTTTAAGATCTGTTTAAGTAAACAAATTAAACTTGAGTTGTTTTTAAAGCTTATTAAGCCTGACAAGCTGATATTGATATATATATATATATAATTTAAAAATATAACTGTCAAAATATATTTAAGTAATAAAGTTATTTAATAATATATTTTTAATTTTGTTATATTAAATTAATATATTATGTTATAATTCTTTTTATTTATAATTTTAATAAATAAAAATTATATTCTATTAATAATTAAAAATATTTATACACGATTACACTTTTAAATAATAAATTTATTTAATAATAAATTATCATATTTATTAAATTTAAATAAGTTAAAGAGTGGTTAAATCTTTAAACAGAAACAAGACATAATAAAAACTAAAAGAAATAAAATTAAAAATAAAATAATAATATTATATTAATATATTTTTTATATTCTTAATTTATTATTATTACTATTTAATTATTATATTATTATATTATGTTTAATTATTTTTCTTTATAATAAATAAAAATTCTTTAAATATGAATTATATTTTATTCAAAACTAAAATTTTATAAAAAATGATAGAAAAATAAAATAAAAAATTTCATATACAATATATATATATATATATATATATATATATATATAATATAACCATATAGTAAATAATATAAATAATATAATTTTAAATAAATTACATATAATAATATATACTTTTTGTAACTTAATATGTATTTTATTTTTATTAATAAATTTTTTGAGTAAAGTACCTATAAAAAAATTTTACAAACCAAATATACAACACACAGCAACATACCTAAATAAAAATATCTCAAATTTTAAATAATTATTTTTCACGAATTTGACATAAATGTAAATAGATTTTTTTCTTAAAAAATATAGTTGTTAATATACATTCAAAATTTAATAATTAATAAATATTTACAAAAAAAGGTATAAATAAAAAATTAAATTATTAATTAATTTATCAATTTATAATATATATATATATATTTTTTTTTAATGTATTGTATCAGTAATATTTTTTATATTATATTAATGTTATAGTATAGCTAATTTTACGTATATTTGTTAATTTAAAATAAAAATTAATAAAATAAATAAAATTAAATATTTTATAATTAATTATTTAATTTAATAGTTATTATTATTGTCATTATATATATATATATATATATATATATATTATAAGTTTTGTTACATATTTTTTTATTAAGATAAAAGTTTAGAAAAATAAGTTATTTTAATTTAAATATAAATTTTATTAATTTTTACTATACTGATATATTATTTTTCTGCATCTTTAAATTTTATAATATAAATATTTTTTATCTATATTTTTACAATGAATTTTATTTACTTTTTTAAATATAATAATTTTTTTAGCTGATTCAACAAATTTTATGAGTATTATTTTTTATTATAAATTTTACGTGTTTACTTCAATTTTATTTGTTAAATATAAGATGTCTTTACACAAATAAAATATAATTATTATAAAAAATAATTAAAATTTGTAATACTTTAATTATAGTTATTAACATATATTTGAATTTCAATAATTTGTAAATATTTACATAAATAAAAAATTAAATTATCAAATAATTTATTAATTTATATTTTATATATAAGTATATATTTTAATTTATTGTATCAGTAATATTTTTCTATATTATGTTAATGTTATAGTGTTGTTAATTTTACGTGTATTTGTTAATTTAAAATAAAAAATTAATAAAATAAATAAAATTAAATATTTTGTAATTATTTTATTTTTTTAATTTAATAGTTATTATTATTGTCAGTATATATATATATATATATATTATATTGAATTTAAATTTATTTATTTTTTAAAATATAATAATTTTTTTCAGCTGATTCAACAAATTGTGTAAATGTTATTTTTTGTGATCTATTTTATGTATTTGTTATGACTTTATTTATTAAATATAAGATATTTTTAAATAAATAAAATATGATCCTAAAAAAAATTAAATTTTTTAATAATTTAATAATTTTTAAAAATAAATAAAAAAGATAAAAATACAACTTATTTAATATGAAATATTTATAATTAGTGCTCAAATAATATTTTAAAAATTATTTATAAAATTATATAAAAATTATTATAATTATTTAATAATTATCAATAACACAGATGAAAAGTAGAAAAAGATATAAATTAATTTAACAATAAAATATTTATATTTTCATTAATATTAATATTTTTTTTGTAATACACTTTGTTAACAAGCTTCAGGTCAGACTAGGTTAAAAATAAAACTTTTAACAAATAATATATCAGACTCATGCCTAATAATTATGTTATAAATCAAGTTGCTTAAAGTAAACGTCAGACTGTTTAAAGTAAAATATAACCTATTTTTATTCTTACTAGTAGCATGTCTATTAATTAGCTTGAATGAACTATGCAATTATAAATAATTTGGACTTTGAAAACATTAAGCAACTCCATATTTTTTTATCTGATACATACCTCTAAGGATTTCTGTTGAACATCAATTATTTTACCATCCCAATTGTCAAGATTAGACCTCATAAACTCATCAGATTCAAGCAAAAGACGATCTTTAACAGCAATTGGACCAATGAGAGATAATAGTGATCCTCTAATTCGTTTATGCACAAGACCATGAACCTCAGCAATGTTATTCCCTAGTATCTTCCTCATAGAGTCGGGGTAGCCAGGAACTAGACCTTTTGCTTCATTCATGAGTATGTATCTATTGACATCAGGATCCATGCTAACGATAATAGGAGAGCCTAATGCATGAGTCTTGAAAAGATTTCCATACCTGGAGGAGGCATATGCAGACAACATCATTACATAAGGTATATAGACACAAATAGGATAGCTATATTTGATCTCGATAAAGAATACTACAATTTTATAGATAAAAGAACAATTTTAAACCATATATATAAACTTGTAAGTAACATAAAAATAATAACACACAATCTAGACAATTATTTCCGCTCGCACAAAACGAATTTTATACGATAATTTCATAAATAAACTTAGATATATACATATAAATTTAATTTTAGTTAGATTAAATTAACTTTTAAAATTGGATGTGAAAACCAATCTCAATCCATTTTTTCCCATTTTTATGGTTTCTATTTTTTTTTCCAGTTTACTTTTTTTGTTTGCAGTTGATTGAAATGGTACACACATAAATGTGCTTGAAAACACTACGGCAGTTCATTCAAGATATTAACTATGTATTTGGGTTATTTTTTCCCCTTTTCAAAATATATTCTTTCCCTAATAATTATGAAAATTTCCCATCGTGTTGATTTTATTTTCTGTTTTACAATAATTAGAAAAGAAAATGGAAAAATAATAAAATCTTGATTTTCAATAATTTTTTATTTTCATTATTTTCTTTTGAAAGTTATTGAAAATGAAAAATAAAGTACATCTAATATGATATTTTTGAAATAATTCAAAACAACCTAAAAAAATGAAAATGAAAATAATCAAAGGTACTCGAACTTAATTTTATCAAGCGGACTGTAAGCAAATAGGTTCAATATTTTGACTTTTTTTATTGTATATAAGAAAGTATTTACTCAACTTTATTTATGAGATTCAACGTAGAGTCCTAAGTAATTTATTTATTTTTAAATAATCTCAATATTTAATTGTACTTTGCCTTACAGTAAATCGATTACTAAGGATCCAAAAGTGCAAAATTTCAAGCCGTTATTAAGATACTGAATCATCACAGAAATAATTGAACTATCTTGCAACTATTTTATTAGATAACTCTCTATTTGTGGTCAAGAATATTCAGTGATTTATTGAATTAGCTAGAGGATACCATAATTGACCATCACAGTTAGATCCTCAATTTTTCATATCATTTGTGTTTTGACGAATAATGATTGATATATTGTCAATGCATAAACGATTTGTTACATCCCATAATAAATAGGAGAAAGAGGAGAAAAAATTAGAGAAAACAAGAGTGAAAATTTATATTATTTATTACATTAATTTATAGGGATGATTTTAAATAATTAAAAATAGTTTTTAATTAAGAAACATATTATTTATTAAATAAAAAATATAACATTTTTAAAAAAATATTACTTTAAAATACTTCAATTTAACTTTTAAAGTTGATGTAACAAAACTGATAAATTATTTATGAAAAGCAGAGGGCACGATGCCATCTAAATTTCTCAATGATCAATTATCACTCATGAATAATCTATTTCAGTCACTTTCAAAGAGTTTCTAATGGAACTTAGAGGTCCAACAATTGATCATCGCCATGCTCAACATTTAAGTTAAGATTATGACATAAAAAGCACATACAAATTAAAAGTAATAAAATAATGAGAGAAATGGGAGAAATATAGAGAAAGCAAAAAAGAAAGTGCAATACTCATGAATGGGGGGAAATAATCAATCATAAGAGGTTAGACTGCAATTTTTGGAGCCTAAAGGAGGTAAGTATGTTTTTCTTTTGGGGTGTTTGTAAAGTTTTTATAGAACAACGTTTCTTTCTCTAATAACACTTCTAGAGGAGGAACTATCAGTTAATCTTAAAGGAATAGAAAATGATTTAGATGAACTATAGTTTTAAAACTTAGTTGAGGCTTTCTTTTAGCATGTCTTGTATGAGATGAAAATGTAGGAATTGATGAAATCAATTGGTAATTGTTTCCTTTAAGTGGTTGATTATTAAGAGATCACACCTTTGAGTCAGTAAATGGGTAATATAATAATATAAAGTTAGGATTTCTATTCGGATATGTAACTTAAGAGAGCATAAATGCGGACAACCATATTGAGGGAAGATAAGAATAGCAAAGAGGGGCTTTGAGGGTATGATGTGATTAGAAATAGACCAAAGTGAGAGACATCTTTAGTGTATACATAATGACTTTCAAATAAGAAACTCTAAATAATCACTTAACGGTTTGTTTAAATGATGAGATGGGATAGAAAATAAAAATAAAGAACAAATAAGAGATATATAATGTGTTATTCAAATGGTAAGGCTTAATTCTATAATTTACTAAGGTAGTCGGTATGAATTGAGTTAGTTCAAATCATTTGATTCAAAAAATTGCTTTTTGGAAAACATTATATTTAAAATGTATTAAATACTCTTTCAGAATTTGATTTTTAGAAGAGATTAAAATTAATTTTTAGAAAATATTAAATATAATTTGAAATTAATTTAAAAAAAAAAAGATGTTAAAAAATGGTATAATTAGTCAGAAAAGTATTGGAAAAACAATTTCCTCAAAGAACTCAAGTATTTAGGTGAGGTCAACATAAGCCTAAATTTTGGGCTAAATTAGTTAAAATAAACTACACTGGGCCCAACCGTGTGGCCTAAAACAGTTTTGTTATGCACTATTTTTTAGTCCAATTTTTCAGAAATGGTTATCGTCTTGATTATCTGGCCCTAATTGATTTTCGAGCCCCAAAAGTCATAGTCCACTAAGCCCATTTATCATAAAGTTTTGTGCTGAATGGCTAAAAATATTATAAACTCCCCTGCCCCAAATTGGATGAGATGCACGTTAATGTATTAGAGTCATGTTTAACCGCTCTATCCTCTATAAAATATTAAAATAAGTATAAATTTACACGTGAATTTAATTAGGTTATAAAATTTTTATTTTTATTTTAAATATTGTGTAATAATTTTATTTTAAAATTAATTTATATGTTTAAAATTAATATAACATTAATAGTTTATTAATTAATAGTTTAAAAACTATGTAATAGAGACTTTTTTAACTTTAACAAAAAGATTAAGATATTTAATTTAAAATTATATTATTTTTAAATTTAATTAATTTAATATATTATTATATTATAATTTTTATATAAAATTATTTAATATATTATTATAAATTTTAAATAAGTCATTTTGATAAGTCTAATAGACTTTTTTTTAAGTTTAAGTCTAATTTATTTAATTAATTAAATATTTTAAAAAGTTTAAATTAAATTTATTAATTAAATAAATTAGGCCGTATTAGACTTTAAAAAGGTTAAGTTGTAAAATTTGTTGGACAGTCTGACCTATTTTCATTCTTAATTATATTGAATGGATTAAATAAGAAAATCTAACATCTTATAAAAAATAAGAGTTAATTATTAAAGGGAAGGCAGTGTAGGGTACCTTGATCTGCGTCCTTTCATGAAATCTGGTCCTTGTGTGAGAAAATCTAGAGTTTCCCCAACAAAAGGCCAACCCATTGCTCCTGGTGGCATTCTTCTCCCTCTGTATACCATTTTGTTCCATTTTAGCAGTGCAAAGAATGCACAAAACGTCAAAGCCATGGCATAATAAAACAATGTTGACATCATGTACAAAATGAAAGAAAAACAAATTACAAGATACAACCATATATATGCTAGATAGCCCCAATCACATATGATATGGATGCTAGGCTAGCTATATAACATGGTAATTAATTAATTAAGTTAGAAAAAAAAATACACTTATTTGAACAATATACATTCCATTAAATAACAAAGATATAAAAATTAAATTTATCGTACATTAAATTAAGAGAATGAAGTTATGTACATTAAATTATTTTCAATGCACATCTAATGTGATTTTTTTCAAAAAAATATTTATTAATTTTTTTAATCAATATCCTTAGTATACTAATATTTTTTTAGAGTACAAAAATTCTTATTGACTTTTTTATATATAAAAAAGTGATTATCATTTAAAATGAACAAAAGTACCCAGAAATGATTGGAGTGAATTTTCTATGAAATAATAAAAGCAAACGTTGAATGTATAAGATTAAGAGTAATCTTAAACTAAATATTGAATTTCTCTGGTAGCTATTTTTTTTTTCAAAAGACAACATTTATTTAATACAAAGCCAAACGAATCTGACAATACAATAAATTTAATGATATAACTATTAATATAATAAACAATTACCTTAAAAAAAAACACCCCATATTATAATAATTAAATATACATTTCTAAAAGTGATTAAAAATTATTACAAAAAATAAAGTAATCATCACAATATTTAATGCATAAAAGCATATTCTTATTTTCATACTTTGAATTATTATTTTGAAATATATATTTTATAAAATAATAATATTAAATATTAAATTAATTAAATTAAACAGTAATGTTGGCATAAATATAATGTATTTATTAAATGTATTTAGATATATCATCCAAAAGTTTTATTATTTTTCTATGATATTCATATAAGTAGTTTAATGAACATTTTTATAATTAAAAATTTTAGGTTTATATTAATATAATATAAAGTTCATTAAAAATTGTATTATTATAATTTTAAATATATTAATATAATATAATAATTCATTTAAACATTCTCAATTCATTGCACTTTTATTGTAAGCATTTAATTCTATAAAGTGAATTCTATTTACCATAAATAATTAAATAGAAAAACTAAAACAATACATATTAGTGCGCATTTGGATTACTTGTAAAAAATGTTTTTAATAACTGATTATAGATATAGTTAATAGAACCTTATTTTTATATTTAGATATATTAAATACAAATATATTTAAAAATAATTTATTATGTATATATTATTTTTAAAATCCCATATTTATAGTAAAATTATTAAAAAAAGGTACAAGGTTATTTGCATTAGTTGAATTTTTTTTAAAAATAATAAATTATTATGAAAAATGGAAAAAATTTAATTTGTAGATGAGTAATTAAATTTTAATCATAACTATAAATTTGTGTGCCCTTTATTAAAATTATAATTAAAGTTATTAAAATTCAAACGTAACATTTAACTATTATTGTTGTGTATTAATTTTTTTTGTGTGCTAATGTTGTGTATTAAATTTAATCATTGTAGTTCAAATTTATTTAAGAATATGATTGCAATTTTGATGATGTAAAATTGTACGTATTTGTAATTTTCATTGCAAGACGATTCATATAATATCATTTAATGGCTAAAAAAAAAATAAAGATAATCGTTTTTTGAGGGACATAAACACTGTTTAATGAAAAGTTAAATAAATACTATTAAAATGTTTTAATTAAAATTTGTAAGAATGAGATGTAGTATAATATATGAATATCATATCACAATAAAAATATTAATTATTTTAGAAATGAATTTTTCTAAAAATTCATTCAATACATGTAATTTTATTGTTTAAATTATAATTTTTCAATAAATATTATTAAAAATATGGGAAGAAGATCATATATATAATTTATACGTTTCATGAAGAATTAAAATAAATAACATTTTTTGCTTGTCTAATAATTATTTTAAAAGAAGATAAATATTTGATTAAATTATTAAAATGTATTTTTTACCCTTTAAATATATTTTTACCATTCTCAAATAAATAAATATAATTATCAATGATTAATATTAAAGTAAATTTTAATCTTAAATAAAATTTTCAATTTTTCTACTTTATGTGTGTATCTAGCAAAGTAAGAAAGCCTTAGATAGTCAATTGAATCATTAATTATATGTATCTCATAACGAAAATTTTATAAATGTTTACATTTATTGTTTATTAATTCACCAAAAAAAAAAAAGATAAAAATATCCTTCCAAATATACCCTATAATTTATCTATTAAATATATAATGAATGAAATGCTATAAGAAAAATTTAAGGTTATTATTTTGTGATTTGTGTTCCTCCACCATGGATAATAACGTCTTTTTAAAAAAATATTAATTTTAATAAATTATTAGTATATAATTTTTTATTATATTAACAAATTAGATAATAATGGAAGTATTTCAATTAAATTAAAAAGATTTAAAGATGACTAAATTTTTATTTATTATGATATAATGTTATATATGTATGTATATTGTGGTGATAAGATATATTTTATGTCTAGAATTAAATTATTTTTTTTAAGTAAAGGCATCATAAATCTATTTATATATAATAAATTTGAAGCACAAATCGTAGCATTTACATATTAACTAGCTTAGGCTTTAATATTTTATTTAATCACTTAATTTTTTTCATAAATTGTCTTCGTATAAATTAATTTAAAATTGTGTTTAGATAAGGTAATTAAAAATTATAAAAAAATTTAAATTATATTATTTATTTTTTTATTTAAAATAATTATATTTTTTTTATTTTTAATATTTTTATTTGAATGAAGTAATTAAATTATTTATATTAAAATAAAATAAAATATCACTGTATTTAATAAAATTAATTAAACATATAAAATTTAAATTATTAAATTAACTATAACTAAATAAAAATATGAATAAAGTACATAATATATGAAAAAATTAATTTTAAATTCTCACTCTTTTTTTAGATTTAAAATTCTTTAACTTTAATTTATTAAAGATATTACTATAATTTTTAAAATTCAATATCCAAACATCAAGTTTTAAATCATAGAAATGTAATCCAAAAGCGAATTACTCATCTAAAATATTTAATCCAAATGTACTTTTATGTTATATATTTTTAATGTCTTTTATTTATACCTTTTGAGTGATTAAATTAACATGAATATGACTTAATTGATTTAAAATTTATTTTGGGTATGTTTGAGTAAATTTTTAACACATGACCACTTATGATATAAACTTGATTGTAATTTTTTTAAAAACATGTAAAATAGTTTATTTTAATATATATATATATATATATATATATATATATATACATAAATGTTATTAAAATAAATTAAATAAATTATTTTCATAAATTCTTTCCAACACTGATTGGTTATATACAATTAATTAATTTAGATTTGGGAATTTAATTGAGTACCATGCACTTCCTACTTCTTCACGATATTATTTTTAAGCAACATTAATGAAATATGTCTAATATAAAATAGGAAGAAATACAAAAAATGAAGATTTTTTTTTTTTTTGAAAATTGGCTTTCTAAAATTTACAATGAAACTTATTGTAGGTAACTTATTTCTTCGTTCACAAATTTAGAACACATATGGACAGGAATTCAAAATAAACTTGAATCGAAAATTTTTAATAAAGACTTAAACTATCGTTAAGAGAACAGCGTTGTTTAAACATTCTTGCATTCACATTTATAGTAAATACAAAGAAAAAGTAGAGTTGAAAGTACATAATCCAAGGGAAGATACCCCACCAAACACTCGTTGGTTCAAGTGATAAAGTATTTAATTTCTTTTAAGTAAGATTTGGAGTTCAAATTTAGTGAAAACAAAGTCATTAGAAGAATATTATCTGCTTAATTAGAAATTCAAGATTAGTTGAGGTTGAATGAAACTTTTAAAATAATGTTAAGTCTAAAAAAAATGGTAAAATTATCGTCGTCTAGAATCGAAACCATATTTTTAAATTTACTTAACCAATTTCGTATAGATCACTTAATTTTAAGTTAGAAAAATATTTCTATATAGTTTTGTCATATTTTAGTATCTCTTATCATTATTAATTAAAAATAAAGACAAAATTAGTGTATTAGTATTTTTTTTATTTTTTCTCTAATTTTTTCTCATTTTAATTATTTAATTTATAATATTATTTTAAATAATTTTTTTATTATTGAAAAATTATTATTTTTCTTTTATTTATTTATTTTTATCTCTCATTTTTATTCTCATAACTTATTTTTCCCTTCAAACTTAAGCAAAAGTATTCTTATATTGCTAAATTTTATAGTTAAATCTTAGTGTGGTAAAGAAAATGAGGAGAAAAACAATAATTATGACACTAAAATTCACTAAAAAAGAAGATAATATTATTTTAAAGTTCGAAAAGAGATGGAAAATAAATTGTGGAGGCGTGAAAAAAACTAAGGAAAAAAGAAGAAAAATTTTATTAAAGAAACTTGTTAAAGTTTAAAGAATATTTATTTTCTTTTTTAAATTAAAATATTAAAATTTAAAAATGAAATAAAATAATAAAAATAAAAAAAGTTAAGAGATCAATTTATTAATTTTATTAAAAAAATTAAAATACCTACACAATAGGGGTACTACGTTAAATAAGATTATTGATGCATCAATTTGTTTATTGCATCTAACAGAATATGTTTCTATATAAACAAAGTATTGTTTTTTTAGTATTTTGACACCTTTATGTATAATCCATTTGGTGCTTCAACTCTGGGAAACTTGAGGAGTTTGTTTCTCTCTACTTCCCACCTGTAATAAATAAATAAAAATCAAGTGCTATTTTTATTCTCGTACAAAACTTGTATTTTTAATTTGATTCTTATATAAAAATTATTTTTAAAATAGTAACTAGTGTTAATTTCTATCATAACACTCTTACCTTATATTTAAATATATTTTTTATTTTGATTCCTATATAATATATTATTTTAGTATTTATACATAATATATTTTTCATATAGTGACTAAAATAAAAAATATTATTAATAGAGATGAAAATAAAATTCACTCTTGAAACAAGTTAAAAAATATTATGATGTTTTATAACATACTGTAGAAGATAATTTACTGATTTTAAATATTAACATTTGTAACTTAATTTGGTTGATGAGATTATGATGAGAATATTATATTTAAGATTTAAATAAAAAATATTTTTAAAATATTACAAGACGAAAAAAAGTGAATTAATTTTTAAGTGTGAAAGTCATTAAATATAGTCAATTACAGTAGATTGCTTGTTTTGTAAACAAAACTTATATACAACCTTTAGATTTTGCTCTCTAATTAAAATTAAAATTTTACTTTAATAATTGACATAATAAAATTTAGTAGTTAATATTGATACTAATTTTAGAGATAAATTTATACTTTTGATTAAAGAAAAGAACAAAATTATTATATACAAGTTTTATTATTAAATAATCTCTTAAATAATTTTTAAAAATATCAAAGATACAAAAATAAAATACTTTTTACCCAATTCTCAAATAACAACTTTTTACAACTAAACTATCTACAATTACATTATTTAAAGCTAGTAAATTATTTTTTATAACTTGTTATAAATAATCATAACTTTTTTTTAACTCGTTTCAATAGTGATTTTATTTTGGTCTCTGCAATAACATTTTTTTAAAATTTATTTTAGTACCTATTCATAACACTTTTCATTATTATCCCTATATGTAATACATTGATCCTTATAATAGCATTTTTTGAAATTTTTTTAATAAAAATAATAATTTATGCCATGTATCAATCATTTTAAATTATATAAAATTAATTTTACTCAAACAGGCATGTAGTTTCCACAAATTCTAATTCTAAATGTTGAGTGAGTGAAGTGTCATCCAAAATTCCTAATACATATTTGGACTTGCTTAGAGTGGTAGTAATGAAGGTTTTATAGGGGTAAGTATTATACCTGTATGTAGTAACAAAATAGTGAAGGAAAAGAGAGATTATAAGTATGCCCAGTTCCTTTCCGGGACACATTCTAACTCCTGCTCCAAATAACATGTTATGGTTATGATATTCTAAGCCTTTCTCCTGCATTTTTCATTTCATTTATATTCATTATCAAGAAGTGTCTTTAATATGTATATACACTGAACATAAGAATTGTTGCTGTTATTAAGAAACTGACCAGCCATCTCGAAGGGTTGAATTTGCAAGGGTCTCGATAGAGGAAGGGATCACAATTGGTCTCTCTTGTGTAAACATAAACTCTCCATCCCTGAGGAATGGTAAATCCTGACAAGTGATAACCATAGTCAATGATAAATGAATAACTGAAGAAAAATGTTCTTTAATGGCTTTCCATGAGATTGCAAATGTACCATTCAGTTCAACATCTGTGGTGGCCTTCCTTAATACCCCATTAACAATGTTAGCCAATCTCAAGGTTTCAAAAATCACCTATAAACAATAGAAAAGGAGTCAATACCTAAAATTATAATTGATTTTTTTAATATATATTCAAAGAAAAATAATAAAATATAAATAAATAATAAGAATTTATTAAAAATTATTGTTAAGATAATAAAATCTCACGTTGGAAGATATATAAATAAGAGAGTCTCAACTCTAAATTGTCTAAGACATTCCCTCTCTTCCAGCATTTAATGATATTGTGTAATTTCTAATAAAAACTTATTATATAAAAGTTTTATTATATATTTTTTTAATACACGTTAAAAAAATTGAATTACAATTACTAGTTGTGTTATATATATATATATATATAAAATAATTGTCAATCCTTTCACTCTTTAACATTAGGGTCTGTGAATTTAATTTCTGGCTTTGTCAACAATTAGACTTTGGTAAACATTGGTCAATTTAGTCTGTAATATCAGAAATCAAATTGATTGGTGATTGTCGAATTCAAGTCAATTCTAAATTTTCTTTTATGTAATATTAGGAACTGAATTGTTTGCAGGTGATTTTAGTCTTTAAAATTGGCAATTATCAGTTCCAAGATATGGCTCTCCCCCACCCCTCCAAAAATATAAATAGACATAGAGTTAGATATAGAGGTCATTGTTTCATTGTAGAAATAGAATAAGTGGAGAAGTACTTACCCCACGTGTATAAACCATAAGCTTATAATCATCCCAGCTTATTACATCTTCTGGTCTTTTACTTTGTTGGATTGCAAAATGCTCTTTCTGTAAACCAGTTTACCTAGGTGAAAACAGATAATGACAATTGTTTCCAAGAGTAGAAATGTTTTCTTTTATTGGCCTTGTATAATGAAGGGCATGATCAATTCAAATGTTGTGACTCACCCTTACTTCTTCAAGAACTCTAGGATTATCATGTAGATATTTGACAGCCATCATTGTAGTAGTTGAAACAGTTTCATAACCAGAATATAAGAATGTGATTATTTGATCAATTATTTCTTCATCATTAAGTTTGTATCTCGAATCTTCATTTCTCATAAGCTGATCAAGGATATCAGCATGAGTAGACAAAGAAGATCTTCTCTTGGCTATAACCTCTTTCAATGTTGCAACTACTTTTTTCCTTGTCTGCAAACAACAACAGTTTGGCTTTGGTCCATGTGAAGAAATTGAAGTGCATGCAAATTGAACATGATGAGTATTCAACAACATACCTGAAGTCCTCGGAAGTAATTCGTGCCAGGAATGTTAATAGGCAAGGAAAATGTTCCTGACACTATGTTGTCAAACGTAGCTTTAAAGGCCTCATTGAAAGGGCTCGGTTCATTTTCTACAATCAATTTCATTGACACAAAAAATGCCATCTGAAAGGAGAAAATCAAAGTGTGTTAATATGGGTACTGTTAACATCTATTTGGAAGAGTTAATGAATAACTTGTGAGTTTCAACATATTTCAACAAGCTTCTCGGTATAGCTTATCAAAATAAGTTTTCAGCCTATTCAATCAATTAAGTTTCATAATTAAATTTATGACAAAAGTCATCACTTATCAAGAGCTTAATGAATGAATGCTTTAAATAAGTTATGTATCTAAAAACACTTATAGCACCTATATCTGGTTGAAATGAAATTCCCATAGGGCATTATTATCTATGCTTTATTGGCTACTAACCAACCCAATAATCTTTCTGGGTATTGTGTATTTTAATCATATACCTGTTTGGTCTTTTGCTGTATATCAATGGTTTTGTCATCCCAATTGTCAAGGAAAGACGTCATGAACTTGTCAACTTCTGGCAAAAGATGGCCTCTAATTGCAGCTGGACCAATGAATGATAATATTGACCCTCTAATACGTTTATGAAGAGCCCCATGAACTTCAGCAATGTTGCTTTTCCCTAGTATATTCCTCATGGACACAGGGTAGCCAGGAACTAGACCTTTTGCTTCATTCTTGAGGATGTATCTGTTGAGCTCTGGATCCATGCTTATGACAATAGGAGAGCCTAATGCATGAGACTTGAGGAGATTTCCGTACCTGCAGAGAAGAAGACACATTAAAGCAAAACTAATTGCACACATATCATGACTGAGCATTGCTTAGTAATACATAGAATCTCTTGTAGGAAAATGAAAATATTATACAATAAGCAATATCTGATATTTGATACGAAAATATTATTTATTTTTGGTTTCTTCATGTTTTGGTTTATCTTTTTCTTTCCCAATTTGTGGTCTGTGTTTTTGTTTATAGAAGTGTGGTTGTTGTATTCTGAATTCCTATTTTTTCTGCATATACTTTATAGTCTGGGGCATTTTTATAATATATGCTTTAAAGCATGTTAAAATGCATTTGAAAAAGTGTTCATAGTTTTTATTAGGTACAAATTTTATTGATCCAGGGTGAGTCCTACAGATATAATAAGCGTGCCTTCAGGGAACACCCTTATGCAAGCAAAGTCATATCTGCTACAGACTACGGAGAGTTATCTTCAATGCAGAGCTACATATTTGGTGAAATCTAGAAGCATCTTGCATATCCTAGTTATCCTTCTATATCTCCAAAACTTCTGATAAGAAGAGGTTACTTATGGTTAGACAGGAAAAGTATGACATAGAGAAAGGCTTAAAACTATTTAGCTACAGTGCAAATGATAATAACAACTCATAAGAATAAAAAAATGAATAGTAAGTCAGCTCCTTTCAAGCCCAAAAAGGAAATAACAAGTCCATTTCCTACTGTATACTGAAAATTAATCCACACCCCGTTGTTTGGTTTAGAAATTTGGCCGAGGGTAATTAGAGAACAACAGTGGCTAATTCCTAATTGTTTGTAGATGAATAATAATACTCAATAACTTCAAAAAAATTACTTCATCTCTAAGAAAATAATAAAATACAGAAATTTCAAAAGGTCCACCTAGAAATACCTTGCTCTCTTGCATTTCATGAAATCTGGTCCTTGTTTGAGAAACCCTGCAGTCTCACCAAAAATAGGCCAACCCATAGTTCCTGGTGGCATTCCTTTCCTACTGTACCTTACCTCATTCCACTTCAGCAATACAAAGAATGCACAAAAAGCCAAAGCCAATATACAATACACTATTTCTGGTATTGACATGATGCTCAAAAGCCTCAACAAGCTACCCACTTCAGGAATTGTTGTTATCTTATAGGTTCCTCAGAATTTGGCCATGTATAATGTGATTGGTTCTAGGCCAAGCCACTTCAAGCATCGACCTGTGCAAAAGAATAGGATAGAGGAGAATATTAAGTAGGCCAAATAATATACACCCCACCTACTCTATGATCATAACTTAGTGGGAGCTATATTTATTTGTGAGAATGTAAGATATTGCTAAATTGGTATTCATCGTGATGCTATAGAAGGTGTTTATTTAGCTTTATCTGGATGTTTGGAGGCAGTGGAATACAATTAACAGCATTGAACAAACATCTGTATACGCCTTTCTCAGGATAATTGAGCAGATTCATGAAATGTTGATTTTCCCAATATGTTTTGGTTAATTTTTTTTTCTTTAATTTTTATTTTTCAGTTTTTCTGAAACACTATACTATTATTTTGATGCTAAAGCAATTAAAGACCTACCGTGATGTATAACAAACTTCTCATAAGAAAAGTTGAGTTGGGATGTCAACCTTGTTTTGCATCACATTTAACATCTAATGTAACCGGGTGTTGTTTAAGTATAAATATAATATTAAAAAGTAAATATATTAATATCATTAAATATTATTACTTATATACTCTGTACCCTTATTCCATAAAGCAAAAAAGAACAAATGATTATGATAAAAAAGTATAAATTATATTAATTATTTCAATTTTATTAGTTTAGCGATGTTGATGTTACCTGAAAATTTCTTAATTTTGATGTCTCAACTTACGGAACTTAAAATAAATATAACTTTTTAGCAATTAATGAATTTATTAAAAACATCCTCATTAAAGTTTAATTTTTTTTATATTTTTTTATATTTTAATAAACTCTTATGTCCTTATGCTCTAAAATGCTCAAAGGTTTAGATGATAAGAGTAATGATTGAAAAGCCAAAGTAAGTTTGGCAAGAAGGAAATATATATATATTTATATGCACTCGGTATACGAACATTTGTCGTAGCTTTCTCTTATATATTTTTTCATTGATTTTTTTAACAAACGATTAAATGTATGTATAATAAGAACTTTATACATATTTTTTTAAAAAAATTACATAATTCAATCTATTGTTAAAACTAAATGTTATAATTTTTAATAAAAAAAAATTATTTATTAATATTTTTTGTGTGGTCTTAAGTAAATATTAGAAAAAGAGATCCTTGATCACTTGATTGTATTTTACGTGATATCATGAACTATGTCACGAAACTCTGAAGTGTCTCTACGAACTCTATCGTAGGCTTAAGATTATGAACATAATATGCAGTTCTTGTTTCTTTAATGTTAAGCGAGCGTCATCAATAAATGGATCGCCTCAGAGCTCAATCTTCAATCTTCAAGCTTGAAGTCAAATTGAGTTTTTGATACTATTCCTTACACCTACTCAAACGACAAACAAGATCTAGGGATCGAGGAATCTCCCGATTAACGATGCCCATATTTATTATTGGCAGTGTTATTTCATTTAATCCATTGAAATAAATTGATTAATCATAAATTGTCACATCAAATTAGTTATATCTAAAGTTCACATAAAGTTTTGTAACATATTGTATTGCTCTTAAGTTAATGTCTTGAATACATAGAGCAATAATCTTAACTCACGTGACATTAATTTTTGTTTTAATTTATCAAAGACCACTCTTAAAAAAATTTGAGATTTCAGCTGGTGGTAATTAATATTATCAACCTTGTGTGAACTTACGAAGAACTTTATTGAAGAAAAAAATTAGGTATGAATTTCTATGTTATTTTTAATTAAAAGTAAAGATTTGTTTTAATAGTTGAATAATAGCATTAAATATTTATCTTTTATTGAGATAAAGTTTAAATTTTGATTAAAAAGTAACATTAGAAATATTTTAAAAAATTGTACATAAATTTTATGCTTTTGTTAACTCTCTTATCTAGCACTTTTAACTTTAAATGTTCCTAGAATAAATCTATCCTAAAATTGAATAGATTTCAAGATTATAGGAAAGATAAAGATCACCTTAGTGATCTAAACTCAAAGGGTTGGAGCACAATATAAAATGTTTGGTTCTGAAAACTTGAATGATAGTATGTTCTGAAAAGTTTTTAACTTGATGTATACAATAAAAATATACTTTTTGTTTAGTCAATCACAATTAGTAATTTCACAATGCTTGAACGTGAAATAATTCTTGATTACTACGTCGCTTTACCCTTAACCATGAGTGAAAAATAGCTACCAAATTATACTGCACATATGAAGGTCTTTCGATATATTGTCCCTTTTCACTCCACTAATGATTTCGGGAGAAGTTGTTCTAAAAGAAACCCTTGAAGTTCATCAATCAAGAGAACTCGTCAAAATGTTCATCACACATCTCATTATTTATTTTTTTATCTAGGCATGACTTCTATTTGATGCTATTTTCATGTTTTGTTAGATTTGGGATTTAGCCTTAACATCAAAACCTAATTTATATACGAAAGCTTTAGTTTCGAGTCTAAAAATTAATTGTGAGAATTATCTTAACTTTATAGTCGATATGTGGACCATTATACGTATTCTTTACTTAATTAGTCTATAGAAGGACCTGCATGTGTTTAGAACATAGAAGATCTAATTCACTTTTTTCTTCCTAAAGTAACATATGTTATGCCAATTTTGGATGAGTATGAAACGTACAAGTTAACCTACTGATTGCGCACCGCCACCAACAATAACTCAATAAGCATCATTAGAAATTCCGAATGTCTCTAGCACATGCATTCACCATAAAGATGATGTCTACCACATAATTATTAACAAATGATTAATCAGTTGTTTTTGCAAATGGATTACAACTTTCAGAAAATTGGAATGCCATATTAAAATTTCACACGGTAAATTGCATGCATTATTCTAAAAGTACTGCATCACTTCAATGGCATCAAAAAGTGATGATCTAAAAATGTTGAACATCAATATTAAATCTAACAGATGAATACTTGTAGTTAATTATTGAATTTATAATATCATATAAAAGTGAAATTGTTGAGTATTACTTTCAGGTTACTTAACTATTTTCTTAACGCCTAGGGATGCACCTTTTTGTTCCTAAAGGGCATATCCCATCCCGAGTAAAGCTACAAATCTAAATGCCCCACCAAAAATAGTTTCCATGCTGATATCATGAACATGTGGATGATTGATTCTGGTCGACTTAAAAGCCAACAAAGATTGATCCATGGTATGCCATGCAAAAGTGCATTCCATTTATGCTGAAAATTATATGCAATTTCTCACGTGCAACCACTTGATTTCTAATGTGATTTGTCATCCCCGTTGCTTCTGTCATTCTTTCTAAACTAAATGTTTCCATTTTCCCATGCATCCTTTACCAACCTAAATGATACACTCATATTTACGGTGATCCATCACATCTAGTAATCCATCACAACACAAGATATGTCCTCAATGCAAATTATTGTCTCTTAAAATGACCAAATTGATTAACAAGTATATTCAAAGCAGCTACCCTATCCCAAATTAATCCTTCGTTTATACACATTAACCTTTCTATACTTTTGTTGCTTTCTTGCAAATAACACAATTACATTGTACGCATATCACTTGACACTTGTCCTACATTTTTTTTATCACTTGACACTTGTCCTACATTTTTTTCTGTATTTTTTGGATGTTCCGCTCCGACTTTGATTTCACTCCAGACGAGTATTCAATCTATATTTTCGGAGGTAATCTTCTGGTAATTTTGATATTTTAGCCGTCTTAAACGAATATCCTCATCGATAATCTTAAAATAACTTGTCATCACTATCATTGTCATAACAAAAAAATGTGGTGTTTGATTATTTAATGATGTTATGAATTTCATCCACCCTTTAAGGCTTCATGCGTTATATGTATATATATAGCACAATATAGGAAGGGAGGCTTGTAAAGCACGAGCTTTAGTGCGTTTCATAATATTTTGTCATTGATTGAACAAGCCTTTATTATTAGACTTAATTGTTTTTTATTTTTTTAAAATTTGAATTTTTAAGTTAACTAAGTTCTTTCATTTTAAAATTATATAATTTTCTTTCATAAATACGAAATTTAGTTAAAATTAATAAATTTTGAAAGATTTTATAAGATTATGATTTGAAGAGAAGAAAAAGTTTAAATTTTTTATACTTTGCATAAAATATAATATTTTAAACGTTTAGTCTTAAATCAATTTAATTTGTAAATATTTTAATGAAAAATAGAAATGTAAAAGTTTATATAAAAACAATTAACAGAGGAGCCAAGTTTTAAAAGTAAGATGAATTAATTAGTTAAAAAAATAATCAAAAGATCACAATTGTATATAATCTAAACTAGAGAGAGAGAAAAAATACAATTAAACTTTATAGTAGTGAGATGTGTATAAATAACGTGTTAAACAAATCTAAAAGACAAAAATAGACACTGAAGAAACTTGGAAATTAATGAAATAATGATTATTAGTTAATATCTAATGTAATGACACATTTAAAATTGTGGGTGTATTTTGCATGTTTCACTTCTTAAAATTTTTGATGTCTTAAGAAGTATAAAATAAAACAATATTTTGACACATATAAGAAAAAGATCACGTGGGAGGATTGGAAAGATGTTTTCTTAATGAGAAAAGAACCCAACAAATGGCATGGCTTTGGCTCCACTGCGCAACACAAGAATCCGTTTTTCCTACGCAATTGCTAATCTTAATTGGATTATAATCTAAATGTTCTCAACATCTGTCGTATATAAACATATCTGGTTAATTAATTTCAAATAAAATCCAGATGAACTTCACTAAGTAATTTTAATACTTTCTTAATTAAAATTTTATTTTAATAAAGCTTCATATTTAACGATATACTTTAATTTTGATTAATTACAAAAATTTAAAATATTTAAAAATAATTCAAGCATATTTTATTTCCTTTTCAGTGTTTAGTTTTAAATACCATTTTTCAAAACAATTTTTGAAACCTGTATTTCAAAAGAAAAGAAGAAAAAACCTGCTTGATACAACTTTTTTAATGGTCATAAATCATGATAAAATAAATAAATAAATAAAATTGCAACCCAGTCATGACTCACTCCCACACTATTTTTTATCTTCATCACCTTGCAATATCCCATCACTCCACCAAGCAACCCACAGGATCAACTTCATAGTACCAACTAAGTCCATGCAACAATCTTTCTATGTGCCCCCAAAATACTAGCCATAAACTACATCTGTTACATTTATAAATTGTTACTTATTTTTATTTAATTTATGAACTAACATAAATCAATTGTTTAAAATATATTTGGCTTGTTATAATCTTGTGTCTTTATATTATTGGTCTTGTCCCATGATTAAAATTTTCAACGATCACCTTCATCGTACCCGCCACTTCTGCTAACAAAATTTTACTCTCTTTTATTTCATGTCTCGCCTTCTTCTCTTTCGTAGTAAATATTATTATAAGATTGCCGTTAATAAAATGACATATTTACAAATTAAATGTGTCTCTCTCCTAGAAAGTCTTGATGCATGCATATAGAAGGTTATCATATTAGTGTTGGACACATATTTGACACAAATATATTGACGACATTCTAATACTTGTCCTGTTAACTAGTAGTAGTTGTTGTCAACAATTAATATGAGATAATATATTTATTTTCTTTGACAATTTTAATATATTATATAACTTTTTTTTTATTATATATACAACAAAGACTTGAGTTTTTTTGCATGTTTGAGATGTTCTATTGTTAATATATTAAATTTTTTATATTACATATCCTCGCTGTACAGTGCCGTATAATTATGTCTTATCATTGTGTCCGTGTTGTGCTGTGTTTATTTTCTGTATGATGTTGTCCTTCGTCATTGCACAAACGAAGAAAAAAATAATATATATATATTATATGAAATTAGGTGAGAGTAACGATAGAAACTGGTCAAACCTTTTGACAAAAGGTTTATAGTCTAGTCTTTTTAAAAAATTAGTTTGGCTTAATTTATTTAATTAATAAATTTAATTTAAAATTTTTTTAAAAATTAATTAATTAAATAAATCAAACCTAAATTTAAAAAAATTTATTAAGTATATTAAAATGAATTATTTAAAATTTATAATAATATATTAAATTAATTAAATTTTAAAATAATAAAATTTTAATTTAAAAATCTTAATCTTTTTCGTTAGAGTTAAAAAATATCTTTACTATATATTCTCTAAGAAAGAGAGTCTTATTTGTTAAAGTTTTTTTTTTTGCATATCCTATACGCATAACACTAATTTACATTGTACTATCTTAATTATGTTTATTATTAATTCGTTTTATCTCATTCATTATTTTCTTATAATTCTACACACTTGTTTATATTATATCATTTTTTAATAGTTTATTTATATATAAGTTTTATGAATTTTAAAAGACTAAAAAAACTAATAGGCTAAATCAGACTTTTAAAAAGTCAAATTAAACTTAATAAAAAGTTTACTATAGATAGTAAGTCAAGTTTAAGCTTTAAAATTATTAGACAAGTCAAGCCTGTTTATGCAAAGTTTAACTTAACCTATTTTCATCCTTATGCAAGAGTTTCTATTTTCAAAACACTTATATTTTGTCAAAATTTTTTAAATTTGAAAGTGAGATTAGGTCTAATTAAATAAATTTTTTTTTGTTTTTTTAGGGAAAAAATAGTTTTTAAAATGAGAAATCAAACACATCCTTATTTCGTAATCAAAAGACTTTAACAGTTTTCTAGTCAATGCTTCATTCTACGTCAACAAAGAGGAGAAAGATAAAGTAAGAGAAAAGAAAAAGTAAAAATAGAGGGCAAATTGCATGTGTTGTATACCACCTAACCACCAAACATAATCGAAGATTGTTTTTTCTTGGCAATCAATTGGAATGTGTTCTCTAAAAATAAATCTGTATTTCAAGCTAAGCTAGCAACATCCTTGTACTTAATTACACGAGGAATACTGGGATCAATGCAACTTCGGTTGTAATCTTTTAGTATGTGTTTAGGTTTTTGTTAAAATAAAACTTGTAACGGATGTTTGGGTCAAGTGTAAACCCTTTTTTTTCACGTTTCTTTCTTCATAATGTATGAATTAAATGGGCAATTAAATGCATCCAAATTAACTGTTCATATGATGTTAAGGCTGGTTAGAATAGAAGAAAAATAGGAAAATTTTCAACCTTCAATGTATGGGTTTTTTTTATCTATTTTAAATGAATTCAAATATTCTCCAGCATTGCTCTCTATTCAGTAAAATCTTTGAAAATTGATATTTACATTTAATAGTTAAAATTAACCAATCTCATACCTTTTTAGTTTTTATAAGACCAGAAACTTCTTTTACAGAAAAACAATCCTATGTTTTTTTAGATAAATAAAACTCCTACAAACAGTAAAATTATATCTCTAAATATTTAACATAGTTATATTTATTAAAATTTAAACTAAAAACCATAAATCAAGAATCAATCACATATTAGTTCATCATTTAAATTTTTATTAATTAATTCTATTTTTTATTAATCCATCTTAACCATTTAATAGAAAAATTAATGGTCCCACCGTTTTTCCCAGAAAAAAACCCTCTTTTTTCTCTTACCCATTCAAATAGTGGAAGTTTTTGTTTTTCACTCTATTTTCTATCTCCCTCCTATTTCCATAGCATCCAAATAAGCTGCAGGAGATATTGACAAAGGAATTAACAATGATAGGTGAAAGCTTAATATAGATACATACTTAATTACCAATTAAGAATTTAAAATTTAATATTCATAAAAATAATTTTTTGAGAAAATCATTTAAAATTAGAGATCAAATTAAAAAAATAATAAAATTATTAGAGAACAAATTTATTATAAGCAGTCCATTTCTTTTCCTTTGTTTTTTTTTTTTCAAACATTTATTTTCCAACTGGCACTGTAGAATTGGTGCTATTGGGCCGTTTTATTGGCCCTTTAGAATTGAATGACGCGTGTTGACCCATGGACCTGAGCTGTCTCAGGAATTCAAACTCAAAAGTAGTGTTCACCTGCATAAGCACAGCACAACAACATCATCCACCACCCCCAAACCAAACAACCCAATTCCAAATCAAACATCTGTGTCTTGTCCTCAAACAAACATGCCAACCCTGTCCAATTGCTACACCATGCAAGATGCATCTCTCCACAGCACCAAAGACGATTGCTGGATCGTTGTCGACGGAAAGGTTCCACCTTTTCCCTCTCAAATTCCCATCTGAGTCATTCATATGTGTTGTATAAAAATATAAAAATCCTGTCTTTTTACAATGTCCTCTTATGATAGTAATTGTAGTGTCACTTTGTTGTTATTTTTAGCATTACTTGCCCTGTTTCAACTTTAAAGCTTTCTATTTTCTTTTCTTCTTTCCGTCGCCAGTAACTGAAGCTGATTAGAGATATCATTTTTGTTTTCAGTAATGGATAAACTATATTGAGGCTTGGAAATTTTTAAGGCATGGGTTTTGCCTCAGATGATAAATTTAGTAGAATAGTGTCTCGGTCTTGTTTATAAGAAATAATTGCCAATATATTTCAATTCTAATTATAAGAGACAAAGATCAATTTTTAGATGCATCAATTCTTAAATTCATTTTATATGCTTATTTATTGTAAGATTTATGTCAACGAAACATTCATTCATTACTCATAAATGGATACATCCATTTAATATATAATGTCCATCAATGACAAGTGAGTATATCTGTTGCTTCTTTATCTTGAGCTGTGATAATTATATAATTGGATTTTATATCAGTGTTACACAGACACTTACTAGAACCCATTACAAGCTTTTAGGCCAAACAGCCTGAGTTGTCATGTACTTTGTGATGTTTCTCATTCTTGTGAAAGTAATTGCTTCCTTTCATTTTACATCTTGCATTACTCAACTGGAAATAAAAGAATTAAGATTGCGTCCATGGTGTGTTGCAAGAGAGCCTGATATTAATACTAGACCATGGGATTATATGACAACAGTGTAGTCATTTAATATGGTCCTCCCATTCTTCCTTGATATGTTTGGTCTGTCTTCCCATAGAAAAGTTTATGTAATATCATAATCACCACCTTTTGGTAACCAGTAACCACATCTCTTTGAAATTCTTATGATATATATTTATTTTAGTTGCATTGGAAGAAAGCATAGTTTTAAGTTATAGCCATTATATATGTCATGTTTCTCCTTTTGGTTATCACTTTTTATACATGTTTAGCACACACTGGAATGTCATGGTGTCAAGAAGCTCATGTATAGGGAGTGAGAACCAATTTGTTGACTTAGTTTATATGCATTTGCCAAAAACAAGTGCTTTCTGCTCATAACACTTTGCTTTTATTCCTTTTGCTGTTGTTTGACCAGGGCATTTTGATTGTAACATGTAAGTCTTGTTTCAAACATACTTAATACTTGTAAAAAATTCCGTATCATTGCAAGTCATGGTAATTGGTTGATAACTTGTTATGCTTCAAAAATTGTTTTTGATATTTCCTGCCCTTTATAAAGCAATTGACCTACATGTTACTCGGATCATAGTGACTTCTATATCTATTGGTGTTCCATCATGTTTGTCGTATAGTTAAGTAGTGGTTGGAAGGATTTTGCAGCCCATATAATGAGTTCTGTTCTGCCCACTTTCGGGGTAATATTTTGTACTTGTAGTTCATTCTTTTTCTTTTCCTTTTTTCCTGAATAAAAGCTAAAGTTGTTTACTTGTGACTTTATGACATGTTATTTAGATCAGGAATTCTGAAACTTGTGCTGTATGTTGGTTGTATGTTTCTGTTTGCATTGCTTGGATTCACTTCTTGTTAATTGTTATCATACAATAATTTAGTAACGTTAGAATATAAAGATGCTTATTGTTTACAAGCCATATTACGTTAGGAGTTTTATTCTGGTGGGCTTGTACTGGTTGGGCTAAAGTAATGCTTGACAATATTAATATGAATCAGAGTATGAGATTGATATTTTATATCACATTTCCCATATAATATCATTTTCATAATATTATTCAGTCTATTGGGAACCCAGGATAGCAAATAGAAAAAAGAAAAGATAGATTTTTTTTTCTTAACTGAAAATGAACAGAACAAGATGAAAGATCTATCCTCCAAGGCTCTCCCCTTCACAAAGGGTTTCCCCATTCTACAACTGAGCTAATGCGAGTTCTCAATTGATAACCCCCTTCTACCAATCTGATTAACTATTTGTTTGCCAATGCCACCCTCTCTAACTCATTGCTCTAACTATCTATTGATACTCTACTCCATCTAACTTATAACTAACTGTTGATATTTGGAAAGATAAATGTTAGTAAAAACATTTTCTAATGCACTCTTAATTATTAGCTGAAATTTGTTTATCACAAATAATATGTGGATTCCACTTTTAATTTAAATAGTTTAACTCATACTTTTGTAGTTTTTGATAAATTTAACCAATAAATAAAGAGTGCATTAGAAAGTGTGTGTTGCTACCACTCCTCTATTTAGAAATCACTAACAGGGCCAAATTTGAATGGCACCAGAGCAGTACCAATGTACCATCCCTCCTTTACTTGTGTCCTTTTACTGTGCTGAGTTGGAAGAATTTGGAAGTTCGTTCTATTTTGTTTCCTTCAACCACAATGTCTCTTGCAGATCATGTTGATTCCATATTTGGCAGCCTGTTCATTCTATGCCCTTCATGTATTAGGTGTCTTTTTCTTCTTGGGCCATTTGCCTGAATGGTTTTGCTTGGATTCCCTCCAGTTTCTGCCACCCATGAACTCTCTCCGGGTGTTCTATTTGGCCATGTGATCACCATATTTTGTTGCTGTTTGGTCTAATTCCTACATAGGTTACCGTATTATTTTACCAATTTTGGCTTCGTCTTGTATTACTTTATTCCTGAGTGAATTGCTGTTATGCCCCTTTTTGGTTCTGACTATACTGTTAAGTTCTGTTCTCATTCCAGACTTGTCTTTAAGGTTTATGAGTCCAAAATTCAAAATTGTGATTATTCTTTCTGCTTGAAGCTTCCAAATGCTTTCCACTGATGCCTTTTCTGCTCCTCTATTTCTTAACCTATTTTTTCATTTGCAAATGCAGGTGTATGATGTGACACAATATTTGGATGACCACCCTGGTGGAGATGATGTAATCCTTGGTGCAACTGGTACTTCCTATATTTTATTAATCTATGGACTCCAAAACTAAACATGGAAATATTCATCTAATATCAGAATTAAAAATCTGAATGCACCTTTGTATTTTAACATTTGTGAAGGAAAAGATGCAACAGATGAATTTGAAGATGCTGGCCACAGCAAAAGTGCAAGAGAACTTATGGAGCAGTACTGTATTGGTGAGCTTGATACATCATCTCCTATTTCCACCAAGAAACATTTTTCTGAAAACTTCATGCAGCTGACAAAGCAATACTGGGCTGTTCCAGTAGCAGTAGTTGGTATCTCAATCGTAGTTGGTTTCTTATACTTGCGTAGGAAGTGACAATACACTAGTCTGCAATTCAATTATTGTTATTGTTGGCACTGAAAATGAATCATTGCAACAAATTTTGAATTTTTTTGAAGGGTAATTGTTATGAGAAAATTCTCTTAAATTAAAAATAGTAATAATTGATTATATGCAAACTTTTATATTGAAGAATTGATCAAAGAATGGATAATCAAACACTTTTCTTGCAGTTTTATTGATTAGTTTGTAGTTTTCATTTTCATCAAAATTTAAACGGTTCCTTTGCTTCGTTTTTTTTTTCGTTTAATTTGTTTTCTGCATTAGCTATTAAATTTACATTCATGCTTCTGGAACTTGAAAGCGATATTTTGTTCTTTGGATTTTTTTTACTCTGAAAAATGTGGTTAATTAACGACCTAGTCTTTCAATATATCTCTGGTACATATTACCATGTGATAAAGCGATTCCTGCACCATGAACTAAGGTGTATATATTTAAGTGATTCTTTTACAAAAATATTCTTACTATGAATACGGTTATAACGTATAACATAAGAAAAATTTTCATTTAAATAGGAGTAATAACACATACATTAACAATAAATACTCCATGAACTTAGGTCAAACTATGTTTGGAGCTAGGGTATCATAATATACCCGTATCCCATACTTATGTGGTAATAATTCATATCCTCGGATATTCATAAGCATCGAGTACTTAAATTTTCATATTTATTCTTGTTATTCAAATATATTTCTAAAAAATTAATAAACTAGTAAACTTCTACTTATGTTTTATTGATAATGTTTTGTTATCTTTTTAGGATAAAAAATTTACATGTTCACTTAATTGTTTGATAATTTTTATAATGTATTTGAATTGAAAATTAACTTAGATAAATTTAACACAAGTTGCTTGAAAGGGATGTTAAGTAACAAAGGAAAAAAATTATCTAAGTTGTTTTCTATTTGCTCAGATATCTTGAATTTTCTTTAACTTAGGTGTATAAATTATAATAATTTATAATTATTGAATATGTGAATCAATTGATAAAGAGTTATTCTATTTTAATGTATAATTTTGAGTTCAAAATTTAATTAGTATAATTAACATGTCTACTTACATCTAAATATAAAATAGTTTTTTATTTGGTATATGTTATTTGTACTTAAAATAAAAAGAAGTGTGTTTGTAATATAATCTTTCAACGATTTTTAATTTACTTTCCAATTTTATTTGATTGTATAGTTCAGAATATAAAGTTGGCTACTGAGTTGGTTTAAATTGAATTGAAGTATTTTTTTTATCCTTTAATATTTAAAATAATCAAACTAATCAAAATATAAAATTAAATTTTATGAAAATATTACAAGAAAATTGAATAAATTTATGTATATATTAAAATATTATTTAATTTTAAATATAATTTAAATTAATTATTACTTTTATAATATATGTCTCAACTCTTATTTTATGGGAATTATGTTTGGCTTGACAATAACTATCAATATCTATTTAAAGTGTCCAATTATTTTTATACTAAATAAAATTAATTTTGAAACTATTAAACGTTATTAAAACGAATATTTCAATTAAATACAATCATATATATATATATATATATATATATATATATATATATATATATAATATTAAACGCGTGTTTTAAATAAGATGTATTTGCTAAAATTAACGAATTAATTAGTCAAAAAAATTTTAAAAATAGTTAAAAGTCAAAAAATTTAATTAATCATAGTTTTGATGATTTTTTTAAATACAGACATGTAAGAATAAAAATTTAAATAACTTATGCTTATCTATTATTTTTAAAAATTTCATTCATTTATTTTTTAAAATTAAATAGTGTAATTTATTTTTAATATATATATATATATTATTTTTATATTAATTTTTTTATAAATAATTATTTAGAATTTTGTTTAAACTATACTTCAATTATAAATATTTGATAAAATTAGTTATTAAAAAAGTTGAGAAAAATAAAATTATAAATACTACTCAAAAAACAATAATAACTAAAGGCATCATAACTAGGTAGATAAAAATTTGGAATTTGGTAATTATATATTTAAAAAAATTATAATTTTATATTTTAATTTACTTAAATTTATTTATTATTTTAAATGAAAACAATAATTTTTTAATTTTATTCATATTGATAAAATATTTTATCATGAATAATAAAATTGAATAACTTTTTTAAAAAATTAAGATATTAATAATTTATTTTTAAAATTGTGATATTTATTCAATTATTTTATTATTTATGACATGTTTTCTTCTTTTCTAATGTGACAAATAGAGAAAGGAAGGTTTAAAAAATTTAATGAATAAAATGAAACTGCTTAAAAATAATAAAATTACTTCTAGCTGATAACTAAAAAATATTAATATAAATAGTGTTAAAAAAGCATTAATAAATATGTATTTTAGATATTTGACAAAATAATATTATTTTTATTAACTAAACATTTTAACTATTAAAATAAATTTTCAGTTAACTGTTTTTGAACTCGTTAAAAATTAAAGATAAGAAATCTTTTTATATGAAAAAATTATTAAAACTTAATATTTTAGAAAAAATTATGAAAATATAAAAAATTTCTATTTAAAAAAATATTTTTTTTAAAAACTACCATTAACAATTTTTTTAAAAATTAATTCTTTTTTAAATTATGATTGGTGAGTTTTTATTTTAAAAATTTTATAAAAAAATCATTAAATAATTAATATGTATTTATATTTTAATAAGATATTATATAGTAAAATATTATAATATATTAATTTTAATTTTAAATTAATGATTATTTTAATCATCTATGTAATAAGATTTTTTAAAATTAACGATTTGATTAATAAATTTTATAATTTAGAAAATATTGTTGAGTAAAATTCACATTGAAAACGTGAACAGAACACTAAAAGAATAAAAAAGTTTTTATCGTAAACGGAAGGGAGCAGAGTACAGAGTACATTTTTCATACATGTCAAAGTGATGGAAAAAAAAGAATTTCTTTTTCGTATCCAAAAAATTTATTGACTTTTCAAAAATGCTAGAAACAAAAATGGATTCCTTCACAGGAGAAAAAATTTTCTATAAAAAATTGTCGAATTTTTGGAGCTATACTAATGAAGAAAAAAGAAAGAAACGAACTAATGAATTTCTAAATAGGACAAAAGTTTTAGATAAAGAATTTTATCCTATGAATATATTTGAAAACCGAATTAGATTGTGTAATGATGAAACAAAAATAAAATACTTAACTAAAATATATGATCCTTTGCTGAACAGACCCTTTCGTGGATGAATTCAAAATTCTTTTTTACCTTCAATCAAAAATGAAAAAACTTACAAAAAAAAAAATGACATTTTGATAAATAAGATTCATAGTATACTTCTTTCTAATAAGAATAGTAATAATAATAGTATTTATCTAAAATTTGAACAGAAAATTCATATATTTGATAGAAAATTATTAGTAACTGAATTCTCTTTTTTTTTTTCTAATTAATCAATTTTCTAAAAAATCAGTATCAAGCTTGAATTTTAAAATAATTTATTATTTATTTCCAGAACATGAACAAAAAAAATTGGATTCCGAAGAAAATAAAAAAATCTAATTTTTATTTGATGCAATTAGAACTAATCTGAACAATAAAACACTAGTAAATATAAATAGAAAAAAATGTATTGGAATAAACAAAATCAGTAAAAAAGTTTCCCTATGGTCATACAAATTTATCAACAAATTAAAACAACTAGGGGGGAAATAAAGCAGAAAATTTTCAGATTCATTCTAGAAAAGCCAAACGTGTAGGCGGTAGAAAAAAATGGTCTAATCATGTATCAATGACCAATCTTTGGTAGAAGAGAAGATTCCATCGGAACAATTTTTTATTTCTATTTCACGATACCTGGTCTTTTTTTTTTCTATTTTTTTTTTTGAAAAAAAAAGTGTGGGGATAAATATAAATGACAAAAAGATATTGGAACATAATTTTGGAAGAGATGATGGAAGCAGGAGTTCATTTTGGCCACGGTACTAGAAAATGGAATCCTAAAATGGAACCTTATATATCTGCAAAGCGTAAGGGTATTCATATTACAAATCTTACTAGAACTGCTCGGTTTTTATCAGAAGCTTGTGATTTAGTTTTTGACGCAGCAAGTAAGGAAAAACAATTCTTAATTGTTGGTACAAAAAAAAAACAGCTAATTCAGTAGCACAGGCGGCAATAAGAGTTCGGTGTCATTATGTTAATAAAAAATGACTCGGCGGTATGTTAACGAATTAGTATACTACAGAAACGAGACTTCATAAGTTCAGGGACTTGAGAATGCAACAAAAGACGGGGAGACTCAACTGTTTTCCAAAAAGAGATGTTGCTATATTGAAAAGACAATTATCTCATTTGGAAACATATCTTGGTGGCATTAAATATATGATGGGGTTACCTGATATTGTAATAATCGTCGATCAGCAAGAAGAATATACGGCTCTCCGAGAATGTATAACTTTGGAAATTCCAACGATTTGTTTAATCGATACAAATTGTGACCTAGACCTCACCGATATTTTGATTCCAGCTAATGATGATGCTATAGCCTCAATCCGATTAATTTTTAACAAATTAATATTTGCAATTTATGAGGGTCGTTCTAGCTATATACAAAATTTTTGATTAATAATAAGATAAATAAATTATTTGATTTGGTTGGGGAGATTCATAGATTTATGAAATCAATTATTATACGATTACTAAATCGCACAAAAGAAAGAAAAAAATATAAAAAGAACAAACGGAAATATTATGTGATTAGTCAGTATTCAAAATAAAAAATGAAAGTAGACAAATAAAAAAGGAAAGGAGATGGTTGAATTAAAATAATTCCCTTTCAATTTCAATTTCAATTTCTTTTAAGAGGGCAGGACAATATGAATGTTTTATTATGTTTCATCAATACATTAAAAAGATTATACGATATATCTGCTGTGAAAGTGGGTCAACATTTCTATTGGCAAATAGAGAGTTTCTAAGTGCATGTCCAAATACTTATTACTTTTTGGGTTGTAATTATTATCTTATTAGTTTCAGTTATTCTAGTTGTTTGAAATCTGTAAATCATTCCCACATTTGGTCAGAATTTTTTTTTAATATGTTATTGAATTCATTCGAGACTGTGAGCAAAAGTCAGATTGGATTACGGGTGCAGGCCCTGATTTAGTTTACAGGTTGTTTCCTCTTTAGGTTCGCAGGTTGTTTCCTCTTGCGGCCATCACTTCAGTCTACTTTTCAGTCAAATTTGAAAAGTCACAAATAAGATATGAAATACACAATGATAGAAAGTAATAATTTATTCAGATTATTATTTAATCATCATAGCATACATCATATGCCAAATATATGAAAGACAATCTTTCACGTTCAAGGATGCTCTATGGCTTGTGGCAACTAGCTGGGTACTTAGCAATATTTGGAGAAAGAGTCTTAAGAACTGGATTTCTCTCAAAGAAATTTGTTGGCCTTAACTCAAATCCAGTGCTCAACAATGGCATTATTGGAAAATCTTCGTGGCATGGAACATGGTGAATGCCCACTACGTACCAAACCACAATATCCTTGTTCTCAATACCCCTATTCCTGCAATTCATTTCAATTTTCGAACACCCACAAAAGTTAAGGAAAACAAGTTACTACTTCCTTCGCTATCTTCTTAATTATAAAATAGATATTATTTATATAAATTCCTAGGATTAATTTTAACAAATAATAATAGTTTTTATTAAAATTTATTTATTACATACAAATATAAAAATATAATAAATTGAGTCCTAGGAGTTGATATTTATAAAATTATTAAAAAAAGACATGTAATTACTTTCTTTAGAATAAGGACAATTTGATTTGAGAAAACATTTTTGGTGTCATCTTATTTATTTTCTTATTTTTAAATATTTGAATAAGAATTAATAAAAAAGTTATTTTCGTTATAGTACAAAGTAAAAAAAAGAATAAAAAAACATTTTTGGTGATTAAAAAAAAACGTAAAATATTTGCTCAAATTAAACATGCTAACTTCTTCACTCTTAATTGTTAAATTTCTTTTATCAATGGGTTAGTTTTGAATTAGTTAAACAAGAAATGAAACATTTGATTCCAAAGTGAAGATACACACTTACTGCTTAGTCCAAACAGCTAATGTATCTTCTCCACGACTCTGATCAACATATAATCCACCAGCCCATTTTTGAGTCTTATTATATGGAGTAACCCAAACATTGTAATTGGTAAAAGCACCTCGTGTTTGAGGGTAATCATCCTCTGTGAGAAGTGGATGTGCAGCTGCATTTGGAACCAAACGGTACCCTATTTCATTTCCAGTAGAAGTCTTCTTATTAGGATTCACCACAGCTAGTTCAGATGGGCTAAACCCTAGTTTGATCTTTGCATCAGATTCAGTCTTAGCAATTTCACTAGTAGTTGTCCAATAACTCTTTCTCTTGGAACTGTGGTCAGTGACCTGCACTGTCTTGAGATTGGTCTTCACAAAGGAGTTATCTAAACCATCAATGTCAAAATCAAGATGGTATATGTAGTAATGATCATGGTATACACCAATGCTGTGTTCTGAGACCAATGTGCCATGTTGATCATCCTTTATTTCGTCCTTGTGTTTAATATCCACTGCCTTAATTTCCAACATGCCTGATAGTGATATCTGTTGAAACGAGTACAATAATTTAGTTAAATTTTGAATTATTGCATAACATATCACAACGAGGGTTGTATATGTCAAAAAGTTGTGTTTTTAACTTATATGAATCCTTCGGTCCCGTTGGATAAGGTTTTATTAAATAAATTAAATTTTATAATAAGTTATAATTAATCTATATTTTTTCAAAATTTAAAAACTTTTATTTAACTTTTTAAATGCTTAAAATGTATAAATTAATTTTAACTTGTAAAAATTAATTACCTTCTTTTCCGTAACATATTTATGACTAAAGTGGGATTAGCATAAGGAAATAGTACATACCGCAGGCTTGATTGAGCCACTTGGCTTGAACTCCCAATCTATCACATTGTCATAGTTGCCGACAGTAACCACTGATCTAACAATTAGGGTGACATCTGATCTGACCTCTCTTATCTGAAAAAGAGCCATGTGTGGTTTGAATTTGGACAAAATTACATAAATATCAATCTTTAAGATCGAGATAAATAATTATAAATAATATTATTTTATTGAAAAAGGGTATTTAATATTTTGACATAGCTCAAAATTTTTGTCGAGGAATGCCCTATTTGGTTTAGCTTAAAAGCCCCTTTTGGATTGGTAGAATTGTTTTACTATGGTAAAATTGTTCGATAATTTTCTAAGAGTTTGTGGTGAAAGTAATTAATTCTGTTAGGAGACCGTAAAACTTATAAAATGCATCTAAATTTACACTTTTAAAAGTGATTCTATTGTATAATTTAAAAAATAAATTTTCAAACTTATTTTTGAAATATCAATATCAACTACAATAAATTATTATTTTAAACAACTTTAATTCTTCTAAAATCAAATATTTCAATGTGAATTAGATCTGGAGTTTTGACAATACTCAGAGTAAGCTAGTCAAAAATTAAAATGATGATTAATCAAAAGCTGAAGAATTAGCTACAAAATGTAATATTCTTACTTCCTCGTTGGGAATGCCTGTTTCAGTGTGGCGCCAGCTGATTCCACCATATTGTTCAAAGACACAGATAGCGTTTTGCAAGTGTTGTGGGCTACCATCCCTTCCAGCATAATAGACATCAAAGAACTGAGCATGTGGTGGACATTCATGCATAGGTTCCAAAGAAACCATAGATTGACCAAACCCAAACTCACCAGCATCAAAGAAAGTCTTATAATACCATTCCTCCGTTGGGTCTTGGTATGGCACAAACAGTTCAGATATGTAACCTCTGTATAATACTTGTCGTGATTTATGCATCTCAAGGTCGTAAATTGATGCAGTTGAAATTATGGCACCAGCTCTTACATCAAACCCTATGTGAAACTTCCAATTGGCCCAACTGAACAATACACATGAAATCACATCATTGTACAACATTTTGAACCATTTTTGCATTTGCGCTTAAATGTCATTTTTTGTTTTGTTTTAGCTCTTAGTTATATTTTATTCTTTCAGTTCTTTAAGAATATAAAATCAAAGAAATTTAAATAGAGACGAATTTTAAAAAAATTAAGATATATTTAAGTCTTTGTTAAATATTCAACATATATAATTTGAAATAATAGATTCATTGATGAGAGATCTCTAAATTATTATTTAATTAGTTCGATTAATTAAATTTATTGCTAAAAAATGTAATTAATCTGTAACGCAAGTGAAAATTATTCTAAAAGGTATGAAATGCAATAAAAACAATAAATGTAAAAACATGAATACAAAATATAATAGCTGTATAAATTTATCGTTTTGCCAATTCTACTACAATTCCAATCGATCACTATTTATCATGTCCTTGCTATGGATTGAAAGTAGAACTGTCAAAACGGGCACGGGCTCAAATAGGTCGGGCTTAATTAGCCTAAGATAAAAATAAACTTATATTTTTACTGTTTAAGCCTTACCTTATGCGACTTATAGATTTCTGTAGGCTGACTTGACAACTCAAATAATTTTTTATTTTTATTTTTGTAACATGTCATTTTTTTTACTGTTTTTATAACAACAAATCATTGTTTTTATTGCTATTTTTAGTATTTGTAACATACCATGTTAAACTATTTTTACAAGAACTTAATAGACAACTCATTTTTTATGTCCAATTTTTGTATTATATTATTTATTTGTTTTTTTTAAGTTGTAAAAGGTTACTTGTTTCTTTTTTTTATTGTTTTTGTAGCGGTGCAAAAGTATATAATTTAGACTTGTAATTTTAAAATTTTAAAACTAAAATATATTCACTTTCAAACTCCTTAAAACTCAAGGTTTTATCTTTTATATATATATATATATACACACACGGGCTGCCCGAATCTGCATGAACCAACCCGATTAAAACCTTATCAGATATTAAGCTTATTCGGACCAAGCTAAAATAGTCCAAAATAATTTCAGGCCTTATTTTTTAGAGTTCAAACTTGCTCATTTAACGAGTTTTTTGGGGCCTAATCCATCAGATCAGCCCATTTTGCCGGCTCTAATTGAAAGGGACAAAAAGTAAGGCTCATTTCTTTCAATAATTATTAGTTTTCACATTGTTTAAAATGTAGTCTAATACTCTTATTGAGGAAAAGCAGAAGCTACAAATTTTCTTTTTTAAAAGTAACTAATTATAATAATATTTTTATATTTATCACATTTTCACTCGTACAAAATTCTTCAAACATGTGGGACGTTTTATACAAAAAAAAAGTTATTTTCATTTATTTTTTTTCACAATATTAATTTTCATAACTTATCTTTCCACTTTATCTCTTTTTCATTACATTTTCTTATTTTATATCTCTGTCTCTCATCTCAAATTTTCCCTTATCAGTAACATTGTTAAAATAATATTAGTGTATATTTAGATTGAATTATTGGTATAAATTATAATATGTTTTCATATATAAAAAAATTTGCTTATAATCTTATTTCCTTTTATTTCATATCATTAAAAAAAAAATAGATAATAATATTAAATTGCAGCTATTATAAAAGGATTTTTCTAAAATTAAAATTTTAAAAATTATGATGAAATGATCATAAATCATTTTTGTTTTCTCAATTTATTTTTAAAAAACTAATTATTTTAAATACAAGGTTAATTGAGTTTTTTTACATGAAAAATAAATTAAATACCAAAATAATGATATTTTGAAAAAAATTACAAAAATATATAATTTATCAAAAAATTTCAGCCAAAAAATTGCCATTAACCATTTTTGGTAGTTTACTTTTTTTTTTATTTTAAAAAATTGCTATTGATAATTTTAGCTTTTTTATATTTTTGAAAAAAAATAACTATTTCATCTCTAAATTTCTACAATTATAAAATAATGTTATTGACAACTTTTTATTTATCATACTTTCATATTTTTCAAAAAATTCATATTTCAGTATATATTATTTAAAAGTATCATATTAAAAAACCAAATAATTGCACCAAACAATTTCATACCTTTTTTCAATCTTACTTACAAAAAATAATTCTTCAAATAATATAAATAAAATAAATAATCTTAAAATCACTCTTCAACTAAAATATTAAAACATGTTTCATATAATTAATCATTAAAATGCTTTCTAAAAATTATTCAATCTAAACACACACATTCATTACGATAATTTATTGTGAATATGTGATAAGCATTGTGTGAAGTTTACCTGACGCTGTGGCCTTTGATAGTGAACCCTGGTCCCTCGGGTTGATAAGAAGCATAAGAATGAAGCTTTGGTCCAAAGGGTGGTTTCATACGTGAGGCTCTATATTCAGTATTTTGCGCTTTCGGGACAGGTTCAACGACCTTATCATGGTACTCAACAAACTTCATGTGGTCAAGATCAACCAACATTGTTATTCCATTAATAGGTCTGACATAGATGTTAGCAGTGCTCTCTTTCATGAAACACTCAATCCTCACAACCCTTTGGCTATTATTTTCCCCATACCAACCAACCGTAAAACTGGAACAAACAACCTCCGACAAATTCAAACCCCTTTTCTTAACTGACTCAACAAAGGGACCATACTTAAGTGGCAGTAGTATGGCCTCCGCTTGTTCTTCTGCAGTTAAGGTTGGAAAACCGTTTCCTTGGTGGATTTTGTCGGATACAACGTTGGAGGATTGAAGGTTTACTAAGATTTCGTGGGTTTGGCTGTTAATGATGGCTATTACAAAGGCATTGCGTGAGGTTTTGGAACCCGTGGAGATCGATTTGAGGACCGTGGCTTTTTCTGGGTCGTCTAGGCCAACGTAGTGGAAGGAAACACGGTTTTTGGATATTGGGTATTTTTTTAGGACTATTGTTTGGACAAGGGTTATTTCTTCTTTGGTTAGAGGGTCCAATGGGTGTGTTATTTGCAATGGACCTTTAGAAACTCCTGCTTCTACTTCCAAGTAGAAGCAGTAGAAAAGAAAGTGTGTGCTGAGAGAAACGAGGTTGAGGAGTTTCATGCTGCAAGTTGTTGCATCCCCTTGCTGTGGAGAATTGATGGCTCCTCACCCTTTCCTTAAATAGACCAGAATGAGATAAACCGATAACAATAATATTATTATTACATTTATGTTTTCTTATATTTCATTTTCCCTCATTTATTTTTATTTTTTATCATATTATTTGTAATATCTCTTTTTTTTTTTCTTTATACTTTTATCTTTGTCTTTCTTATATTTTCATTTCACATCTCATAAAAAGAGTAGAGTACAAATATATATCATCATTCATGTTGAAAAGATCGAGAAATGTTTTTGATATCGATAATGGTTTTTGAGTGCCTGTTGGAGATACATTAAAGTGCTTCTTTGTGTGGTTTTTTTTTCAGATATGTATATATAGAAAGAATAAGAGAAATAAATAAAAAATGATCATATATAATGTCATGTGTAATGTTAAATTTATGGTTCAAATAACAAAATACTTTTATACTTCTATAAAGTGTATATACTTGTTGAGCAATAAGAAAAGACAAAAATGATCACATATAATAAATGGTGTAATATGATAAATAAAAAGATGTGATAGTAATTCATTAATGTATATTTAGGGTTATTTAGCTTTAGTTTTTATTTTATATTCCCTACTAATTACAAAAGTACTATATTTTTTTTATTCAATTCTTTTGTTTCCATATATTTATACAGAAAATAGTAAAAGCAACAAATATTATTTTTTATTATTTATTGTATAACAATTTTGGAAAAATCTAAAACAAGATAAAAATAATGTGACGCTTTTAAAATTAAAATGGAAACAAAAAATAAAAAATATTTTATGAAATGAAACGACTCCTTACTTTTGGAGTGTACGAGTGAAAAGAAGAAAAATAATAATAAAAATATAATATGATAAAAATAATGAAATGTAATAAATCTTTTTGATACCCTAATTAAAGGTACAAAAGTAATGTGAAATAATTCGAATTGTAAAACGGGCATAGGAATGACTGAACCCATCCAACGGCCTTATTTTTTACTTCTTTATTTTAAAAGTAAAATAAAGAGTACAGATTTATGCCTCTATGTAAAGTTGACTGCAGGAGATCTATTTCCCAAATCACTCGATGTTTGTTTATCATGTGATGGTCATGTAACATTTTTTTAAAATTAAAAATTAGTCTTTAAATTTAAAAAGACTAAAATTAATTAGTTTGTGTCTATCATTAACTAAAACAAATCAATATAACAAAGTATGGATCCATGCTTTTATTTTCCAGTTGTTATTTTTTATTTTCATTAATAATTGTAAACTATTTTTAAAATTTATTTTTAACAGATTATACAGAAAAAATAATAAATAGAAAAAAATTTAATGATAAGATATAGAAGATTTTCGTTAAATTAAAAATTAAAATAGAAAACATTATCCACTACTAAACAGACACAAGTTTTCGTTTTTGTGTGGTCCAAACATGAATAGGGTCCCCTGGGGCTGGGGCTTCGCTTGTTTGGCCGCTCTATTATGTCATTTTGCTACTAGAAGATTCATTATTTTTAAACAGGTGCCATGCATGGGTATGCTTTTCTTTTAATAGTTTTAATCATTTAGAATTATATTACCATAATTAATTTCAAACGTGAAATGATTTATTCAATTTTTAAAATATTTACTTAAAATTTATTTGTTTTCTAAAGATTTATAATATTAATCATTTTTTAAAATGTTATTTCTGTACCTTTTAATCTTAATATTTAAAATATTTAATTAAAATTGAGCATGTAAGTTAATTTTAAGTAATTTTTAAAACAAAAATTAATATTTTAATTTAAAATAATAATAATGTACATCAATAATACAATAAAAATAAATAATTTAAATTTTAAACATATATTTAATAATTTATTTATATATATAAAGACTTGCTATACATTTAATAAAAAAAAAATTAAAATATTTCAAGTAAAATAAAAAGCTATAAAAATTATAAACTATTTTTATAATTTAAGTAAGGTAAATTCTGTTCCAATTTTAAAAAGTTTCAAGGTACTGTAAAAGAAAAATTTTAAGCGGTAAAATTTAAAAACGTATTTAAATAATAATTTTATTTTTTTATTTTATTTTATTTATCAATTACTCTATCTATAATTATTGTTAATTAAAAAAATAAAATTTAAACTGAGATTAGAAATATTAAAAATCTTAAATTTTTGAACTGGGATAAGAACTGGGCGAAAGAGCTTTGCCTCACGGACACTTTGCCCAGAAGCCTCCCAGAATTGACGCGGCAGATGGTGCTGCGGCGGCCGGTGTAGATGGATATTTTGAGGCAGAGTTTGCCAGGCGAAGATGGATTTTCCGGTGAGCCTGTGGAGATCAGACTTGTTGAGGTGGAAGGTGGCAACGATGGGCTGCGAGTCAGGGAAGTGGATATTGGGAGGGATGAAGGGGACTAGTGCATTTTGGAGAGAAAAGTTTTTGAGCTTGATCTTGTAGAAAGCATGGAGAAGAAGAAGGGTGAACAAGGGAGCGTGCAGGCTTAGAAGCAACAGGATTCAGATTTCACACGTCCACTAATGTCTGATAGAAATATTTCAATGTAAAAAAGATGAAATATGTCTTTATATTCATTGTTACACAACTCATAAACTTTATAAAATTAATATCTTATTCATACTTTTAGGGTAAATTTATTAAAATATTATAAATTAAAAAACAATTTATTATTTTATAGTAAATTTGAAATAAATTTTTAATCTAAAGTTTTTTTACTATGTGAGTCAAAATTTTGCCAAACGGTCGACAAAAGTATTAATTTTTGAATTTTTTAATATCTATTTCACCATAAAAAATATAAAATACGACTTCTTAGAGTGATTAAATTAAAACCGCTCTCAGTAGGCTATTTTAGAGAGCGGTTCATAACTTCATTTTAGAAAGCGGTTCATAACTCATTTTAGAGAGCGGTTGAACCGCTCTCTAAAATAGACCTATTAGAGCGGTTTTAATTTAACCCTCTAAGAAGTAGTATTATGGCGAAATAGGTATTAAAAATTTAAAAATTAATACTTTCGTCAGTCGTTTGACAAAATTTTGATCCACGTGACAAAAAAATTCCAAATTAAAAAATTGTTTCAGATTTGCTATAAAATAATAAATTATTTTTTAATTTACAATATTTTAATAAATTTGCCACTTTTAAGACTACATATTAATAAAATTACAATACTTAATTATTTTTTATTATTTTATATTTAAATTTATATCTTCTTATTACTTTTTAGGAATATATTTGATTATTTTCATTATTATATTATATTTTTTATATAAATTCATATAAAATTTAACTTTATTCAAAAATAGTAAAATAATTTATTTTTTACTATTTAATAAAATATAAATATTAGATTTAATAGTCGAATTATTCAATCTAATGGAAATCGTTTTTATGATAGTATATTAAATTACATTATTATTTTTTTAAAATAAAGTCAAATTAAACTATTTCATATTCCCATGCTTTACACGAGCTTCTGGATCAGTATACAGACTCGTTCTTCTGTCATTTCCTATTATGTCAGCCTGGACAAGACGTCTCTGCCACGATGATGGCAACGGGGCGGGGCTGGATAGTGGATACAAATTAAATAACTAAAATTAATAATCTCTCCACATCAAAATTAATTTAAGTTTTTTAATTTTCCATCTTCAAAATAGTTTTAAAAATGAATCTAATAAGCATATTTTTATTTTCATTATTTTCTTAAAACTAATTTTTTATAATTGTTTTGAAGTTTTATTTTTAAAAATTTAAAACTAAAACTAAAACAAACAAAGTATCATATATTTGTTCTTCGTTTATTCTATTGTGTAGCTAAGAAACACATGCTATGGCCTATGGATCATGATTCATAGTTATAATTTACATAGTCTACCAAATTCCTTACTTAAATTATTAAAAAATTATATTGAGAAAGAATTTTTTTCTAAATAAAAACTCAAAAATAATCTTGATATAATATATTCATATTAAAAAATTCTTATATGTATCTTTAGAAGTTTTTATATATGTAGTTATCTTAATACATATCTTGTACATACTTATTTATTTTTTTAAACTTTCTATAATACTTTTTTAGGTACACAACAATCATATAATTTTTTTAAGTTAATAAAAATTATGTGTAAATTTTTTCTGTCGCAATATTTTTGTAATTATCTTATATAAAAAATATATAGTTTCTATTGGTAGACTTACTGATATAAAATTAAATTGATTTTCTTTAGTTTCTATTTTTTTTTTTGTGTATTTTGTGTTCAATCATATTTTCTTACAATTTCATAGTATGAATCATAAGTTTACTCTCATATAGCTTACATGATTTTACATATTCCTCTATGTATATTCTTAAATTTCAAAATCTCATTAAAATTTATATGTACGCGGTTGATGAATGAGAGAGAAAGAATACAAGGGAGTTTTTTTTGGTCTTGAGCTACTAGTTTAGTTATACCAAGACCAGGAATACAAGCGTTTGTTAGATTAGAAAAGCAATTGCAGCCATAATAGGCCCAACCCAGACAAGCCAACAGGACAAGCCCAAACGAAAAAAAAGTAAAATTTGAAAAATAATCGTTCCTCCTTGTGGAGTGCGTGGAAAACCCTAACAATGGCGATGATGCAAGGGGTGCAGAAGAACACGCTATACGTGGGAGGGTTAGCGGAGGAAGTGAACGAGTCCATTCTCCACGCCGCGTTCATTCCGTTCGGCGATATCAAAGACGTGAAAACGCCGCTCGACCAAGCCACTCAGAAGCACCGTTCCTTCGGCTTCGTCACCTTTCTCGAGAGGGAAGACGCCACCGCCGCCATGGACAACATGGACGGCGCCGAGCTCTACGGTCGCGTCCTCACCGTCAATTACGCCCTCCCCGAACGCATTAAGGGTGGCGAGCAGGGCTGGGCCGCTCAACCTAGTATGTTCAAAACCCTTATTCTACGATCCTCTATTCCCTCTTTCCAATTTCGTTTTTGCTTTTTCTATCGCTAATTCTTGATTGTTCTGTTTTTACTGTGTTTTGTTCCTGCTGTTATTGATTTTGTGTTTAATTTAACCATGGAACTTACTGCGGGTTTGATGAAACTAGCTGAAAGCTTATAGCTTGAAGTTGATAGTTTATGAGGTAGATGAAAGCTTATAGCTATAACTAATTGATTAAATTAGAGACGATTGGAATGTGTGCAAAGGACTACAAAGGAAGTTTTGAAGTTATTTAGTGCGCGTATAAATTGTTAAAAAATCTACAAGTTTGTGTTACTAAACACATTCTTACATTCTATTCCAAAAAAGTCTTTTTGGATTAGAAGCTTATTGTTGCGAATTCAAAATTGCAAATAGGAATGTCACAAGTCATTTTTTCAAGCTTAAATTAACTCTAGAATCTCCCAATTTGATTGGCAAGAATGGTGTCTCCATTATTACTGAAAATTTTGAGTGGTGGGGGAGGTAAGCTGTTTTACGGATTGATTGGACCTAGTGATATTCATTTAGCCATATTAAAATGGATTTTGTCGTGCCTTTTCATGAGAGGAAGTTACAGAAAGAAATTGTTGTGTAGGCAGAAATTAATTATGTGTATTGTGTAGTCTATTCCATAGTTATTAATCTCAGATAGCGACGCATGTAGGGATGGCAGCTATTTTAAATACAAGACAAACTAAATAATCTATACTACTTGTATAAATACTGAAATGAAAACCCAAAAGTATGTCACAATTTACACACAATTATCATCAATCTAGGAGCAATAAGAGCATCGGAATGAAGTGAAAAAAAAGGAAAGGTGATGGTGAAATTAGTAGAAAAAGAACAGAACACATAAAATAATAAATAGGAAAATGTGAACTGGTAAGTCTGAAGGAAGAAGAAAGAATATAACACCGGTAAATTTTTTTATGGATATACCACTTTTTACCTTGCACCCTTCCATTATACTTTTGTGTGTAATATGTATAGGTACATCATTCATGATCCATGTTTGCAAGATTATATATGGACACCAATGCAGCCGATTGATCCATGTTTTCAAAGCTATATATGGGATAAAATGATTTGGTCTTTATATGTGGATGAGGTTTCAGGGATTCTAAAGCTATATATAGGGGGAAGAAAGATTTGAACTTCCTAGATTGAATTTGTCCTTGTTGATTGACTCTTGGTATTCTGAATTTTTCAGTTTGGGCGGATGCTGATACTTGGTTTGAGCGGCAGCAGCAAGAGGAGGAGATGCGTCGACTTGAAGCAGAAAATCGAGCTGCAATGCAGGCTGCAGAAGACTTGCGTAGGAAACAAGTAGCACAAGAGCGAGAAGGAGAAAAAGAAGAGGAAATTGAGATCAAGGATGACCCCATGGCAAAGGCTGAAGCAGAGGTTCTTCAACAGAATAACCAATAAATTATCATATAGTCACCAAAGGAAACAGTGCATTTTATTAATTGTTTACCCCTTCTGTAGTGTGAGATAAATCAAATGTATGGTGTAACATATTCCTATAGGTTTTGAAACATGGTATCTAGGGGACTTGTCTCTGAAATGAAAGGTTTTCTCCATTTCCTTACCTCACTTGTCAGGTGAAACCTCTTGCAATTGGACTACCCTAAAATTTCTTCGTTACTTGTTCTCCAATTTATTTTTATTTTTTGACAAAAAATAGAAAACCAAGCCTCCGGTTTAATTCCATTTGTTTGTTATATGGTTGGTCTCGGACATTTGATACTCAGAACAAAAATAGTCGGAGCATCGTGCATTGATCTGCCCATTATTTAAAAAAAAAGACTCCTGAACAATCTATTTGCAAGGGTTGATAAACTATCTAGATACAAGGAAAGATTGTTGAAATATGAATTTAATTAAAATAAAAATTAACTAAAATTTAGAACTGAATAACTAAAAAAATTAATTAGACCACATCGAATTTTAGATTCAGATTTAATACAATATATATGATCTATCCAGTTTTAGTAGTGTAGTAAAATTCAAAGTCACTTTAAAGCATGCTTAATTTGCTGGAAATGAGTAAAATGATTCTTAAGCGTACTTTGAAGCATTGTTCGGCAATCATCAACGTTTCTCGACATTGCATCGGGGCAATCTGGATTTAATTTCTTTTAAAAAGTGGTCCAAATTAGTTTTTTGAAACCAATTCTTGGTATTAATTTGTTTTAGTCGATTCTTGATTGGTTCTACGAACTTTTACCAGTTTTTGTACTCTTGATTTCTTGAGTTGTTCAGATTGATTATATGATCGATTCTCAGTTTAACTAGTCAAATTAGATTTGGTCCAATTTTCAAAATTATGGAGAGAAATTATGTGGCTAGAAAACAATGATATAAAGGAATATAGACACGAAAAAAAAAAAAAAGGAACAAATGAGTTCAAAAGTGATAAAAAAAAAAAACTTTTTTATGGATAATTTTTGTTGAAATTACGAGTTCAAACACTAAATTAATTTGTTCTCATAATTTAGACCAAATTAGTATATTACTAAAATAGTAAAAGTAAGCGAGTATGCATTAGGATGCGCATTTTTGTCATTTTATCATCCAAACTGGAGAATGTAAGAATAATGTAGTAAAATTGAAGTCTAAATACAATTATTATATTAGAAAGTTAAAACAATTTTTGTAGTATATCAAGGGGCAAGGAAAAACATATTTAAATAAAAAAATATTATGCTCTAAAGCAAATATTATATTCTACACCAAAAGGAAAATCATTTTCAAGTGCGTGAGACGTAAAACAGTGGGTACCTGATCATTGGGTTGTCGTTTATTTAAAATAATAAAACTACCTTCTGGACCATATAATAAGCAAGGAAGGATGAGTTATTCCATATGATAATCAAACACATGTTAAGGGATGAAACAAACACGACAGAGGCATAAAATTCAGAAGTTAACAATGGAATGTTGATTATTGAAGGGTACTGAGTGTAATTAATTGTACTTCATGCTTCTTTGCTATTGGCAGCATTTGGAGTTCTTCATGACTTGGGAGCAGGAGTGTTATGGCAAAGAACACCAGCAAAAGAATTATTGCATAAAGCCAGATTGGTGGGCTCAAAGGTAGGATAGAAAGACAATTTCATTGTCTAATTTTCATGTGAGAACTTTTCTGTCTTAGAATTGCATCACAAAGCTTCACAGCATCTAGATTATCTTTAACATTATGCACTCTAACAATATTAGCCCCACCCAAAACACCAGCTGTGACTGAAGCAATGGTAGCAGGATCCCTCTCAACTGCATCTGGACGAGAACAAATTTTACCCAAAAAACTCTTTCTTGAGGGTCCAATTAGTATAGGAGCATGAGAAATGGCCAAACTTCTTTTACCAATCTCTTCTCTGATGTCAGGCAATCCTGTGATGACATCTAAATTGTCTTCAGTTTTCTTTGAGAATCCAATGCCAGGGTCAATAATAATCCTCCATGCTGGGATTCCTGACATTTCGGCTTCTCTAACGCTCGAGTATAATTCTGATGATATCTCTTTACAGACATTATCATATTTCAAGTTTTCACTATTCTGCATTGTACATGGGTCCCCCCTCATGTGCATTGCAACATAAGGAACATCAAGATCTGCCATGACCTTAAACATGTTACTATCTAACTTCCCTGCGGATACATCATTTATGAGATGAACCCCTCTACTCACCGCTTCGGAAGCGACTTCAGCGTGGAAAGTATCCACGGATATGAGCTTTCCTTCTACCTCAGGCATTGACATCACAGCTTCCAGGACAGGGATTAATCTACCTAATTCTTCTTCAGCCGGGATCTTAGACGCCATTGGCCGAGTAGACTGAGCACCAATATCAATCATATCGGCTCCCTCTGAAATCATTAACCGAACCTGAGAAACAGCAGACTCCACAGACTGGAAATTTCCCCCATCACTAAAACTATCTGGAGTCAAATTAAGGATCCCCATGACAGAAGTTCTCTGTGACCAGTTAAGTAAGCCATTTGCAATAGGCATTACTCTATGCATACCTTCCTCTCCTATAAGGGATTCGCCACCTAATTTTTCCCACAATTCAGAGAGTCCACCGGAATGGCCTGAAAATGAATGCCAGGTAGCAACTGTGTCATTGTCAATAGCTGATCCCAGTAAATCCATCAAAGGGGCCATAACAAATGGCCTCTCCCAAATTCTTTCATGCGGTATAGTGAGGATATCAGATCTGACTTTATATTTACCATAGAATAAAATGTCCAAGTCAATCGGCCTTGGACCATACCTTATCCCATCTGTACGGCCCAAATCCTTCTCAATTATTTTGAGTGTCGACAATAACTCGTGTGGCCTGAGTTTAGTAACAGCTCGAACTGCAGAGTTGATAAAGCGAGGTTGATCAGTAACATATGCTGGTGCTGTCTCATACAAACAAGCATGTCTTGTGATGTTTATGCCTGCCTTCCTCATCAATTTCAACGCTTCCTTGAAGTTATGCAGCCTATTACCTACATTACTTCCCAAAGCAATCACTACTTCCTCATCTTGTGAGTGAAGTTCCACAGAGGAATTTGGAGCTGTGTGAAGAGAGGAAAAACCTGGTACTGCAGTGAAAATTTAATCAATATGGTAATTTGCCTTGATTGATGATCCAAAAACTAACTCAGATTGATTATCCTTTTACTGTTTTACATACAAACCATAGGGAAACAAAATTACATAGTTTAGGCACCATCCATCATCCATAGCCTAGAAAGCAAAAATAATTTATTTCTCAAATTACAAAAATATACAATGCACCGTTGGGGAAAAAACCAATTAACTCCCTATATCTCCATCCAAGTATCAGTTGATGACAATCTTTAAGTTTAAGATAACGAATAACCAATTCACCGACACAGGCATGAAACTCTTTACTATTACAACAGCCAAAGCCCACAAACTTCAATCTGAGTTACTTTTTAGTATCAGATCATAGAAATTCCATATCATACATGGAAGAGCAGCTTGATCAAATTCAATGAATTTATGTTTACCTTTAAGATACTTTCTGGCAAAAAAAAGTTGACGCCAGGGTACTCCAAGATACTTCAAAGTAGTCATCTGAGGAGAGACCTTCCAATGTGTGTATATATGAAACCAAACTCCTACCTTTCTTCACCTGTAGTTACTTATTCTAAGCAACATTCCAGTCATTGTTCACAACGGAAAAAAGAAAAAAGATTAGAAAGAGATCACATTCCCATGGAAAATCAAATATCTATAAATATCATACACAAGCAATTATATGTTAGTAAATAACAATCCATTATTCCAATTTAATCACTTAATGTAGCCAATAAACATTATAATCAATATAATTGCAGTCAATGAGATTCGCTAATTTCCATTATGATACACCAAAAAACAAGATCTAAATATCTCTTGAGGCATATTATCAAACACCTTGCATAAGGAAAAACAGTGATAAACATGCTTACCTTTCAAATATCCTTATCAAGGTTCTAATTTGTGGTCGAAGTAGTGGTTGTGGAGTCCCCTAAAACCTTAATACTATGAAACTTACAAAAAAATATAATTGATGTGACACAATATCCAAAATCTTAATCTTGTGGTCAAAATTACATTTATAAACTGTAATTGAAAACCTTGACCTACCCTTACATATATTATTTTTTTCAAGATACTTATTTTTTGACTCTTAATCTCTCTCAATTGGGTTAGAAGGGAAAAAGGGGTTCAAACAACAGGGAGGAACAGCTAGGAGAACACTCCAAGACACACGACCACAACAAGTACGAAGTAACACAGGACAATTCTAATAGGTTTAACTATAAAATAGTGGCATGTTGTCGTGAATAGGCTAAAGTCCCAAACTTTACTAAAACGGCATGACGTTTCGCACAGGACCCTACCTCTTTTAAATCCCTTGTCGTTTTGGGGTGTTGTTCTTAAACCCTTTTCCCTTTTGGAGCCATAATCCTCATATGCTAAGGCTAACTAAACCTTAGCTAGTGCAGTGTGTCATGCCAGAAAGAAAAACTACTCAGTGTTTCTAACTTGTACTCTTCCAATGGCATGCCTTTCTTTTCCCCAGTTTCTCTCACTTCCCAGGTTCTCTCTTTCTCTCCATTGACACCCTCTGCTTGTAGTCTCAAAAAAATTATAAACACCCCCTTCAGGAAAAAAGCTTTAATTTTCCAGAATTTTCTTCAATTATGCTTTTTATAGGATAATCATGAAATGGATTTGAAGGAAAGTTTGGGAATTTAGTAAATTTATCGAAATCCAATGATACCCTGCAAAAAAAAATATAATTTTTTCTGTATTCCTAATGCTCAGTACCAATGGAAAGTCCTTCCATTTGGCTTGAAAGTTGCAATATATATATATATTCTGCACTTGTTTTTGTGGGGAGGGGGTAATATCGTAATGGGTTTCAAGTAATGCTTTTGAGGGTCAAGTTTGGCTGAATCTTAGCTTGTAATTTTTGTGGTGGTTGAATTGAATGTGTAGTAAATCTTGTCTTTGCAATTGTGCAGGTACCACTTGAACTGGTCATATTGTTATACTTCTTGTAATGTACTGCAACTTGGGGAACTTAGGTCTGCGTTGAAATGGGGTCATGTGGCAATGGCTAGGAAAAAGGCTTCTCTAGACTCTGCAATAGATGAACCCAGTGAAAATGAATCTGTGATGAAGAAGAAGGCAACTAGGTCATCTAAAACTAAGAGAGCAACGACAACGACGAAGAAGAAATCAAAAGATGAGTTTCTTGAAGGTAATGCTGATTTGTTGGTAGATAGAGATGATGCTTCCGTTGAAGAAAGCTCATCTGTGTCTAGTGATGATTCCAAGAAGAAAACTAGAAGGACTCGACGAAAAGGTAATGTCTTGATCTTTGTCTCAATGCTGGTAATTTTATACATTATATATGTGTTTTGCTGTAAGTGCTAGCTAAGTCCTGCTGTCATTTATAGATGCGTCTATATCTGCTGGCTTGGAAGAAGAGAAGGAATTCAAGGAAGAGAAAAAAGTTAGAAGACGAAGCAAACCTAAAGAGGATAATTTAATTGTAGAGGACAAAGGTAGCGAGGCTGAAATCAGCGATGAAGATGAGTCTTCATTTATTGGAACTGTGGAGGATGAGAGTGATGGTGGCTTGGAACTGGTAAAAGATGATGGAGAGGACATTAGCTTTACTTATGGGTGGCCTCCCCTTGTTTGTTGCTTTGGAGCTGCGCAGCATGCTTTTGTGCCTTCAGGGAGACCCGCCAACAGGCTTATAAATCATGAAATCCATGAAAGCATGAAGGATGCCCTGTGGAGTCCTGAAAATTTTGTTAGGGCTCCTGGCGGCTCTGCTGGTAGTGTTGCCATTGCTCTTGCAACCTTGGGTGGCAAGGTTGCCTTCATGGGAAAGCTTGCGGATGATGATTATGGTCAAGCAATGCTGTACTACATGAATATGAATAGGGTCCAAACACGATCAGTCCGTGTTGATGGTAAAAGGGCAACAGCTGTATCATTGATGAAGATTGGTAAAAGGAATCGACTTAAAATGAGTTGTGTAAAACCCTGTGCTGAAGATAGTTTGACAAAATCTGAGATAAATATTCATGTGCTGAAAGAGGTATGGAACTTGCAAGTTAAAAAACCCATTAAAGAAAAAGATTTAAAATAAGTAAGCTGATTTCTCTGTAGCTAGTAGGTTCTAGCCTGATCGTTGTTTGTGTGGCAGCATTATCGAATATTGAGCTGAATTGTGATGTGTTTTTCTTCATTAGATGGAACCAATATTTATGAGTTGCAAAATTGGAAGGTCGAACAAAAATTATTTTATCATCCTGTTTTTATTATTCTATATTTTGCAACCATGACTTCTGTTGACATGGTGCATTGTTGGTTGCTGTATTAGTTACAGTGATCATTTGAATAAAAAGCAGAAACATTGAAAGTTTAGTGTGAGGCTCCATTCAGCTAAGAAGCACAGACACTTCTAAATAGTAGTCATGTCGTGTCATAACTGTGTCAGACACGTTCATGTGGGGTGGTGCATGGACACTTTGAACGCTTTTAGTTGCATGTATATAATTTTTTACTTTTATTGTTTAAACTTCTGTTGCAATACCAATTAGAATATCGTAATAATTTGATAAATATTAGCATTTTATTATGTCTAAAGTAACTTGTATTCATTTTCAAAGCAATAATTCTATCTTGTGAGTTAAGATTTTTATTTTATGTTAATTTTATATGTTGTATTAGAACTGTGTTGTATCCTATAATATTTAAAATTATTTATATTCCTGTGTTTGTGTCCTATCATATCCGTGGCTCTATCACATCTGTACTAGCCATTCAAGAATTGTTGCTTGCCTTGGATTACCTTAGGTCTTCTATATAATTTATGTTTCTACTTACTTTTTAGGTTTTAGCCACTTGGGAGGTTAGATTGCTTCCAAATACTATTAAGTAATTTAATACATGTCATGCAGGCAAAAATGTTCTACTTCACTACACATTCCTTGCTTGATCGTAACATGAGATCAACTACATTGCAAGCCATCAAGATATCAAAGCATTTTGGAGGCGTTGTTTTCTTTGATTTAAACCTTCCTTTGCCACTATGGCACTCAAGGGAAGAAACCAAGATTTTCATTCAGCAAGTGTGGAATCTTGCGGACATTATTGAGGTCACCAAGCAAGAACTAGAGTTCTTATGTGGGATCACACCATCTGAAGAATTTGACACCAAAAATAATGCCAAGTCAAAGTTTGTCCATTATGAACCTGAAGTGATTGCTCCACTTTGGCATGAAAATCTCAAGGTTTTATTTGTGACTAATGGAACATCCAAGATACATTACTACACCAAAGAGCTTGATGGTGCTGTTCTTGGGATGGAGGATGCTCCGATTACCCCTTTCACTTGTGATATGTCAGCATCTGGAGATGGCATTGTTGCAGGTACATTATAGCAAATTTACATTTCAATCATAGTGTCGCATTTTTTTTACCATAGGATGTATCAGTCCATTTGAATAATAAAAAGGGGAACCTCTTTTAAATCATGTCTGACACTACTGTAAAAAGAATCATTTGAGATGTGATGGCTTTTGAAGCAATGCTGCAGAGGCCGAGGAATTTATTTCATAATTTCATTGAGTCTGGACAATTCTTCTACCTTATTGCTCTAAAAGTCCACCAAGCGGGCTTTGTTCTTGAGTAATTGAGTTCAACAAAACTCATTTATTAAGACCTTCTTTAGAAGAGCTTATGAACAACTTTTGACTCTCACAAGTTGTTTTCAGCTTATTTCAATAAGCTTCTTGGTATAGCATATCAAAATAAGTTGTTTTCAACTTATCTCAGTAAGTTTCATTATTAAATTTTTGGAATAAGTCATCATTTAAAAAGAACTTAATAAGCACTTAAATAATTTGTGTAAAAACGCACCCTAAAATTGTATCACAGTAGGTGATTAATTGCATATTGGGGTTGGCATTGAGCCACAACATATGTTAAAAAGATAGAGCACAATTGCCTTTGCCCTTACGTGGATTGTAGGAGGCAAAACCATGTTTAAGTTTGCTTAATGTATCCATAATAAGCATGTGATAAATAGTGGCAGCACTCAAGGCTTATATTGCTTGAATCTTTTGCACACAAAGATTGGAAATAAAACTTTCAAGCATTGTTAATGCAAATGGTGTTAAACTGGTTTTTTATTATTTTTAAGATGAAAACCTCATCCCAAAACTAAGCCATGTGTATCTTATCTCTGCAGCACTCATGCGAATGTTGACAGTTCAACCTGAGTTGATAACTGATAAAGGATACCTAGAGCATTCCATCAAGTATGCAATCGATTGCGGGGTCATAGATCAATGGATACTTGGTCGAGTACGCGGCTTTCCTCCTAGTGAAGATATGGAGGACATAACTGCTGATCCAAATGGTATAAGGTCAGTTACAGAACAAGAATACCGCACAGTAGGGTATGTTAGTGATAGTGAGTAATATCAGTTTTGTACCTTATGTTTCTCACAGTGAAGTTTTCATCCCTTGTATAGAAAACTAGAGTGTTTCATTTGTTTATTTGTTTCTTTCCGTGTTTTCCACTGCTAGAGGTAATATTACCTTTGGTTTTTGTATTCCCATTTTTTCTGTTGTACCAATGACATTATAATCAAAATTCAAAATCTCAAATTTTCACTTTACATTTCTTTCCCAAAGTGATGTATTTTCTCTTTCTGACTTGACAGGTCCCTAGTTAGATATTTTGATGTTTGCAACTTTTTCTTCAGCATCTCAAAATTTTTTTTAACCCTACTAATAAATTTGTCTCACTTTGGTCATTTACGAAGGGCTATTCAACATTAAAAAAAGGTACAAAAGCTGGAACCTGTGAGCTGTGAGTGTTTTAAGACCCTGAATTCTTGTAAACAAAAGCTAAAGGAAGAAATGGGGACACGCTCCACATATAAATCATCCACATTACGTGAAATATAGCGTAAATTTAATTATTTTTAATTCAGACTTTATTTTATACACCTTGTCTTCAAAATTTTCAAGTTGCACTCATAATATATCTAAACGTGGAATTTATCTTCTGTCAGCATGTGTCGTTAAATTTAAGTTAGAATTCAATGATTCATGGGATTAGTTGTCACAATTATTTTATGGTATTATGAGGGATGTATTAATTTAAAATATTAGAATAAATGTCAGAGGTAAGATACTAAAAATAAAAAAGCTACTATTAAGAGTTTATTTAACAAAAAATAGTTGATAATTTAACAGAAAATTAAAAAGCTAATTGTTAACTGAAAAAGGTGGTTTACACCTTGAGCTGGGGGGTCATCTCAAATTTTTTTTCTCAATAAATCATTGATTAAGAAGTTCAACAATGCTTACAAATTGAAAAATGCTAAACTACAACATTAGAATAGAACACACAGTAAAAAACATCCTAAACACGCATGATTTACATAGAATTTAGCAAATTTAAAGTTTTAAAAGACAACAAAATTAAAACCAAAAGCAAATTTGAAGAAAACACAACATTTTCTTGCTAATAAAACCTTGAGAGTTACAATATAAAAAGGGGCTGGTTTCTTCTTTCTTTTTTTATCTCTTCGAATAGTTTAGTCCAATAACAAGCTGAAGTTACATACTGTTCTCTGTTTATGAGGATGTAATTATAATGTTCTCCAAAGGAGAAAATGTAACAGAAAAGGACGTAGAGACAACAGGATGAAAGCAAGAAGACTAAGAGAGTAAATTGATGGTCATGTAAAAACAAAAAAAGAAAAGGAGATAATGTTATTGTATACTTTTGTACTACAAAAGTGCATAAGTTGTGATGTTACAATGATCATTAGCTTGTGATGACCAACCTTGGATGCACATTTGATTGACGTTACATAAAATAGCTTATGCATCATTAACGCGCCATATAGCTTATAAAATGTGTATCCAAACATGTTATAAACCCCATGTTGATAATATTAGAGAGTTGGATGTGGGTGAATATAACTTTTCTCTTATTTAATTCCTAGCCTTTTTAGTTTTCAGCTGAGTTTTCATGATCCTTATGATACATTTATTTTACTATGATGATACTGCGACCAAATACTATAGTTTTTAACTCAAAATTCTCATTTATATTTTATAGCATCACTCTCTTAACCTCATTCAGATTCATCACAAATTGCAAGGCCTTAGGGTACTCGTTTATGGACCAACCATCTTCGGCACTAGTGCAATCTGTAAAGCACAAGAATTGATTTTAAACAGTAAACCAACCAGACACTTAAATAAACTGTCACTGAAAAATCTCCCAGATTCCAAACCGTGTACAGATTGAAAATGGTAAAGGAATATCTTAAATTCCCATTTGGGACACAATTGATTCTCATCTTTTGAGTTCTTTATTAGATTTTTCTTTAATCTTGACGACCTTCCTGAGTGGTTTAATTCATTTCCTCGCTGGCTCCTTTTGATAGATGCAAGAAAACCTAACAGAATGCGTAATTATTAATAACAAGAATAATTCAATCCCATACTCAAATGCAACACAGATTTTGGAAAGAATGACGGAGACGTGGAAATTGAAATCTTATCTAAACCATTTTATAATAAGGTGTAGTCGTAAACTTAGTAAAATTATTTTATATTTTCTTTAAATTAATAGTTATAATTTTTTTATTATTTTAAAATTATAGGGTGTTAATATTTTATTTATTTAAATCATTAATCTTATTATCTAATAATATAAAATTAACATTATTTAACGTGTAAAAAAGTATCAAATCATTTTAATTAGAAGTATTGTAAATTTTACTTTTTTATAATTTATTTTTTTCTCAATGGCTTGTAGAAGAAAATTTAAGGAATACGATCTTTTTAATTGAAAGAAATGTTTAAAAATTCATAATGATATGATTAATTTTAAAATCAAATTTTAAAAAAGTCATTTCATTACCTCTTTTTTAGAAGTTAAAAATTATAATTTTTAAAAATGTTTCATCTGTAAAAGCATTTCTTTTTAAAGTTTAACCGAGTGGATCCTAAAATTTTATATAATAGAATTTAATAAACTTCTAAATTTATCCACCGGTAGAAAATAAAATTGAAAAACATATAATATTAAGCTTCTATTAAAATAATTATATTCTACTCCTTTCCAAATCATGAATGTACTAACTTTTTGTTTTAACTAAAGTTATCTAAATAACAGAATGATAATAATCATCTTAATTTTATTATATTGCTTAAAATGTGATCTTTAATTCCGTCCATCCAAACTAAGTGTAAATACGAATATATGTAAATCTTTATGCCCCAAAAGTTATTTGTATTTATTGATATGAAGTCTGTTGATGATAAAATATATTCAATTGTCTTTTCCAGCATCCTTACAAGTACCATATTTGCTCCAACATAATCAAGTGAATGGTATGTGAAGCCTTGATGGTGCATGTTGCATCCATCAATAGCCACAAAGTCCAAAGAAGAATACATAAATGGATACTTGATGGCACATAATATCCTCTCCCAATGGCCAGAGGACTCCTCAAATTCAATTATCAACTGAAAAAAAGGTGGGGAACATTTAAATTTTCCATCATCAAGAAGACTAAATATATTAAAATTTAAACAAAATAGAAAAACAAGAAACTAGGAGGGTGTGGGAAAGTGAACTCTTAGAATTAAATGAACCTGATTTTCCTTCCTAAATTGCTAACAGGTCAGATCATCATCATAGCCAATAACCCAATGAGGAATTAGAAGGCAAGCAAGGAGTTGGAACTTGAAATGATGCTCTCCATGACTTTTATTGGCCGCTTACAAAATCTATACCACACTTTTTCCAAACAACTTCCCAAGAAAGAGCAAGAAAAGGCAAAAAAAGAGACTTTCTATCCAAGAGAAAAGAAATAGGATCTAAGGATATGATCAACACTTGTAAAATCCCTTAACACTAAATACAAACTTACACCTCATCAAGTTCTACTTGTTCAAACTGTTGGAATCTTCAAGTTTTGAAGCAGCCAGTTTATCCAAGAACCACACTAACTTCCCCGTAGTGGGTTGGACCATTCGTGCTGGTATTAACGGGCAGTCAGGTCCAACATCATCTATCGCCAAGTGTACAGATTCTGCTTTGCTCTCACCTGTGACAACTACTGCAACATTCGATGCAGAATTGATAACAGGCAAGGTGAATGTGATTCTCTCAGGTGGAGGTTTGGGGGAGTCAGTGATGAAAGTCACCCATTCTTCCCTTTCATTTAGTGCTGAGTAATTAGGAAACAAAGAAGCAACGTGGCCATCCGGACCCAATCCGAGCAGAATGAGATCAAACTTGGGACAGTCGCTACTCTCTGACACACTAATAACACGGGTTTTCACTAACTGACGTATGACAAACTCATAATCATCAGCAGCTTCCTCTGCTGACACTGAATCATTAATAGAATGTACATGGCTGGGGACAATAGGCACCTGCTAATATAACAAGCATATTAGCAGATGAATATAAAAGGCAGATATGGACAGAAAAAGAGAGTTATTTTAACACATCAAAGCAAAACATTAACATCAGAGGCTCCCACGTTGCATTTGTTCAACTCATTATTTAAACAGAAAGCAAGTAAAATATTAATCATCTCTTTTTCCCTTGGTAATAACCACAAGCATCTCATGTACATTATTTATAGAAGAACAAGAAACACAATTCAGGGTTTACAAAATGGCACCTGACATGAAAAAATGCACCTCTAACAACCGGGGAAACACCCATAAAATTCCTTAACGGCATTTTTGCTTTCTCAATTACTGTATAGGTATTATAGCAACTGAAGCAGAACCACACATCACGTACAAGCTGAATGACATGAACCACAGAACAGAACCAGCCTAGAAATGAAATGCACAGAAGATAATAGTGAAGACATAAACCTAAAGCCTGTTTATTGAATGTTACAGATCCAACTATAAAGGGTTATTCTAATTCTCCAGCTACGAAGTATATTCATCATTCAACCAACACCCATTTATGTGAAACATAAAGCATAAAGAACAGCCCAATCATCTAGCTAAGAAAAAACCGTTTTACAAACACCCCAATTGAAGCACACCTTTTTCCTGTATTCATTTACATACTGCAACTTTTGGGATAAATACATCAAAAGCAAGTTGTACACCTCTGGGATATCATAATGCATCTCTACAGCTATTTCACCTGTAATAAAAGGAACAACTTTCTTGAATGCTGAACGCATTTTTGACACAGTACACACATAATCTGCTGAAGGAATAATCATGCAAGATGCTAAGAACTCCCTCTTTCCACCACTATCATGTCAACTAATAGAGTCCTCAGCCCTTCTGCAACTTTTATTCTGAGAGCGGACTTGATAACCAACTTGCTGTAAGTGAAAGGAAATTGGAATATTTAGAGGCAAATGCTGCAGACAGACAATGTATTCCCTCTGTTTGTGGCCTAGAGAACAAAAAACTATCAAATGCGATGTGCATACAATTTCAAAGTTTTCATGTGGGTGTTACTAGTTTTCCTCTTTTCTATAATGTTTTTATCAATCCTGTTAGGACTGTAAGAACCCCCAACATAGTAATTGGTAATTGCACCAGGAAGATAATGGGTATTAATAGAGTTTAATAACCCAGCACCTAAAAAGTAAGAGACCCTCCATGAAAGAGCTATAGGGTACCATTCATGGTTCACCTTTGAAATTAGGTTATAAAAGTCAGCTCAATCGTTATCATATGATTGTTGCTGTCTACCTAGTTCATATGTTATAAAATCAGGTGATAAGTTCAGGGTTTTGAGAAGTTGGAACTTTTACTTCTGCTACTGTATATCAAGTCTCAAGACTACATACCATCAACTTGTTAAAGCATCAAGGCAGCAATCTTAAGACTTAAGACTTGGTCAATTTCAATCCGAAAAATGGCTGTCCTAATTTTCTATTATTATTTTCAACTGATACATTAATCCTTATTAAGTCCTTTCAATCAAGAAAACAATCGGGTGTGCTTATGTGCTTACACTGTGACCAGCTCATCCAGTTAGCACTCCCAACATTTTGCTGATGAAATTATGGCTGATATCAACCATTCCATTCTTGTTGACACCAGCCATCTTATTGCCATAACAATGGTTTATCTTTAGCAATCACTGACATTCATACATCTTGGCAGTTGGCATGCCCCACAACTCAACTCACAAAATACTGAGTTGAGGTGCAAGTAATCTCCTGGTAAATCCTCATCAGGAAAAAAAAAATATTACTCCTAACATATCTCTACTTGCAGAAAGAAGAGACTGAGTAAGACCAGGAAACTTTTCCCATCCATAAATAGGGTCCTAGCCTCTCCAGGTATGGTCAGGTCACCCATAGTCCTACTCTGAGACAGCCCTTTATACTTTCCAGTCACTTGATTGTTTTAGTTTCTTCAGCAGATGCAACCACTGGCACGACTTAAGCAATCACTGGAGAAGTCACACCCTTAATTCAGGCTATCTTAGGAAGGAACACACACCATTACCAACATTTAAACAAAAAAATGCACAAGAAATTATAGAACTTTAGATCAATAATTTAAGGGGTAAAATAAAATCAAATAACAATAGCATTCAACTATATAGACAGGATATTTAAGAAAGTTTCCTTTATTATTTTGTAAAGAATGACTGCTTCAGTGTATAAACATTGAATATCCACCATCACAATCTTGCAGAACAAGCACCATAATTTCAGCATAATCCTTTCCTATATTAAAGACAAACCTTTTGTAATTTGAAACTTACGTGGGTCTGTGTATATTACCCTGTTTTCCCCTGTCCCATCCCTTGAAAAAGTAAAAGAAGAAAGGATGAAGAAATTAGTAGAAAACAACTAAGCATCCCTCCTAATTCTGTGAACTATGAAGGCCGAACTAATATCACCTTATTATGGCTCAGCTTCCACATCAGAGTAAATGTTAAATTTCAGTAAAGTAAATAGTAAAAACAAGACCCAAACTGCTAATTTTGCTAAGCACCTCCTTGAAGGTAATCAGTATTAATTAAGCCATACATTAAAAAATAGCACCTTTAAGGAAAAATGTAATGTTTCATTCTATCAAAAGAATTTTGAGAAGATTATTTATAAATGATCAAAATTAAAACAGCTAATCAATTTTCTCAGTCAACTGGTAAGACCAAAAGAAATAAAAGCTGTTCATCTTTTTAAAAGATAATATCATTGTTACATTCTGTTTGATTTTCCCTTCTAAGAAGCAATCAGTAGTAGAACATAAATTAGTAAATAACAGTCACCTGAAAACTACAAGTAAATCACATTCCACAAAATTATTCTGAGAATAAACCATTCTTTATAGAAACAGGACAAAGCAATGAGAAACACGAGATGCTTGAAATGAGGGAGACAACCTTGGACAAAAGGCCATCTTTAGCAAGCTTATAATTGCTATCAGCATGGTTTTTCGCCACAACACGCTCATCAGCCCAGAAGATATACCACTTGGACCAGTCCACTGTCTTGTTATAAGGAGCTTCGCAGAGTTTTCTGTTTGCAACCATAAGTTTTAAGCCCACCACTAAATCATAAAAGCAAAGAAACATTACATAGAAAAGATAAGATACAGATACCCCATTAAGCCAATGAGAGAACCACCAGATAAAGCAATGGCAAAGACTCCTCGCTCTTTCACAGATGCCTCTGATAACTCCGCAACATAGTCTGCCAAATCGGTCTTTAGCTCATCCACACTCTCATGAATCCTCAACTCTCCTCTATTTTTATCGCCACCAGAGAGAGCCATGGTTTCAAAGAGTCCAATAGCTCTATGGAGTAACCAGAAAAAAAAACAAAGACAGCATCAAAAGTCAAAACAATTTCATACCAGGTACACATGGCTGGCAACACTAAATTCAAAATACAAAGAGCTTTAACATTAGCCATCCTAAACCTAAAACACAAAGGGTATTCTAAAATTGTCCAAGATCCAGCTTCACAGCTTAAACAACAAAATCTAAAGAAGGGGAATAGAAAATAAAGATATAGGTGTCAAATAATTTTACTGTTTATTTGACTACAATACTTAAATGCCTACAACTCACACGACACTTAAACATAAAAAAATTCCATAAGCCACTGCCTCATACGGTTCAACCCATAAATTCAATTTGCATGTGGAGTCCCTAATTGTCAAAAGTAAACCAATTACGCAAAAGGGTATCATCACCCCAACACAAATTTCCAGAGATCGATGCCAAAAAATAAGAAATGCTAGAACTAAGTACACACTTGATGATTGCAGGAAAATTCACAGAACAAAAAAGAAATGCCCCAGATCAAAATACATGCTCAATTGACACACCCCAACTGCAGCAGAAACTTGAAAAACAACAAAAGCAATAAGGTCAATCATAGTCTCATGCAATTTAACATGACTTTAAACTGCATCAGACAAAGAATCGATACGTTTGAGAACGATAGAAAGGAAGAAATGCTTACAAAGAAAAAGAAGAAGGGATGGCACACAGAAGAAGCTGACGAATGTGGAAGATGGGTATGAACAAATATATATATATATATATATATATATATACATACATAATATATATTTATTATGGATTGTCTACGGTTCTAAGGTATTCAACCATAAAAATTTTATTATAAAATACAAATTGTTAAAACTTGACAAACCAATTAGAATCGATAGATGCATACGTGTAACTTACTTTGTACAGTTATTTTTTTTCAGCTGCACTGCAGCTCATCATTTTCTACGTGTTTGATATTTTTTTTAAAATTAAAAAAGGCCACAATCTATTTGCCGAATTCATCGAAAAAATTGAGGAAACATTTAATTAGACTTACGAAGGTTAAGGTTGGGTTGTTGTTAGGGTAGTATTTTAATTACTGTATCGAGTTTTATTTATCTGAGAAGAAATCATACAAATTAAAAAATATATTTATTTATTAAAATTTTTTAAAACAATTAATTCATTAATATTATATTATTAATATATTATATTTCTATAAACATTCATAATATTAAATGTTTAATGACATATATATTAATTAAATTTATTTATATACATAATAAATAAGTATTTCATTAATATGAATTTACAGAATAATTAAGAATATTAAAAAATTAATATTTAATATATCTAAAAATTATTATTTTGAATTAGGATTAAAAAAGATACTAATAGTTATTTCTTTAAATATCTTTTATTAATGTGTTCTTTTTACTCAAGAACTATTAAACTATTATAAATATTTTTATAAAGATAAAAATAAATTAATAAAAAATAATAATTAGTATTATTTTGAACCATTATAAAATAAACAAACGATTTTTTTTTATACATGTCTATTGATATATGTTAAAAAGTTAAAAATAAAAATATATTATTTAAATATTTTAAATTTATTAAAATTTATATTTTAAAATAAAGTAATTTTTTTATACAAGTTAAAATTAGATAATACTTATTTATTATTTAAAATTTTTATTTTTTTAACTTTTTTGAAATTTAAAATATATAAATTATTTTAAATTTACAAGAGAAATATTATTTATTATTTATAAATTTTTTATAAGTTGTTATTTAGAAATTTATTTAAATTAGACTTTAATTATATTTTAACCTCTTTAATTTAAATTTTGTACAATTTTAGTCTCAATTTTTTTTGTCAAATGTATGTGTTTTTATTAGATATTTTTGTGAATTATACAAAAAATACCTAAAAAATACTATTTATTTTTATTTGATAAATTTTCAAAAATATCTTATAATCTATTTTTAACTTAATACGTAAAAAAAATGATAATTTTTAAAAATTTATCCATTTATTTAATGGCCTGTGAATATATTAAATTTTTTAATTAAATAATTTAGAATGTACTAATAAAAATTTATTTAAAAAAGTTTAAATTAACTCTAATTAAATTGTATTACGTTGATAACAATCTTACTCAAAGCACAGTGAGTGTTAAATATGAACCTCTCTACTATAATAATAACTTACGATATATATAACAATCGTTAATAAATAATTTAAATTTTATTACAAATATATCATTTTAAAAACTATCAAGCTAGACCTAAAAATTTGAAAAGAAGAATGTTATCTCATAATTATTATTTTTTATATTACCTATTAGCCACCAAAAGAAAATATATCTATTTTTTTTTTTGTATATATGTGTTCTTGCTTAAAAAACACTAATCTTTAAGTCTCTGATCTGTAGAGATGATGTTTCTCTGACCGTTGCTGACGTGGGAGAATACTTGCAAAAGGTACTCCGATGCTGAAGTCAGGATTCGATTCTAAGCAATAAATGTTATTTTTATAATGAAAGTCAATCTTTTACTTGTATTTTTACCTTCCTTATATAGGTACTCTAATGGGCTAATAGACCTGCTAAGTTAGTCTTAATTTTTAGCCTTTTATTTAAAGTAAATAATATCTTAATTATTACCTTTAATTGGGTTAATTAACTTTTAATCTTGACAAAGAATATCTAGTTAAACTAAGCTGAATAGATACTCAGTTTCTTTTCCCTACAAGTAAGACTTAGTTGTTCCTCATTCAGTACAATATATATATTTTATTGTAAAATATAAAAACCTGAATATATTTTTAAAATAATTATATTGATATCTTAAATTCACGTTAATGGTTTATTTTAGAGAAAATATATTATTTGTATTTATAAAAAAATATAAGATTGATCAATAAAATATGAGTTTCTATATTTTTTAAAACAAAAAATAAAGATCATTTATAATAATATACAAATGCAGATAAACGGGAAAGACAAGTAACACAGTAAGATCATGTAAAATTAATGTATATATTAATACCATTTTTTAATATGTTTTAAAAATAGAATAAAAAATTAATAAATATTTTAAAGATATATTATTATTGAGTTTTAATATACTAAATTTTATTATTTTAATAAAAAATATTATATATTCTTAAATACACGTTAAAATATTTGTATTTATATCATGTTGTATTTGAACTTGATACGTGAGAAAGAGAAACCAAAGACCTGTCAAATCAAAGGATGACAAATATACAAATGGGTGTTTCTGTCTTGCAAGAATTAAACACAATATTTTTCATTTTACTTTACTTCACATAACAATTAATGAAGACAAACCCCTTCTTTTGCTTCAAGGATTTTAAATCAAATAATTTTTTAAGTTTAGTTTATACCTTTAGAATACAAATCCCTTTTTTATTAAAAAAAATATAAAATTGTCACATTAAAATTTTCAAAGTATAACAAATATTTTAATAAAATTTTATTATTATTAGTTATTAAATTTTGTTAGCCAGATTTTAAACATTTAAAAGGATTGTTTTTTTTTTGTTATTAAAAACAAATATATTATATTAAAATTATGAAAGTATAATAAATACATTCTTTTTTATTAGTTTTAATTTTGTAAACTCAAATTGACAATTTTTTAGTTCTTTGAAAGGGTTGATGTTAACATTTAAAAAAAATAACTATAAAGCTGAAAGAAAAGAAATAAGCTTTCTTTACTCTCTCACTTTATTCTAATTAAAGATAAAACAGAAAAAAAGAGTAAAAAAATTATATCAATTAAATGGATAAAAATAAAAAAGAAGTACAAATACATAAAATATATAAACATATTTTTATACTAATTAAAAAATTAAGTTAAACTTTTTACTCTATTCTTTTTTCTTGATATACAATTTTTATTATATTTGTTATAAAATTCATCTAATTTTTATTTTATGATATTACAAAATAAAAATGACAGATATAATGGGAAATTTATACAATTTTTTTGTTAAAACATTCATAATTTATATGTATACACACTAACATAAATTAATAGTACACACAAATATTACAAAGTATGCCATGCTTTGTTTAATTCACATAGAAATAATTAAAAAATCACTTGCTTTGTTTTAATACTTTTTTGCTTTAAACTTCAACCTTTTAAACATTAAATATCTGTTGATCTAACAAGGAGAAATTTGCAGTGCATTAAACTGATTGAAAGGAATAAAAATATTAAACAAACTTAAAAGAAAGAAGTGATTATTGACACCTACTCCATTTTGTAATTAGATAAATTTAAGAATTCTACACCATGAAGTAGTAGGTAGGATTAAATTACTATTAGTTAAATTTAAAGATAACATGTCAATTGGTGGCCCTTGATTACTACAATGTAATTCCACTTTCTAGAACTGCCATCCAAAAATCTTTACAAAAATGGCAAAAGAAAAAAAATTCAATATTGTATGAATTGCTTCAAGACCAAAAATAGATCATTGAAGTTGCATTATCAGACCCTACATGCTTTCCCCTAAAGGGTCATGAATTTCAGCATATATGATTTTGATTGATTAGTACTAAAAAAATCTCCACTTAACACGTTTACATGTGCTTGTGCTGTACTTCTCTTTTTTCCTTCACTTCAATTTTTCTTTCTTTCTTTCTGTCTTGTTATATCGCTCACTTGTGGTCTCGTTTATTGCTTGTATTTTTCCTTCTCATGATTGAAAGTTTATGCCGTTTCAATCTTTAGCTCAATTTTTAAGTATAAAATATTAGGTGTAATTTTTTAATATTTAGTTTTAACTTAAAATTATTCTTTTTATAATTTATAATAATATTAAATACTTAAAAGTGATAAATTGTGATTTAAAAATATATTTAATTATGTTGAGAATATAAAAGTATAATCAATATTATATTTTTAATAACAATTCATTAATTTTAAAGATTTAAAATCAATCTTAAAAATTAGAATTAATGAAACCATTGATTAAAAAATAGCAGCAAAAGTATGAACTGAAAAATTATAAGGAAGTTTTATTCGTTCTTTAATTATGATAACCAACTTTATGTCATAATATTTTGATGGCGTTGGCACAAAAGATATCATATCAACATGTCAGCCATAATTTTGTTAAATTTCTCTCCGACCTCAACCACCATAGAATCAAATAATGAACATATGAAGAGGGGATTGGAATCTCTTGCAGTCCAAATCAAACTACAGTGGAAAAATAGAGGGAGTTTAAACTCAAGTAAGAGCAAAGTACTAATATGGGAACCCCCAACAAACAGATCAATGCCCCACACAGTATGACAAATTAGTACTTTGGGTACCCCAGTCTAAGGAATCTTGCCAATTTATATAAAATGAAAACGTGACATGGTGATGGGGTCATAACATTGATTGGTCCTTTTAGGGAGAAGCAAGAGCCATGAATCATGTCTTGGCTGACATCTTCCCTCCACTTTGATTCTAAACTTTGGCTAAAAGCCATAGATTTCCAACTATGCCTTCAAATTCATACATGATATTCAACCAGTTTTGAGAGCAAATTCACATCTTAAGCAATTTTCACTTCAATTGTATAAATTTGTTGGAATGCTATGTGGTTTAATCAGATTCGTTTTTTGGGTATTGTAGGTTTTAGTTTTGTCTCATTTTCTTTCACCTGTCACATTTGCCTTTCATGAATGGTGGATTAATATAATACTAAGTCATTGGCCCAATTCAAATAATTCGGACAATTATTGGATTAAAGCCCAAAGCCTAGAGAAACAAATGTCCCTAATGCTTCATTCCAGAAGCTAGAAAGTGCATAAGGGAGGGGAATTTGAGAGTTGGAAAATTAGTTTAATTTTATTTTTATATGCTTTAATTTAGATTAGGTACACTTTTGGTATTTTAAAGTATCTGATTATGATGATATGATATTTAAATCTTTGTACCAATGTTTTTGCCTGCCTATGAGCAAAAATAAGGTAAAAATTGGTGTGCAACAAAAGTTTGAAGACTTGAAATTTAACAAAATTCATTGTTGTCCTCAGGTTCATAATCATCTCTACATTGACTTGCTCGAATAGTTGAATTTAATTGAAGCAGTTTCATTTGAACAATTAGATTTAGACAAACTCATCACCCAAAACGACTTATACCGCATTGTTTTACAACTTGCTTGGAGAACTTAATAGATTCCTATATATATAAATATATATATATTACCAATATCCAATTTACATAATAAAAGATCATGCATAACTTTTTTTACTGTTGACTTTTGTTTGAAAATAGATTTTGGTTGGAAGAAAAATGGGAAAACAAGCAAGCCATTAAGATCAAGGTGATAATTTTTAAAAGTTAAAAAATATACACCGTTATAGGTTTAAATATATCTTTTATTTCTGTATTTTTGCAAATTTTTGTTAGTCCCTATGTTTTAGTTCCTATATTTTCTTAAATTATTTGTTTTATTCCCTTGAGTTTGATGTGGCTAATTGAGAAGTTGTTAGAGCCACATTATAAAGGACCAAAACCAAAAACTTGTAAAAATATATGGAACAAAAAATAATAAAATAAAATTAAAGGAACTAAAACAAAGAATTCACACAAATACAAGAAATAAAAACATATTTAAGCCAAAAATATAAATCAAACCTTAAAATATGATTTATTCTTTACAAATGTCACCCTTACAATAATCATCACCCAGGCCACAAACAGTTCCATGCTGAATAAGAATTCAAAATAATGACATGTCGAGAGTAAGTAAAAAGACAAAGACAAAGCAAGCACTAGGAATGTGGTCCTGCAGCTTGCACCTCATTACATATAATCTATTCGTCACTGCTCAAAACGAAGGGTCACACTAATCAGCAATTAATGCAAGGGAAATAACACTAACAAATTCAAATGATGGATGGTATCATGACACGATATGACTCCATCAAGTCCAAGAAATAAAAGCATTGTTTGGTTACTTTACAATCATAAAAATGTAATTCACAGTCTTATACTATAAAAATGGTGATAGGAACGAGGAAAATGAAAAGTTCGTAAATAATTATACAACAGCCACGTTATGACTTCAAAGCAGTAATACAACTTAGTTATTAAGCAAAATAGTACAATTCATTCTTTTCCTTTTTCTTTACATGGAATGCTCTTTCCTTATGTTGTGAGCCTTTTCCAGTAAAGGGAAGAGAGGAATCCTAGTCGAGCCTAACAAGCCACACTTATAAATTTAATTACAAATACTTGAAGTGTAAATATGCACTTTTGTTTGTTAGCCTACATCATAGATGTAGTTGAGAATTAAATGATATAATTGAAAAACTAAAGTATAAACAATAATAAAATGATACAATTAAAATTGAAATGCTATTGCTTTTATAAGCAACATAATGAAAAGAGTAAAGATTATGGTCTAAATTCTTGTAGCAATGCACATGTGCTTATGGTAAGAGCTTCATTTTCTAAATATTACAAAATAATAATATGTCCAAAGAAACAGCTACTTAAATTCCAATCGCATTTAAAATTTTGAAAACCAGAAAAATAAATCTGGTACTCAGCTGAGTGATAAGACTAACAACTATCTTTTCTCAAACTACTACCACATATCATATCTAGTCATCGTAACTAGGAAAATAGTAGGCAGAATTGGGAGCAAAAGTGTCTGTGTTTCTGAATCAAAACAAAATCAGATTTTACAAATATTCAATGTACAGAGTTACCATTCTATGCAGGTTAAATGGCAGTTCTAATCTCCAATCCTTCTGTTTACGACTAAAAGGTCTTCCTTTTCTAAGAGGGTCTCTATTCTCTTTAACGTCTGCCAACTTCCACACGCATATCTCTGAGTCTTTTTCTATAGAATCTAACAAAAAAACTCCATCCCTTTCTGGGCAATTGGAGTCTATATTTTCAGCATATAAGACTCTCATAGGCATGTCTTTGAATCGCCTAAGATCATCTGGCACTTTTAGTATCCTCTCAGCGCCCGGGGATGAAACCTTTTGGAGCGAAATTATGCTTTGTTAAGTACCAAATACACTTTAAAGGAACAGTCACTACTGAAAATATTTCATGGTTGCAAAAACACAGGACATAGCTGCAATGCGTTACCTCAAGAGCTAAATCATCAGGTATCTCTCCAAGTGCTCCAACTTCATCTAATCTTTTCTTGTATTTCTGATTGTAGCATTCAAGCTCTTCCATGCTTGGACAGCCATATCTGAAAAAGAAAGTTGAACACAATACAGTTTGTACAGCTTTACATATCAAATAGACTAGAAGGCACCATAAACTCATAAGTAAATTATGCACCCTCGAGCAATCAAGTCTAAGATATCTGCCATGATGTCTAAATCTTTTGTGGATCTTAAAACATCTTTTTCCATGCCAAATATTACAAGCTCAAAAAATTTACACAAATCATTTTTAGCACAAGCTATGCACAAATTGGTACAAATGTTTAGCACCAAGGGTGTGATTTGGGAGTGAAGTTTTGGAAGAAAAAACAAGTGTACAAATTTCATTTCTAATAAATACTATGTAATTTGATAATTTTTAAAATAAAATATATAAAATGATAAATTGGCATAAACTTAATGTCTAACTCTTAATCTTATATATATAAGTAAACTTTCTCTTTAGTTCCTGAAATATGCAGCGTTATTCATATCAATCTCTTAAATTTTAAATTTTTAGTTCTTAAAATTAACAATCATCAGTTATATTAGTCCTTACCGTAAAAAGACGTTAAAATTGAGTAATAGAATAATGATATAAAGTTAAGTGACACATGACAGTACATTATTAATACAAAATTATGTTGTTTAATAATATTTCAAAAATAGTTCATTTTTGTTCCTAATTTTAATATTTTTGGGCAATAAAATCCCTCCACGTCTTTTGCTCTATCTTCTTCCTTCCTCCGACAATGGTGTAATGACATTTACGCTATAAAAGTCCTTCGTTTTGAGTGTTTTTTGTTTATTCACCAGATTCAAACTTCAAATCTATAAATAAAGAACACATTGTGATTGATTCAGTGAAAGAGTCTCAAATTTGCTACTTTAGAACTTCTTGATTCTTCTTATGTCCTAAAAGCTACCACTTGTGAAATCCTTATATTTCTTTACAATGATCCCTTTGCAGTTCAAAACCTCTTTGAGACTAACAAGAGAAAGATTGTTGCAATTTCCCTCAAAAATGTTGAAAATGTTAATTTTATCATTCTTACATTTGACAATTCATTGTAGCAGTAGCCAGAAGATAGAAGAAGATGCCATGGAAGAAGGCGAAAAAATAAAAGACGATGAGAAACCTTATTGCTCAAAAATGTTAAAAATAAAGGATGAAAATAAACTATTTTTGAAAAATTTTAAAACGACGTCATTTTATGTCAAGAATAGACTGTCATGTGTCAATTAATATGATAAATCATCAACTCTTTTTCCTAATTTTAACATCTCTTAATAGCAAAAATTAATGTGATTGACAATTGTTAATTTTAGGAATTAAATTTTCAAATTTTGAGGACTGACTTTAGTCAAGTTGCATTTTTCAAAGATCAAAGTGAGGGTTTACCCCCCCCCCCACACACATATATATATATATATATATAAACATTACATAACTTATTTTAAAAATAGAAATTTGTCCACCTTTCCCTCTAAAATCCTACTTTCAAAATATCCTAAAGAAGCTAATTTGGGACTACACCAGTAGTTTAGCTGAAAATAAAAGGAAAAGAAAAAATGGTATAAGATGATGTTAGATAGTAAATGATTTAAGCAGAAGACAGCTAAGACCTTCACTATATTAGTAGGTGAAGGTTGGAGAAAGATGATTGAACTTGGAATGCAAATATAAAAGAATGAATTCTAAAAATGAAGTGATCCCAGCTTCTTAAAGTTTGTCTCCAAACTTAATCAACACTTTAAAAAATGAGGAAAGCTGGAAATACTTTTCTCTGAAATTTAATTTACATAAAATAAATAAATTCAAAGTATTGGATAGCGCATATTAAGAGTGTTCCTATAGAATTTGACATCCACCTACCACATCAATAGAATGTGGACCTGTGTTCTCTCCTTTGAACACCTCTACAAAAAATTTCAACAATTTTTCATTTCCTCCCCTCTCAGTTCTGCCACTTAGTGTTCTTAGCTGTACCCAATTTAACTTAGACCCTCAATCTCATAATGCGTTTTTATTGGCTACTCTCCGTTTAAAAAGTGCTACAAGAGCTATGATCCATTAATTACTGTTGTTTGCCTCAATGTTACCGTCTTTGAAAGCACTGCATGCTTCCACAACCCCTCTCCTCTTCAAGGAGAGAATTTAGGTGAAACATGATTTTTGACTTTCACAGTTTCACCTACCTCCTTATGAACCCATCCTAAACACTAAATCTATCCAAAAAACTAACTCTTCTAAACACTGAACCTGTCACACCATCTAATCCTAACACGCCTATACAGCTGGCAATTTAAACTCAGGGAGATGTAAAACCACAGTCTACAAATGCCAAGACACTTGTTTACTCAAGCAAGCAACAGAGTTGGAACTGGTGATACCTCCAAGCATTCATGAATCCCCATAAGTTAGGTTGAAGTTACCCATTGCTCTCAGAAAGGAAATACAGCCATGTACTCTCTATCCTATCTTTAAATTCTGTCTTAAAATGCCCTGTCTACAGTGTTATGTGCTTTTACCTCTAACCTCGATAGTACAGAAATTCCATACACTAAACAGGAGGCCTTGAAGGTTCCTAATGTGGAAGAGACAGTAATGGAAGAGATAAGGGCCTTGGGGAAAAAAATTAATCATAGCAGGTGAGGTGCTATGTTCTTCCCTTCCCCTCAAATAAGCTAATTAAAAGAATATAAACATGTTCTCTAGATGTTGTGTATGACACAGGTTGAAACCTTACTCAGCAGTTAATTTGTCCAATCTCACATAAACATATCCACGAAGAGTAGTCTTGAAAGCAAAAAGTTTGATGTCCTCACTGAACTGCATAAGCACCTCCTCAGCAATAGAGAGAGCTCGCTGACCCCAAGGAACATTTTGCAAGGCAACTCCACCACCATCACCCCCATCACCGATCTACGCACCAATTTCGAGCAACTTTTAATCATATTCATTATATAATTGAATTGAAGAGTTCTACAATAAAGCAATAACAACCTTAAAGACATAGTACCTTAGGTTCAGCCTCATCTTCCTCTTCCCACCCATCTGTGGCTGCACCTTCATCACTTGTATTACCTGCAAATTCAACGAACCAGTTAAGGTAAAAGTTTCATAGAATCATAGGCCTAGTTTGGCTTAACTTCTCAATAAGTAATAAAAATAAGAAAACAAAAAGAATCAAACTTGTTATGAACAAAAAAATGAATCAAATTTCTCCTGTGAATTCAAATTAATTTATGCTCTTCTACTTTTTTAGAAGCTTTTTTTATTAACTCCTCCAAAACATGAGATGCATTAGTTAACTTACAAGAAAAAATTTATTTGTTTTATCTCCTTTTTTCTTCTTCTCCAAGTGTTTCTGGGCTATGGCCTCTTTTGCTAGGGACTATCTATCAATACACTAGGGAAGGAGTAACAAACACCTATATAGGGACAAGTAAGAAAGAGTTTATGGAAATTATTTGGTATTCAACTCCAGCCAGACAATAGAAAGTAAACATGGGTTATGTTAAAATTATCAAGGCATTCCAAACTTCAAAACCAATTACTTAATTGAAATCAACCCATCATTGATATGCTAATAAAGATCACATTTTTACAAAAATACAGAAAAAAAGATGAATGGAGAGAGAACCTGGAACATGGTGAGAGAAGGAGCGAAGGAAAATGGAGGAGAAGGCGAAAAGGTGTGATTTTGAAGGACAGAGAGATGGGTTAAGGGAATGGAAGGAGTGTGAATGAGTAGCTGTTGCTGGAGAGCATAGTAGAAGAATAGGACCAACCCTATTCCTCATCCTTGTAATCATATTCATAGCTCTTGCCATAGCCATCATTGATGCTTCCTTTCACACTGTCAATGACAAAGTTACATTAACAAACATTTCATAAACCTATGTATGACAGACTGTAGCCAGCGTTTGGGTCTATCTCTTGTACACTCTACACAGCACACGACGGCAGTAACCTTGGTGCCTCTTATCTCAGATTATTCATAACAAACGTTATTTTGTTTTTGGATTTAGCACTTTAATTTTTTTAGGTTATTGGCTTCAAGGCTTAAAAAAAAATTATTAAAAATTATTTATTTTTCAGAAAAAAAATCATCTTTAATTTTTTAACCACTATCTAATTCACATTTATTAACTTTTAAAATGCTTATAAATTTAGTGCTTATTTAATTTTTTAAAAATATTTGTTTTTACTAACTTTTTAAGAGAATTTTTTAAAAAACAAGTAATTGTTTTTTAAATGAATTAAATATGTCTATTAATTTCAACTTTAAAATAATAGCACTTTAATTTTTCATAACAAACGTTATTTTGTTTTTGGATTTAGCACTTTAATTTTTTTAGGTTATTGGCTTCAAGACTTAAAAAACAAAACTTTTATTAAAAATTATTTATTTTTCAGAAAAAAATCATCTTTAATTTTTTAACCACTATCTAATTCACATTTATTAACTTTTAAAATGCTTATAAATTTAGTGCTTATTTAATTTTTTTAAAAATATTTGTTTTTACTAACTTTTTAAGAGAATTTTTTAAAAAATAAGTAATTGTTTTTTTAAATGAATCAAATATGTCTATTAATTTCAACTTTAAAATAATACTTATTTTACATGATAAAAACAAAATATATATTAATTTTTTTAAAGAATACTTATTTATATTTTTAAAATAACTATAAATATTTTTTTTCTTTGTCTTAATATTTATAAGTCATATTAGAGTTTAATTAATTTGAGTCGAAATCGGTGAATTTATTTGAAGGAGCAAAATTCTTAGGAACTATTTTTTCTATTTATGAGTCAGATTTGAGACATTTTAAAGAAAAATCAATCTTTCTTACCACTTAAATCAATACAAACTAATATTATAACCTCCTTTAAAAATACACCCACTATTTTAAAATGGTTTTACGCTCCCGATTTCAATTTCTTTCATTAAAAATTTAAACAGTTTAAGCGTCAGGTTACTACTAAAGTGCTTAAAAGTCTCAAAAATTTATGATTTCAGGTTTCAAGGACAAAAAAACAGAGTTCATAATGCAATAATGGTATATTCATAACTTATATAATTTTTATTTATTTACAATAAATTAAAGTCCTTCAATTTGTTGATTTTATAACTTCTACATATTTAGGACTGGTTTTCATAAAAGAAACAACTATTTATTTTTGAGGAACCTCCATTTTCCATTTAAGTGAAAAATCAACCACCACCTGACAAACGCTCGCCAAAAGAATGCATCTCAACCATTGGAATTTATAAGAGTCCTATTAACGAATATTCTAAGGACATTTATTAATGAATCAACAAATAATAAGCCTTAATGAAAATACAACATCTAGTATATTAGAAACTCAGTTTCATTTTTTATAGATTCTTTTAAATTTTATATATTTTAAGCACTACCTGAGTATAAAATTTTATATATTTTTTATAGATGGTGTAGCCAGAAACAACATTAACATTGCAGTATGAGTAAACGATGCAGCAATGCACGAATGTTACTAGTTCAGTTAAAGAAGATCCCTTCCTATGTCCCTTTGAGCTAATGATCTGTAACATCAAATCAAACTGATGTACAGCAAAAGGCCTAACATGGCTCGATCCCACCATACAATCAAATGCAACAATAGATCACCAAATTAAAATAAAGTACCAATTCAAAATAGACATGAAGACTGATTTGTTAAAGAAACATTTTGAACATAGAACTGACTCAGTTGCCATTACAAAATCTTTGCAGCCTTTAACTACTGTACTGCACCAAATTAGAAACTGACAGTAGGCTTGAACTGAAAATTCCAGTAGCTCACCATATTCAAGCTCTGCCTACTGCCTTAACAATATCAGTGTGACTGTCAACAAAGGCTGATCTCAGATATTATACACTCTTGTCCTTCAAGCAGCCAGCACAACTTCCATTTTGCAAATGTACATATCCGGCTTCTATCAGATTACTTTGTAGTTGAGGAGATGGTTGTTACCAAGTAGCATCGATGCAATTTCAGAGAAGGAATCTCTAGAATCAATTAATAAGGTTCCAGTTCAAGGTGGTTTATACTATCACAACGCTAACAAAAACAGAAAATTGTGTAGAAGCAAGTTTTGCAATGGCAGATGTTTTAGAAAAGTACTCTACTATGAATTACATTATCCTCAACAGAAAACCTCATAATTCAGTGGTTCACCTTCATTTATTTGTGAACCCCTGGGCGTGTTCGTTGTCATTTTTATTTACTTCACACTTGTTTTTCTGTTCCTCCTGAACCCAACCCAAACGTCAGCATAAATTACCAGCTAACTACTGCATCTGGTTTTATTTATAAGAAACAACTAATAATATTTTTTGTATTCTAAATATAAAAAACAAAGTCCCCTTTTTTTAGATGCATAAATTGTAAGTTTTTTTTTCACTATTAATTATTATAAAAGTTGTGTTAAGCTAAAATTATTAGCTCCCATTTCCAGCCAGCTAATCCTATTTAGTTCCACCCTAAATTTAATACTGGAAAGTATGAACCAAATTGCAAACATCATATAAAATATGGATGGAAATCAAGGAATATAAGAATCCAGTAAAAGAAAGGAAAAAGGTAACCCAAATAAGCTGTATTTCTATAATTTATTAAATTATATAATTTACACAGCAAAAAAAAAAAAACTCATTACAATACGCAATTAATCAAGCACAACTAGTTTCTGATATTCTGGGCCAGAAATAGCAGCTTCCATGGCATCTACAGGGCTTAGCTCCCCATCACTATCCAAGAACAATGTCAGTAGATTCTTAGAAAACCCGCTAACTAGTGCCACTCCTTTCAGAGTGGCAGGCACCGGGGTGGCCCTTGAGTTTCTCAGATTCCAAAAAACTACCTGAGGCACAGTAGAGCCATACCCGTTCTCACTATACTTCCTAACAATTGCTTGATAATCAGTTTCCCAAGGGTTTGCCGATGCTTGATCAAACTCCATGTCACTAAACACAATCACCCTCTTAATCATCTGATCCGGCTTCAGATTCCTATTCACAGCCACTTCCAATATGCAATCAAACACCTTCTGGAAATCAGTGTTCATCCCCCACTCCATGTTCCTCACAAACTCAGTCTTGGACTTAAGATCATCCCCTTTGATCAAATGAAGCCGCGGCCTGCGACTGAAAGTAATAACCTTCCCCTTCCAAGGCTCCTCACTCAATTCAGATACCAACATCCCCAATGCCACGCTCACCTCCATGGGAATCCCACTCATACTTCCAGAAACATCACAAACAGCCAAACAATTCTTCATTTTCCCTTTCTTAAGCATATCCTCCACCATCCTCTTCCACTGCAACTCAGCCACATCACCACCATCTCCATCATCCAAAGACTTTATAATCTCATGAGGAAGCAAAGCACCAGCAGCAATGGTACTCTTCCCAGACTTCACATCCTGCAAATAAGCCTCAAACCGCTCCTTGTCATGCTTCAAAAACTTCTCCTTGTAAAACTTCATCGCCACAGAAGCAACCCTATTGTAAGGAATCAAATCCCAACGATTTGCACCAATATACAGCTCAGGCAACTCCAAAACCTTCCTCAAAGGCACCAAAACCTCCTTTCTCAACCGATCACGAACCCTATAAGCATAATGCCCCTCCTCAACCCCTTCATACTCCTTATAAACCTCACGAGGGAAAACCCTTTTGGCAATACTCTCACACAGCAGAGTATAACGATCAAAAGAAGAATCCACAGAAGGGCACCATTTAGCAGCAAGACTGATTTTTGTTACCGATCCAGAATTCAAAAACTGCATATCTTGCTTCAAACACTCCGCGAAATACTCAGAGATACGATCATGAAGGAACCGAAAATCTGGGTCGTTTGAATAACGGTCAACGAGCTTCTTAGCCATGGAAACCCTTTTCTCCTCTCTTAAAAGATGAGCACTTTCTTTCTCAGCATTTACCCTCTTAATCGCGTTCATCACCCTAATTTCTTTGGACTCCAAACACTCATTTTTCACCTTTTCCTTTTTCTGGGTCGAAGCCTTTCGCTTTCGATTTTGCCACTTCTCTTTCTGCATTTTGCGAGCCTCGGAACCTTCTAGAAGCCTATAGAGGATTTCAGGAAGGTCCTTGAAGTAGCCGAAATCGGCGAGGGAGGGGATGTTGAACGCGAGGGTTTTGGGGTGGTGGCGGTGGAGGAAGAGCGCGGCAGCGTAGAAGCCTTCGCGATCGGATTTTCCGGTGCCACGGACGGCACGTAGGTTACAAACGAGTTTGAGGGCGGTGAGGGGGTTGTGGGCCCAGGCGAGTTGGAGAATGTGGAGGAGTGTTTGAGGGGGTGTGTCGGGAACAACATGGAAGAAGAAATCGAGAGATGGGTTTCCTGTGGAGAGAAATGTTGGGGACATGTTTTCTGTTAGGCCCATTGGAGGGTTTTGTTGGGTTGCTATGGCGTTGAAGCTTGAGACCATTTGGTCTATGAATGGCTCTGATGACGTGGCGGTGGGGTTTGATGACGTGGAGGTGGTGGTGGGCTTGGGCGTGTAGAGTTCAGGTGGGCCTAGAAGGGTGGCGGCCATTGTTGAACTGAATTCGAGAGGTTTTGTTTGTACAGATAGCAGAGGGAGAAGGCAATGATGTAGAAGGAAGGGGTTCGTGTTGATGAAGGTTCAGTTTGGGGGTATTTATAGGTTTCTCTCTGCTTGGGCACAATAACATTATTTTATTTTTTGTGACAATGTTGCCCCTGTTTTCGATAAGGTGTGGAAAAAAATTCAGTTACGAAAGTTCAATTCATTTGAAATTAGATCACTTTAAATTAGTTTTTTATTAAATATATTTGTGTAATTATTTTCGTATTTTAAATCTATATTCTAAAACTGAAAATTTCTTTATTTATATAAATTTATATTATGTATGAGGTAATATTTTATGTTCTACGTTTTATGATTAATAGTTTTTTATTAATCTTAATTCTTATAATTAAGATTAAATATTTAAAATATTATTTATTAAAATTTAAATATTATATTAAAATATAAAATTATTTTTAAATTAATTACTATTATTTTTATATTTAAATTTTTTAAAATATTATAACATAATAACTTTTTATTATTTAAAATTATAAATTTTTATTTTCTAGATTTAATTTAAACTTTTATCATAAATGTGTTTATTAAAAATAATTTAATAATACTCCTAATAAATATTTTCTGAGAATTTATATAAAACATAATATAATTATAAATATTACTAAAAAAATTTAAAATTCACTAATTTTATGTAAATAATAAATTATTTTTATCTTAAAAACTAAATTTATAAATTTATTAAAAATCAGTTTTCCTTAAAATTTAAATTTAAAAATAAATTTATAACTAATTTAACATAAAATTAGGTTTAAACTTAACCTAATATAAAGCATTAAATTTAAAATTGATTTCAACAAAAATCAAATTTAAAACTAGTTTTAAATCAAATTTTAATTTTAAAATTATTTTAAATTTAATTTTAAATAAATATAATATAATATAAAATTTAATTAGTATAATTAATTTGTATAGTGAATAGATAATAGAAAGTAGAATATCCAAATATTTATTTAGTTTAACATAATATCAATATAAGAAAAATTATATTATTAACAGATTAAAATATATAAATATAAGTTAATATTAATTTTTTAAAATTAAATAATTTTAATATAATAATTAAATAATAATAATATAAAAATTATAATATATTTTACTAAATTTAAAATTAATTTTAAATTAAATCTAAATTTTAAACCAGATTTAGAAAAATTTAAAATCAAATTCATATAACTAGATTTAAACTAAATTTTGTGCAAATCTAATCCATATATACTCCTAATTTTTTATGAGAGGAATAAGAAAATAGGTTTTCTCCATTTTTTTATAAGAGAAACTTTGACATTAAATTTTTTTAAAATATTAGTAATTTTAAAATAAAAACTGTAATGTATTTTAATGATTCTACCCGAACATGGAACAAGAAAAAAAAAGATAGAGAAAAAGAAACAGAGAGAACATCAACTTCAGAAATAAATTATTTTGGTACATATTAATGAGTGTGCTAATAGTATTAATTAGAGTATTGAAAATAATTTTTTATTAAAAAATTATCAATGTATTTTAATAAAATTTTAGTAGATTTTTTTTCATAACTTAATTAACATCTTTAGGTAGACTTAATGATTTTTTAGATAACTTATGCGATTACATTCCTTAATATTCAATAAAAATTTATTTTATATTTTTTTGTTGCGTTATATAAATTTTTCTAATTCCTGTAATAATATAATATATTAAATCCTTCTTGATAATATATACCTCTTTTAACTTTTTATATAATTATACGAATAGGAAAAAGGTCAATAATAAAAATATAGAGTAAAATTTAGTTTTCCTTTTTTTTTTCTTAAACGAGATTTTACTACAAATATTTTTTTAATGAAATAACAATTAGTAAATCCTAATATGATAAAGAAAATTATTAAAATTTTACGTTTATTCATTTTTAGAAATAAAAATGTGAAATTTATTTAATATCCAACTAAAATAATTTGTTTTATGTATTTTAATTAATCAAGGTATATTTAATATTTAAAATTGTTTAAAAATTTATATTAAATAATATTTATATTTTTACTGCAATGTATTGACATTTTCCTTAAAATGAATTTTTCAAGAAATAATTTTTTTAAAAAAGAAAATACAAAATGTTTTCAAAATTTAATAAAAGAATTAGCTAATCTCTTAATAGAAAATATTTTAAAAATATACTAAAAATTATGTTGAGATGCATTACAAATTAAAAAAATGGGCATTAATTATATTTTTTAATAAAAGATATACATAATATTATTATGTTGAGATGCATTACGCATTATTATAACAAATTAAAAAAATGGGCATAATATGTTTTACAACTTTAATATAATAAATTTGTTTCTTTTAAATAAAATTTTCTATTTTAGATAATTAAACTCAACTCTAAAAATTGAGGTTAACAAAATTTATAAATTTTAAATTAAATTTATAATAAATACTTTATTTTAAAAATAAATGCCATTCAATGAAATTTGTTTGGATGATGCGTACAATCCCGAAGTTTGACTCTTTGCTAATGCCTTTCTTTCTAGATCACGTAGCCACCAAGTTTTAATGAATAAGTTTTACTTTTCTGTAATCTGTAAAAAAAATAAGTTTTATTTTTCTCGGAGATATATTCGTGCAGGGTGCAAACTACTACTATTAATAATTAGGATCGATTGATAATAATAATAATAATAATAATAATAATAATAATAAAAAGAGGCATTCACAGATTTTAAAAAAATTAATATATATCTAATTTGATTTTTGTATTTTTATTTGATCCTTTAGTCATTTGATAACAAAATTAAATTCCTTCCAATCTAATTTTAAATTATTTAAATTGGATAATTTTTATTTTTTTGTTTAATTTTTAAAATTTATATTAGATTAATTGATTTATAGACAGACACCCCATCAATAATCACCTTACATCTCACAGGAAAAAAAATAGCATATAAATATGTTATCTAGTTTACCATAAACTAAGTACGTACTTTCAGTTGTTTATTAGATTAAATATTCAATAAGTATAATTTTCTCATGGAAAAATAGACGCCTTTTATAGATTAGGGTCAAAATTAACTTCCCATACCGTGTTTGTGTCATATAAAATTAATGTAAAAAGATGTCCTTCATAATTAAACTAATGCACGCATCCATCTTGTGATTGAAAGATGGGTAGACAAATCTTGCTTTACTTTAAAAATCCCACTAGTAACTACAACGTGCTCAAATGCAACGTTAATTGAAAGACATACATACACTATTTACATACAAATATGTGACAGCTTACAAAACCCTATTCTTCTAGGGTTTACTTAACAAGGACTAGAGAAGAGAGTGAAAAGAAACCAGCAAAACTTGAGTACTAGTCAAAGGACCATACGCCTAAAATAAATTCAATAAATAAGGAAGCTGCTGCTGCTCTGCCTGTATGAATGTGTTTATCAATGGCACGAGAACAGAACAGTTTTGTGATCTTTGCAGCCAGTAAGTTATACTACCAACTTACAACCGAAGAATAGTTCGAAGTGTGTCAGAGAGATTTTGAATAGTCCGCTGTTCCTGGATCGCTTGCAGCTCCTGCAGTGGCATATCTTCGTAACACCTAACAAGTAAAGCAATTAGGAAAACAATAATCAAATCAAACAAACCCAATACACGCCTAGGAGGAGCTGAAAGTAATCATCAAATCCGAAATCAAGAGCCTCTAAATTGTGTACTTAACTGACGCATGTACATAGGTGTTATACAATTCGTCAATAGAAGCTTTTGCACAAATAAATGACTAAAATTTCTCACATGGAAGTGATAAATTTTTGCTGAGTAGAAGTTAAAGAAAGGAACATACATCTTATGGTAAGCTAAAGCCTGTGCCAGATTCATTAGAGTAGAACTTGATGTCAATCTTTGGTAAATGCTTGGAGGAAGAGGCATCTGCTGCATGTCAAATGATAAATGTCCATAAAATGTGAACAGACAAAAAGTACAGAGGGCACACGCACACACAACATGCAGAGTTACCTCATTAAGTCCTCTCCGACACTTTTTGGACTGTCCGTCACCACTAAAAAGCTCTTGCAATGCTTCTACTGTTCCAGTTCCACTGGTATCCTGTTGCAGGCCACCGAGCACATTGTCTGACAGGAGAGCAATAGGTGATATATCTGTTGCCCTTAAGAATGGTATGGGCACTGTATTACCAGCAGCATAAATGGACCAAAGCTGCAATAGCACAAAAATTGAAGTGAACAGACGATAAATCTTAGATGCAGTCTCACAAGATACAATCATGATGGCCCAACAATATACAAAAGATAGGGGTATTAATTGGAGGAGGAAAAAAGAAAGAAATTTGCCAAGCAAAGGATGCAGGAAGATATACTTCTCTAAAATCTCGTAACACTGATTCTAATAACCAAAAACATCAAATCTTTACTCAGATGGATTGATATCATACAGAATATCGTGTTTGATATCAGATACTTATAGGTAGCCCCTATAGTTAGTATAATAATTGGGCAGTTAGAGAGTCAGTTAGCTGGGTGTTGGGATAATTAGAGAAATAAGGCATATTGTCTACATACAAAAGAAAAAGGGGTCGAGAGGGAGCTTTTTAGCTTGTGATTTGAGAGGAATTCAGATTGTTGTGGGAGAGTCCAGGCCTTTCGGAAGTCTTGGGAATCATTTGTACTTATTTCTTTTATATAAAGAGAAGTTTTCATTTAGAGGTCTGGACGCTCCCACAATAATCTGAATTCCCTCTCAAATCACAAGATAAAATCTCCCTCTCAACCCCTTTTCTTATTTATAAGCAATATGCCTTATTTCTCTAATTATCCCAGCCTGCTAACTAACTCTAACTACCTAATTATTCTACTATGGGTACCTTTCTTAGATAAATAAAATCACAAGAATACCTTATCTTGTAAAGCAAATGATCTGCGGCTGACTGTTTCATTCTTGAATATGTTATTGCTTATATCACTACCAACTCCAGCTTGTGCTCGATGACTACCTTTTGTTTTGAGGTTCTGCTCAGTTGAATTAGTAATGTAAGGTAAAGTTGAATGTATGGTATTGGTAGGATGACTAGATCCTCTGAAAGAAGCTGTATTTGTGACACCAACTTTTTGACTCTCAATCCTGAAAGATTATCCACAAAAGAAAGCAACTTACATAAGGACATAAGGAATAAAAAGGAAAAAGAGGGAAAGCTCGAATAAGCAAATGATGTACATTTTACAACTTTGCAAAGCTAAGACTGTTTAAATTTAGGTGAGAGAATGAAAGAGAACAACTTCCTTGATAAATATAGGCAGCAAATGTAAACAGATAGGTAAGTACCCAGGGTCAGCTAATCTGCCTCCTGTGCCACTGGTCAGAGCAGACAAGGAAACTTCAGAATCTACATCATGTGTGGTCTTATGTGATGCATCTCCATGGACTATTACAGTGCCAAAGTTCCCTGCCAATAATCCACATAAATTAGTTATTTCATCCAAAAAAACTTTAAAATATCTGTCATTTCTCCAAGTTTAAAAGGTATAAATTTTAGAGAATAAAATAAATTAGAAATCTGACCCTTTGGATTAAAGGAAAGAAAATGAAAGGAGAGAATTTTAAAATAAAGATATGATTTTCAATTTTTTGTTGAGTTTTCTTTCTTACCTTACTTTTTTCCTCATTTTCTTTTTCAACCGCACAAGAGAAAATTTAAAATTTTAAAAATCGTCCTTTCTCCCTATTTTCTCTCAATTCTTAAATGGGTAAGCAACAACTACAAATACAACATAACCCAACCAGATGAGGCAGGCCAAAGAAAGGAAATTGGGAAAACTTGAAGTCAGGATTGAACAAAGTAACCCCTGACTACGTTGGTGTTCAAGGTACCATCTGGTCTATAACCCATGTGGCATAACCAGCAAGCTCTTCAAGTCCACATAACAACCAGATTATTTAGTGAAATTCCACAAAACTCAGTGCTTGAAAAATGATTAATACAATTATTGGAAATGGACCAAGCCTAACTAAACCTTAAAAGCACCTCAAGGGAGAGGATTGCCCAAGTCTTATAGAGTATTTTGGCCATATTCCTAGTTCATACTTCATTCGCCACATCTTAACAACAATAAAAATCAAACAAGTATAAATCCTAGTAAGCAAGACATCTGGAGAAAAACCATGTATCATAAACAATGGTTCAGCTGGTAAAGGCACAAGATATTAGATAAGCGTTCATTGACACCAATAAAGAAACATTTCTCTCAGTTATGAGAGACTCAACATATAAATGCACACACATCTATGTATATTGTATGCTCAACAAATGTGGTCTGAATCACACCAAACCATTGGCCTTCATGTATATTGCATGCCATCGCAGTTGATTTCAGTAGGCATTAATAGGAAATCTGTATTCCTGCAGCCTTTATAAAGCTCATTTCTTTCACCACCACAAAAGGAGAAGCACATACTTTTAAGTAACATTAGGCAATAATCAACCACAAAAAATTTCTGTCAAGCCACAGATAAGATGAAAGAAAAAGACCTTCACTCATGTCTACATCTTCCCCCTTTTGCAGCTTCCTCATAGTGCCATGTGATGAGAGATCAGCACCCCCCTCTACACCTATGTTAAGAGGTCTGGATGGAACAGTATCTCCGTATTCATCATTTAGCTTTGAAGCTAACTGTGAAAGAAAAATAGTTATTTTAAGAAATATTCTATAATATATTGTATCCCTAAATGCAAGGATATTTGATTGTATTTTTTACTCGGACAGAAAACCCACAAATTATGGGATTTGACTCTAATTTCTTTCCTTTTAAGGTCACAGGTATTTACATATAATCCATGTGTATCATCAGAACTAAGAAAGTACTCCATATTTTTCGATTTGGGAATACAAATGGCTGCTTCAGATTAAGAACTTGTGTTACAGATGGAAACTAGTTTCTTCTTTATTGAAGGTAGCTGATAAGAACAAGTTTGACAAGTGCATGTGTGTGTGTGTGATAAAGCATTGGGCACAGGGAGCAGAGGAATGCGCGCAGCAAGTTGTAGTCATACCTGATCTCCTGATGCAGCTGGAGCAAGAGTTTGCACCTGCAAAGCCATTGAAGCCCTGATTTGCCTTGCCTTTTCTAGTTTTGGCAACATTGCAGCAGATCCAGTTTTACATTTTTCAAAGAATTTGTGCTACACAGCCAAATAGAGAAATCAAATATGCAGTTGCAAACTAGATAGGCATAAATCAAATTAGTTTGAAAATTAATGAAGGCCTTCGTTTGGAGTTTGTCTAGCCACCCTTATGTGTAGTAGCTGAAATTCAGCTCAAAAGAATTATCAGCCATAAAGGATTAACATGGTAATCCTAGAAAACCAGTCTATGCTTTAAAATCTGCTATTATTTCATTTAAACTATTATTATTATATGCAGTGGGCAACATTGAATATTGAAATACTTTATATAATCATTCACATTTTTTAAATTATTTTCAAGTCATAATAAGAATCAAGTTTTACACTTTGATTTAATAGGTGAAACTAAAACATAATATATCATATTGAAAGAAAAAAGGAAGAAAAAAATTAGTTAAGAAAATATCAGTAGTCACCATCTTAATTAATGCATCTTAATCAATTATACAAGGCTCTCCACATGCATAACAAATTTATATATAACTCAAGTCACAGGAAATTTATAAAACTTCACAAGTCTAATATCATACCAAACTCTCATTTTAGTAAATTTAGACATAACTAAATAGTTGAATCTAGCTATATGATAAGGATAAATCAAAATCAATATTTGACAATTGAGAAAAGCCTTAGTGCAATGATAAGTTTGTTGCCTGGTGACTAAGAGGTCACAGGTTCAAATCGTGATAATATGCTCTCTGCATAGGGCAAAGGCCGCATACATGTACGTTGGAGCCTCATGCTCTTTTTAAACCAACTGAAATATTAGTGGATATACTTTTCGCAATACTTTTCATAACTATTATTTTTATCATTGCTTCTGATAAATCAACTATCAAAATCTAATGATATTTAACAATATATTAAAGGATACAAACAGGTTTACTTGTGAGAAGAAGTTGCATTCATAGCAATACCACTTTTTTTTTCCAGAGAAGGATCAATACTTTAAACAATAAAAGTAAGCATACACTCAAAGCACAACTAATACTGCTTATAGAATCACCATTATAACAAGCGTTTCCAATCCCCCTCAACATTCCACCTAGCCATTTGCCAATTTTTTCTATCTATATTTCTCAATCTCCCAAATATAAATTCATTTCATCTATTATTTACATATCTCTCTTGCTCTCTTTTCCTATTTTCAAATGTACAAGGATAGCTCTTCATTGGTACATATGCAAACATAGCTCTGGACAAACATAAGTTTCTTAATAATGACTAAATTCTCATAAGAAACAATGTAATAGCATACCTTCAACATCTCACATGCAGTAGGGCGGAGACGAGGTTCTTTTGTTAGGCACTTTGCAACAAAATCATGGAAATATAGAGACCTACAAAAGAAAATAAACTTAAACCATTGTCATACACAAAGATACCATCACTAAATTTAGTCACTATCTCAAACACTACTAAGATATGGCACCACTAAAATGACATCAGCATGTTAAGAGTTACTAAGTTTTGTTGCATTTATCGCATTAGACTAAGAAAGCACCAACCTTGTATTGTTTCTTTTTTTCAGGCTAATAAAAGAAATTTCATTAAGATAAAGAGAAGAAATTACAATGAATTTGGGGTACAAGGAGTCCTCCTATAACTAAAAAGAACTAACCTCCTATTCTTACTCTCTAACACATGACAGTATAATACCATTTGAATGAATGTGTTACATTCAGAGATGGGAAAGGAACAACGTAAGTATGAGATTTTGTTTATGTAGGTCAATAGGTGGGATTCTCGCTTATACATAACTTTTAGCATGTATCTTTGATACAGCTAATATGAGACAGCACTTTATTAAAAATAAGCCAATATAGAAGAAAGTCAAGCTCTCATTTATACCTAATAAGTGGTTTATTTCAATGACATCTTACTATAATGTCTTTTTTCAAAAGATCATAATAAAGCATAAGAGTCTGGGATTGTATCGAAAGTATTGCAACAATCTGTTACACAGTACTGACTTTATAAAAAATAAAACTTGTACGTCATATAATATACTATTACAATTATATAAACAAAACAGGATTCTAGATCATCAACAAGTAACTCTTCAAGCTCACTAATTTATAAATTAGCTGTAAAGGTACATCTTGAATATTATAGTACAGAGTAGACTACAGAAACAAACCATTTTTCTTTATCTTCAAGCATCGGAGCAGGTTCTATTGATATCATGAATAAAACCTACAATAGGAAAAAAATATTTGCTTTATACTTCGAACCCATGCGGAAAAAAAAAAAAAAACATAGAAATAAGCACAGGCTTAATAATGGCAAGCAATAAATAAAAATAACTAAATGTTTATTATAAATAAAAATGTCAAGCATTAAAGACTCATTGGATCCCTTCTAGCAAGAGTTACCCTAGTACACTTTCATTTCACAACAATCAATTACTAGAAAGTGTTTTGGAGCCTCACGGCAACCAAAAATTTGCAGTTCATTCAGACAAGTCTATTGATCAATGGTTTATCAAATAGAAATAATACATATAAAACTTTATTTTCAACCAAGAAAGGGAAGTAAAATGAAGATGTACTTTTTAAGGAATAGAAATAGCTATCTCAAAGAAGTGGGCAAGATTCTTTCTAATTTTTTTTCAGTTTTAGGTTTGTCAGTACTCAGTAGTTTGTAACATTTAATCTTCCCAGGTAGCATTACCTTGGAATTTCTAATGAATCTTGAACCCATTGTATTTGCAACAAATTGTGTTGTATAGTTTCTTATAAAATATAAATATGATTGCAATTTGCAAGCTGGGTTTAGGATTCAATTTACACAGAAATTAGTTGAATTTCAGTATCAGGCCACTGATAATTGGCAAAATTAAGGCCCAGGACCATGCCTAGCCCGGTGATCAACTCTAGTTTCAGAAGCTTTAATAGCAGTAAAGAGAGCAAAGCCTTATTATGGCATTGAAGAATTAACATTGTTCTTCAGTGTTTTTGGTTGGAGAGTGCCCACATATTCAAGGATTTTTTGCCGTACTTGGATTGCTAAGGGAAGTAAAGGTCCCTGACAGATGCAGAGGGTTGGAGAGCTTTATTTTGCTAATGGCCTTAAGTTGCCTGTTGTAGCTGGCTTTTATTTTGTGATTTGTTAAGACAGTTACTTCATCCTCTGTTTTCTTTTTATTTCCTCTCTCCTGAATAACCTGCTTTTATAAATGCACACACATAACAACAAAGTTGTATCTCACTTAGGTGGGTAGGCTACATAGATCAATCAATGCCATAGGACTCTGAATTATCAATCTTTCAGTTCCAGTAAAAAATAGAAGTGTTTATAAATGACCAACAAAAACATAACTGCAGGCATTTATTGCTAAAATAAAGGGAAGAAAATCAATTCTCCTTAAATAATAATAATAAAAAAAGAACAGTAACAGATGGTACAAAAGAATTCTCCCACTTTTCCCTTACAGCACACACAGTTTGGTTTGAGTAATAGCTCTCATTGCCATTATGCTCCATAAAAGTGGCATCAGGTCAAAAAGTTATCTTCAAAAAATTGCCTTACAAAAGATTATCATAACAAGCACATAGCACTGACACGAATCCCTAAGGTGCAATTATTTGAAATATGCTCTGAATGATATTATCCACCTTTCAAAATAAAGAATCATATGAATGGCATAACTGCAACTCATCATATTTTGAATTTGTTTAGCACACAGATTGTACAATTTAAATGCATAATTAATTAAAAAAGAAGTAAGAAAGGTATTTATGGTAAATTTAATGTTCTCTGGCTGGAATTAAAAATTGCATGTAAGCAAGCAAAATCTATGGAGCTTCTGCTGAAAACAGAAACTACACAAACTGTTTTCTTTTCATGTTAATTCTCATAAACTTCTAGCAGAAGCAATTTTCATGACAGCAAATTTTCACAGCAAGAACAAATAAAAAAATAAATAACCACTCTATGATAAGATACAATGTTTATAACTACCACCAACAGTTAAGTACATCCTTGGTCTGATTTCTAAAATAACTAGAATTTAGATCCTCTTTCATGACTAATTAACATTCCTCAAAATAAATCTCAATATACAGTTGTCCAAAATTACATTCCCTCTAAAATAACCTACTCAAATAATTTTCTATTTATCTCAGTCACTCTTTCATTTTTCCATCCTAATTCACCTACTCAAAAGTCAAAATTTCCCCAAACTGACAGTGAAAAACAAAAAACAGTAGATCAAATAATAAATAATCTGACCATTTTATGAAAATCAACATAAATTACCAGTTAAATATTACTTATGAGAAGAGGGCAGAGGGAGAAGAAATTATATTTTATAAATAAAACAACCAATAGCATTAAGTACTAAGTTACTAACCCTCATTGGATGTACATCTGATCTTGGAGGAACACCCTGAAAATTATGGTAACAGAATTTAAGCATCTATAAGCATGAGAACGAGTAATTTTTTCATTGTAGCATCCAGATAAAAAGCAGAGACCTAACATAAAGCTTATATTTTTATGGCATGAGTCAATACCTAACAGTATATGAATGACCGACCAATCATGTAAAGATAGGAAGTTCCTTCATAACAATAATAAACTTTTCTTCATTGAAGAAGGGCACAAACCCACACGGGAGAAAGTAGAAACAAATAGTTTACTTTGAAACAATAAAATTAAGAACATAGGTAATGGATATACCTCAGCCATTTCAATTGCAGACACACCAAGAGCCCAAACATCTACCTGAAAATCATAGTTAAATAATTAAAACCACATCATATACAAGTGTGCCAATAATTTAATCATGCAATACTACATACGTAGAATGATACTTCTCTAGACTCTGATTAATGAAACATTGTAAATAGGAACAGTATTGAATAAAACATTACTGATTCAATTTCACGTTTGCTGATATATAAGTAACCTAACTTAGAAACTAACATCGTAAGTGGCCTAGTTTTTCTCTTCTTAAATAAATGTTTTCAAATATACACCAGATAAATTGCAAACTCAACTATTTAGTTCTGAAAACCAATTTGATAGTTCTAGATCTTCATTCTCTCTGATAATTCTATATTTTCCTTTAGGGAATAGACACAATTCACTTGCTTATAGCATCCTCATCTTTGACATCTTTCCCTTCATAAAGCAGCATCAAGCTATCAACTAGCCTTTAACAGTTTAACCAACCTTTTTCATTACTTTATGACAGCTTATTCTTTCACATTCATTTGTTCTCAAATTTTTCATTAAATTGCAGACAGTAAAATTGCAAGCAGTGATGAACTCTAAAAGTAATCATATTTTATATGTAATTAGTTACTATTTATTACCACCACTTCCCTCATAAGTCATAAGTCAAAAGTCAAAACTCTCTGCATTCTTGTTTCTTTATGATCTGAACCACTAACATGGAAAAAATTGCATGATACGGTTTAAATATCCACTTCACTAATTACTGTTTTATTGCTTATCAAGCATACAATACACAAAAGCAGGAGTTTCAAATTTTGAACAAGGTCCATGAGATAGCAAGCAATAAGTATCTTGAAACTCACCAGGGTGAAATTAGAAACCCTTTGTTCAATTTTTAATAAAAATTAATATATACACAAATATAAATATTAATGTCCAGCAATAACTTCTACCCCCTAACCTTAGAGCCATCTACAGAAGAGAAAGAACAGGTAAATGGAAACAAAGCATGGACATCAGGAGATGCAGTACAGCGGCAACAAAAGAACAAGAGCAACCAAGAAAAGTAGGTTCACAAACCTTTCCATCATAGCGACTTTCTTGAATAACTTCCGGAGCCATCCAATGAGGGGTTCCAATGAACTATAAGCACATTAAACTGTAACATCAAAAGTCTTTCCACGATAAAAAATAAAAATAAAAATAACATCTCCATATAAAAAGCAAAAAAAATAACATTAATGCAAGTCAAATACTTTGGAAAATAAGTGCATGCCATTTTCAATAATCCTTAGCAACACGTGCAAGGTTAAAAACACCTCATTTCAAGTCATACTCTTAAGAGAAAATCCTCTGGATATAAGCGCATATTTCTTTTCTATAAGTAAATATGATGGGACTAAAAACAACTGCAAAGTCATAATAAGTTGCACACAGAAACCAGGTTGGGCATTTGAATGTCCTACTGTACAAATTACAAATTAATCAGAAATACATGCTTCAAAAGACTGAGTCAAAAAATGCTAAAACCAATCATTTTTTCTACTTGAAATACACACACTTGTAATCAAAGGCAACGTAACTTGCATGATACTCATGAAATGCACATAGCACAATCATCTCCATCTCAGTTTAAGATGGATTTTGCATTTTAGTAGAAAGAACATACACCTAAATTAACAAAAACATAAATACACAATACTCAAGGATAGATGTTTGTTAGCTAGAGGAAAGTCAAAGATGCAAGTTTAATACAGGTCTAGAGAGAGTTTATTCAAAAAAAACATAAAGATATGCAGCCATCAACATCCCATAGGCAGAGCACTTAATGGCACCAAACTTTGATCTAATTTAATATTTGTTCCAAAATTGAAATATTCTGATGTAAATCAAAATACTCTTTTCATGACCTTTCTATTTGATAAAAAATTAATAATCTTACATCCACACCATAACTCAGCTGTCTAAGCTTTTAGAACCATGTTCCTACTTCCTACCTTTCACTTCAAGAATCCTTTGACTGAATAACTTTCACATGGTTAAAACTAATTTTATTATGAACTTGTCGACAAAAAAAACTCCTACCCGTTGTATTTATTATAAACATCACATGCAAATCTAGAATCCCTAAATCTTAGGGATTGAAATCAGTTAGTTATTGTTTCTATTCTATAAATGGAAACAAATCAAACAATAATAATAATAAATACAAATCATAATAAACACAAAGAATAAGTTTACACAGCAACTACCGTATTGCGCTTTGACATAGTCCTTGTAAGCTGTGCAGCAACACCAAAATCCCCTGCTCATTGTCAACCAGGATTCTTAATGAGTCTGTTGTTACAAGTCCAAGAATATTAACACCTTAGATATGAAATCTAAATAAATTTCAATAAATGAAGATAAGAAGAAAGCACAGGGATCAACATAATGCTTCTAACAGCTAAATTGAAATGCATCAAGCACACATTAAGAATAATGCCATTGCTTAATTTTCACAGTTCAAATACATTCTTTTATAGATAAAGGTTAAGCACATATATAGCCCCAGGAAAAATATTCATGATTTTGCAAGTACCAATTAATAAAAAAATATACTGTAAAAAATAAAGTATAAAAACATTGAGAGAAATCTCAAAGCTAATTATCATTGACCATCTAATAATGAAATTTACATTACGCTCTGCAGTTTTAACAGGCATCAGCATTAAACTTCAAGATGTCAGTAACTCTAAACTTTATCTAGGAAGTTATTAAAATTTCAAAATGCGAATGCTATCAATCATTTTCAGTAACCATTGGAAATAACTAATGAGGGAAGAATGTGATAATTGTTAAATAAAATGTCAGATTCTCCAACCAAACTCCGAATGTTGATGTGTTCAAGGGCATGCATCTATTTAGAAGATATATTAACAATTGTACTTGAAAGATAAAGACAGTTCTAATTGTAGACAATGTGATGAATTGAAGAACATTCAATTGAAATTCTAACTTTGAGTGAAGAATATTACAAATCTTTCACTATGATGATAAGTGTACCCAACTAACCTGACCATTTTGTAGTTGCAGTAATATATAGAAAGGAAAGTTTTTCTACATGCAATCACTTTTTCATAGCAGAATAGCTTCTAGATGGTAGTTTATTATACAACATTTTAGAGTAGTTATTCTATTAGCCCATCTCAATCATAAAAACTAAAACACAATAGCTACTTGTTAAATAAAAAGTCAAGGAAAACACAAAAGGGTGAATTTAACTTTGGTTTTAATGTGCAAGAGAATGATTATCACCACTAAAACTACTGTACAACTACTGTACTCACCTAGCTTGACATCTCCTTGTTCAGTTAACAAGATATTCCCACCTTTAATGTCTCTATGGACTTTAAAAATTGAGTGCAAGTATTCAAGTCCCTACACATAATTAAGGAAAATGTCAGGGAAAAATAAACAAAAGAAGCATACAGATCAGAAAACTTGGTTCAAACAATTCTGCTGAAGTAATTTGTTTTCGAAATTCAGTCTAAACCAATGAGCCAATGAATACTTCGGCTGAAAACCATGGTAGGATACAATCAGTCAATAATACACCCAGTGCTAACCAAGTCTATCAAATCAAGTATACCTTCAGTGCTTCTCTGCAGATATATGCTATTTGACCCTCATCCAGTGGTTCCTCAGTCACATTCATCAGATCAGCAACACTACCACCACCACAGAATTCCATCACTATCTGCCAAAAACTTAATCAGGATTCAGAAACATATTTTAACAACCAAAATCACTTGGATTAAGAAAGTTTATACAACAGAGGAGGCAGGGAAGAATAACAGTTAAAAATTAGGATTAAAAACAGAGGGCCCTGCCAGTTTCTCTCTTCATCTTTGTCAAAAATATTCTGTTAGAGTATGAGTGCAAACTAGTGTGACATCCCTCTAAACAAATCATTAGTTTATCATCATAACAATAAGGAAGCCCAAAAAGACAGAAACACCTTATCAAAAAATCATTAGCTAATCACTCACATGTAAAACTCTAAATCTATAAAGAGTTTCACATACGCAATGCCACATGAACAATGAGTTGAGGTTAGAAAAAAACTTCTTACCCAAAGATACTCTTCTCCTTGATAGCTTCCAAGATAACGGACAACGTTTGGATGATTACATTGTTGTAACATCTCAATCTCACCGCGGATTTCCTCATATCCCTCCTCCTAATAAGCACAACCACCATCGAAGTTCATTTACAACAGTTCACACTCGTTCTCATTAATCAAAATACCACAACAAAAGTACGTGATTCTGAAGACAAAAGCAACAGAAACTCACCCCTTCCGATAACGATATTACTTTGATAGCAACCATCTCCGAGGTTCTCAAATCCCTAGCTTTGTAAACAGCTCCATAGGACCCCTTCCCTGCAATCCATCATCAAGAAAAACTAACTTGAAAAACACCATAATCAGAGAAGCAAAACACAATTGAAAATAAAACGAGCTCGAATTGCTCTTTGATACTTACCAAGTTCATTAAGCAATTCGTATTTTGTCGTAGGGTCCTCTCTGATAACACTATCAGGGATTGAACTCGACGAAACCTTAGTCGTTATCGAATGTTGCCTTCCCTCATCGTTCTGCGAGGATCCACTTCCTTTCCTCTGCTTTCCAAATCCAAAATCTCCCATCGCTTGCATACTCGCCACAGCTCTCTCCATCGTCGAACCGCCGCCACTACCGCCGCTCGTCCGTCGCAACACGGTTCCGCTTACCGACTCTCTCTCGCCGGACCTCACCGTTGAGCGCACGACGAAGGTTGAAAACCCGCCGCCGTCATGGTCACCGTCGTCGCTTTCGTCACCGCCGCCGAACCTGTTCAAAGGGCTCGCCTGCGTTGAGCTCTGAGCCTTCCAGGTCGAGCCCGCCGACGAAGCCACGCCGGAAGAAGATCGATCGCGCTGCCGGCTCCGATCGGACTTCACGATTACGGTGCCAAAATCGCCGGAGTCTTCGTCGTCGTCGTCGACGTCATCGTAGTCCAGCGGCGCTCCGCCGCCGAAATCCTTGGGCAGGTGCTTGAGAAGCGGAGGGAGAGAAGAGTATTCGTCATCGTCGTCATCACCGTCGTGGCCGTTGTCTTTGTACACCATTGTCGCGTAGGGATCGTCCTGTGAATGAGCGCCTCCGGCCTTACGCCTGCGGTTGGATGCTCCGTCGTCGTCGACATCGTCGTGGACCACGAAGGTGGAGTATATATCGGATTTGGATCGGATTTTCCGGGTTCCGGATGAGAAGGAACTCCGATCCATTTTCCACTCCGATGGGGGAACACAGAGTGGAGAAGGAACCAATCCTTTCACTCACCCTCAACTTGCCACCACTGACGCAGATTGCATGCGTTGTTTATTGGGCTTTCGTTGGGCCCGTCTGTTTTGGGCTACTCTGCGTTAACTGGAAGCCAGTGCTAGTCATACAACTTTCGAATTCATCCGACCAAAAATTCTATAACTTTGTCAGCAATGAGTCACTACACTGAAAACCCAATCCACAAAGAAAAACTGAAAAATGATAAATAAAAAAAATGGTTATCATGTAAGGAAATATGTGATTATAAGATCAGTTGTTGAGTTTAACTTTAAAGTTTTAAAAATGCTAATTTCTATTTAGAGTTGGGCATGTATGTTTGATTTTTATGATTATTTATTGTATATTATTGTAATGCTCTTATATTTTAACATTGTGGATTACGTAAGTGTAGTTGAATTTTCTACCAAAGAACCATGACAAAAATAAAATAAATTTTGGTAAGGTTGTTTTTATTTACACATTATTTTTACTATGACTCGTTAAAGGGGAAAAAAATAAAGACTTGGAGAAGGAAGGTAAGGTGATACTCACAATTTCATTCAATTATTTATTTATTTTTGGTGTTGTAGGAAGAAACCAAAGGAAACAAGAAAAATCAAGTGCAAGTGTGAGACACTCTTAAAGCATTAAAAAGCATAAACTCATGCAAGGAAGTTCGACATGAACAACACATCATTAGCCAATATTTGACTCCACTGATTAATCATATATAGTAAATGATTATATTTAAATCAACAATAAATCCAATTGAATGCTTTTTCAATTTAGTAGGCCTTTGTAATTGAATAATGCCTATATGAAATGGATTACGTCAAATCAGTAGTTTATAAGTCAACTATTACCAACTTATTTAAAATTGTAATTGAAATAAAAATACCAAATTAACAAAACTTCAAGTTTAGCTTGGTCTAACTTTTCTTTTCCTTCATATTAACCGTTTGAGCTTTATAGAAAAACCTCTTAGACAACAAAACTAAAATTGATTCAAGGTTTCACCTCTATTGATAAACCTACCTAAATTAACACTTATAAATAAAAATAAAACTAAAATACTAGAAATAATAAGTTTTACTTAACCGCGTACGGTTTTTTTTTTTTTTAATATTGTTTTAAGGTGTTGATAGGCCTTGAAATTTGTGAAATATGATTTTCTATTTCAGAATAATAATAAAACTAAAGTATTACTGTGTACTTTTTGTACATTATTATTTTAAAAATTTATAAATATTTTGTACATTAAAGTTAGAAAGAAAATTAATTAAAATACATTTTTTTCTTTTATATTTCGTATTTTTATTTTAATTATAAAAAATGATATAAAGATGAAATATGAATAAAAATTCTCTACAATTATTGAGTAGGGTTGATTTATTTCCAAACTTGCATGGCATTGATGTTATTATTTTCTAGATCTTAAGCTTAAGAAAGGTTATAGTATTTATCAGCTTTTGAGGTGCTCACTCAACTATCCTATGACATTTAACATGAAAATAGGAGCATTACATTAAAAATTATTAGACAATTGAAATATATGTTTCACATTTAATTTTAAAATTTTTCAAGCATAAATCTACAAAGTTAAGAGTTATTTATTTATATTGAATGAGCATGTTAATCTATATTTAAATATATTTTAAATAATTTTTATTTTAAACTGAAATCTATTAAAATTAACAAGTAGTTACGTGAAAGTTAATTTTTGTGTAAGATACTTTTAAAATTTAAAAATAAGTCAATTAAAATTGATTTCTGTTTAAAGATAAATTAAAAGATAAAGATATGTCAATTAAAGTAGATTTCTATTTAAGGACCATTTAAATTTTTAAGTAAAGTTAATTAAAGTTGACTTCTATTATATTTTAAATTAAAATATACACATAAGCAAATTTAAAGCAAGACAAAATTATTTTATTTATATTAAAAAACTCTAATAATAATATTAGTTTTCAAACTTCATGATGTAAATAAACAAAATTTGCGTCGGGAATTCAAATAAATTAACTGTTAGTATTTTTGTTTTATAATTTTAAAGTAATTTTTAATTTTATTCTTTAACTTTTTTTTAGTTTTATAATTTAAAAAAGTTTTAAATAGGCTATTTTTCGTTAAAAACTCTAACTATGTTAGAAAAATTTGTCTTCCTCCTCCTTCAATCTTTGACTTTATCTTTGACATATGTTTTTCTTACTTCTCTTTTATCTTCATAGTTTTATACTTAAAAATTTATTTTTTTGCTATTAACACTAAATACTCACTCTCAAATCTTAAACCATAAACAAATCATCTTTTTAAATACTTATCTTCCATCTCTGAAAGATTTATGCTTATTTTTATATTGTACTTTGAGCTTTTGAAACACAATATTTTTGTTAGTGAATATTTCAAAAATTATGGTAGTATAAAAATTTAATAAAATAAAAATTAGAAACATGAATATTTGTGTGTTCAAATCAATTAAAGATGAAAAATGAGTATTAGAAAGTTAGGTTATTTATAATTTAGAATTTAAAGGTGAATGTTTGGTGTTTGTGGTAAAAAGATAAAGATAAAAAAAAAGTGTTAAAAGTAAAAGTAGAGATTAAAAAAGAAGATAATGAACAATACACGTATCATAAAAGTATAAATTTTTTTAATGAAGTTGTATTTAAAACTTTTTTATAAATTAAAATGTTAAAATAAAAAAAAAATTAAAGAAGAAAATAAAAATTTACAGTTAAAAGACAAAAATATTGATTTTGCCTAATCTTAAACCTGGTATATTTTTGCGGGATTTAGTGAGATCTTTATCAATTGGATAACAAGCATCCAACAGAAAAAGAAATTATAGAATCTAAGAAATAAAATGTCACGTTTACTAAAACACGATTAAAAGAAGATGAAAAGATAGAAGATTAGGTGTTGATAACATTGTGTGGGGAGAGAGAATTGATCCTTTTATATCTTGATATATCCCCTAAATAAAGTTTAGGTAACCAATGTATATATTGATGGATAATGTGCGGCCTGTGTAGCATGCTCCACCTGTGGAATGAAATTTACTACAAAACAAAATACTATGCTTCTTCTGCGTGCGTGGCTGAGGTGACTCAGTGCTGTGGTCACCACAACATATATCTCCTGCCACAACCGCCACATCCAGATTCTTCTCACTCAACACATTTATTTATTTATTTTATATTTTAAATAAAATATAAATTTATGATATTTAACTTTTTTTTTAAATTTTAATGAATTATACAAAATATTGAAATTGCTTCAAAGAATATAACATAACTCTAATCCATATAACTGTTTTAGTGCCACTCCACATGGGAATCTAACCCTCATGTATGTGTTTCCAGCTATTTTACAATTCAGACATTTTTTTTCCCTCTTATTGTTCATGTAAAGTGTAGACTTCAAAAGTGGAAAATAAAGAAGGTGCCGCAGCTAAGAACAAAAACTTGTTAATATAGTGTTGTTAATAGGTGTCTTATGAGTATTGGTTAAAACTTAAGAAATAAATAAAATTTTCCTAAAAATTACTGTAAAAATATAATAATGATATTTTCTTATAATTTTCAATTAGTATTTTAAGAACATTTGTTAAAATTTTGCATTCTCCGTTATAATATAAAACCATTGTTTTAATCTCCTTAACTTGTATATGCAAGAAAAAAACAAACACACTAAGTTGTGTTTAGACTTAGACAGATAGAAAATCAAAATTTCCCAAGCACAATTCATATAATACAAATAATCGACCTAAAGAGCAACATAAATTTTGTTCACTATGTTGGCTCTTTCAACGGGCACACTAATACTAGTACAGATACTATTTGTAGTTTTCATAGTACAATTTAAAAGGTTGGAGAAGTTCAAAGTTTATGTGGAATTATGTACATACCTGAAATACAAAATATATCTCTACAATAATTTTATATAACCTTTTTTAACAAATAAATTAAGAAATATAAGATTAAAAAAAAAACCATACGGGATAAAATAAGTGATACGATGAAACAAGATAAAATTAAATAAATTATTACAAGTGTTTAAATTTAAAAAATATATATGCATCTTTACCTAAAATAATTAAGCTCTCTGCACAATGTTTGTGTACAATGCATGAAGCTTGGTTTGATGTGTGTACACCACGGATGAAGCTAAGTTTGGAACAAAATACTTCATTATCTTGGAGAGTGGAAATGCATGGTTAAGGTTTGGAATGGGTATAAATTGGATACTCTAGCTAGCTATGTGACAATATTCCCTTCCAAATAATGCACCCTTACTGGTCAAATATCTAATTAGAAAGAGAATTATATACAGAAATATCCTAGGTAAATATGTTAATTGCACAGGGAAAATCAGTAAAATATTTTTGGTTATGGAATCATTAGATATGAGAATCAATTAAAAAAAATAAGTAATTGTAGCAACTTGCACATATTGGGCAAATAAAAGTGTCCATTTGGATATACAAATCCTGAATGCATCTCCTTTTCATGAAAAAAAAGCTGGGAAGCTTTTGGAAGGCTCTCACTCATCAGCAGGACATGTTCTTTCTAAAAGAATGTGAATCCAAGAAAGAGGACTGAACCATTTATATGTCCCTACAAAAATATGTTTATGTGTCTAGGTTCTTATTCTACAATCATTTAAAAGTAGCACTGTTAAGTGCCATTCATATCATTAAAGTTCTTAAATGGAGGTTCTATCTAAGTTTCATAAATCCACAACCACTATCTAGGAATCTTTAGTTTTTGATTTTGATTTGCGCACAAGCACCTTAAAAGAATGAGCTAGTTCCTATAGGATCAATTAAGACTAGCTAGATATTTAATATATATTAAAAAAGTACATATATCTAATGAGAAGATTGGTTCGATTTCTAATAACAATGAAAAGACTTCAGCAATAGCAAAATAATAATAAAATAAAATAAAATTCTCTAGCTGCTGTTTGATGGGTCTCACCAAACTTATGTTATTTCTTTTTCCTTTTTCTTGCT